AAAGAGGAAGAAGAGGAGAAAAGAAGAGAAAAAGGGAGAAAACAAGAAGAAGAGAAGATGGAGCGGAAACGAAAAAGAGACGAAAAAGACGAAGAGGAAGAGGGGCGCAAACTTGAGCAGAAGAGGAGAAAGAGGGGCAAACAGGTGGGGCAGGTGCAGGCGAAAACAAGGGAGCGAGAAAGGGAAGGGAGTGAGGAAAAGAGCCAAGAGGGAGAAAAGAAGAAGAGGAGGCGGGGCGGATCGGTCAGCGAAGGGGCTGAGAAAAACAAGAAGAGGAAAAGAGGGAAGAGCATGGAAGAAGATGCGGAGGGAGTAAAGCGGAGAAGGAGAGGGGCAGCCCCGGGCGAAGAAGGAGACGGGGCCAGAAGGGGGACAAGTGCAGAGCGTAAGGGCCAACCGGGTGAAGACGGGGAAGGAGGTGGAGAAACACAAGGAGGAGAAAAAGGGGAGAGGTTGCCAACAGCGAAAAGGGGCCGGCAACAGAAGTGCAAAGTGGCCCACAGTGAAAAGGGCACAAGGCGCAAAGTGTTGGGACGACCTGACCCGGAGAGTGGGGGCAAGGTTGAAGGAAAGGGAAAGAAAGGGGCAGGCCAGGAGAAGGCGAAAGAAACCCGCAAGAGAGAGCGGGGGGAAGGTGTGCAGGCTGCAAGTGCAAGAGCAGGCAAGCGCGCAGGCGCGGAGCCGAAATGCCGCGGAGTGAAAAAGGGGGCCAAAGGGGGTAGACCCATGGCCAAAGGCAGCCAAGTAGAGGAGGACAAGCCCAGCCAAAGAAAGCAAAGGGCTGGACGAAATGAGGCCAGATGGGCCGAAATGAAGGGGCCGCTTAAGGGGAGGCCCCCTGATGGGGAAGGTTGAGAAGGCGCGCGCCAGAGGCAGGCGCCGCACTTTCCTGGGGTCTCCTGGAGGATTGGCGGTTGGAGTTCCGCGCCCTCTTTGCGGGGTCGAGTTGGGGTCTTTTAATCCTTTGAAGAGGGGCACCCTTTTGAGGATTATGGAGACAAGGGATAGATGGAATCCCGCCCCAGCCGATCGGTGGGCACATCAAGTCAAGTCAAGACTGGAGCAGACCAAAAGAAAGAGTGGGTGAGACCACCTGCCCAAGCCTTCCTTTCAAGGGCAGCTACACACCACACACAACAGCCCCAGAGTAGCTGCACCCTTTTCCCTGTGTCACTCGTGGCCCTCCTCCTTGCTGGGCTTGGCCAGCATGCCCAAACTCGAACTCAAAACGCCCGACACCCAAGGCCGGGAAGATCCGTCCCTGATGGGTGCTGCGGCTGCTGAAGTGGCGCTGGCGCCACAGCGTACACGCGCGAGAGACCGCATCGCAGCGCGAAACCCTCCCCGCGATGTCTGTGCCAGTCACCGGCCGCGGCTTCGATTCACGCCAGCCTCTGCCCTGGCCGCTGGCGATACAATTGCCACTGCCCAGCCCTCGACACACCGCCCGGCCCGGCAAAACCTTGCTTGCGACACCCCAGGGGACAAAGACACGATGCCATAGATACGGAGCCGACAAAAGCCGAAAACCCGGGAGCCCGTCAGGCGAATAGACTCCGGCAACACACGACACGACGAACAGCCGCGGCAGATTGCCTGAGCATCACCCAGCAAGGGCACCGCGCAACCTCATCAGCACGCGCATCCACATCCCCCGACACTGCAGCAAGGGGAGGCAGAGATGGGGGCCAGCCTGGAGGCAAGCCCTCGAAGAGTGGTCTGCGCGGTCCGGCTGTTGCTGTCCGGCGCAGCACTCTGTCGGCCTAGCGGCCTCCCACTCGGTGCCAAGAATGTATGATAAGCTACCGCCGCCGGCGTCTCTTTGTCCTGCCGAATCTCGATCCCCCGCGAGAGCCGGCTCCCGCCGTGGATCGAGGTTGCCAGAGAATTCCGGGAGCCAGCCTGAGACCACAGGCGAGCGAAACGCGAAGGGCCTCCAAAAAGGGCCACCTCATAGTCATCCACTTTAAGACTCTCCAACTCCAGGCTTCGCAGAGCTCTCAGCGCGACCCCCTCGAACCCCTGCGGGAGCTAGCTCCCGCCGGGATTCGAGTGGCCCTCCCGCCGCTAAGCAAGCAACCTACCCCCCGACAGACCACTCCCTCGAACCCCAGCGGGAGCTAGCTCCCGCAGGGGTCGAGGGGGTCGCGGCGAGAGCTATTCGAAGCCCATAATTGGACAGCCCCAGCAAAGTGGATGACCATGAGGCCTTTTTCGGTGGCCCTTCGCCTGTGGTCTCAGGCTGGCCCACGGAATTTCCGGGAAGTCTCGATCCACGGCGGAAGCCGGCTCCCACCCACCGGGGATCGAGCTTCTGAATCTGAAGGAGAAAGCAAAGAGGCGCGATGGATCGAGCGAGGGGACCGAAAACCGAGGAAAACCAGGCCGGCGGGCGCAGACGTATTATTTTAAGGAGTGGCGCTGAGGCTCGCTCTCTGTGCAGTAGGGCAGCTGGCTGAACCCGAAGCCCCCACACGTCTTGTTTGACCATGAAAACTTACTAGGCCTAGCGCATATTTCTCCCACATTTCAGCCCTAGAGAAGTGAGCCGCTGGCCTTTTCTTCCTGAAGGTCTCTCCTTCAAGTTTTTGCTCTTTCAGTCCGTCCTTCCTCTGTTCTTTTCTTCGATGTTCAGCACCTCTTCGCTGGTCAAGGTCCTTCCTTAGCTTGTTTCTGCTCCTTTTGTTTTCGAGCGTGCCTCTTTATCAGATAGAGCACGCCCAGGCTGGGCTGGGTCTTCTCTTTTTCTATCTCTTTTAGAAACATCCAGCCACGTGAATCCCGAAGGCAGCAACTTCGCGGACGCGGAATCTTTCCAGAAACTTCGCTACTTTTGTGCCTTTTCAGAAGTTTCTGGGAAGATTCTGAGAAGGTTCTGGGAAGTTTCCAGAAAGTTTCCCAGTCGTGACTGGGGTAAGTTTCTGGAAAGATTCCGAGGCCATTGCTAGCGAGAAGGCGGGATAGATTCATCCCGGAAGATTCTGGGAAGATTCCGGGAAGTTTCTCCCTTCTTAGTATTGTACTCACGTGGATCCATGTGCATAACTCTTCCACCTGTGTGCCAGTGCCCCTCTGTCGGGTTCTTTACCTACTAGACCGAAGCGCCCAGCAGCACTTACCCAACTAGAATCCCTCACCCTCCACACCCCCCCCCCCCGCCATTGCGTGGCCCCGCTTGCCCGGCCCCTTCCCAAAGCTGCAGCAACTGCCTCTGCCTGGCAGAGTTCATCGGTGGGGCAGCACAGTCGCCGGCCTCTTCTTGGCGGCCTGCAGCTATTGAAGGGAGGCCCTCTCCTGGAAATGGGAGGCCAGCGAGCTCGCTGGCCCTGGTGTTCTGTTAGTGTTGTCATTTGCAGAAGGCTGAAGCGTTCAAACTTCAAACCTGTAGCATTCATCTACTTCGACGAAGCTTACAAGACTCGTCACCCACTGTGAAGAGCCTTAAAAGGCTTTGCGCTCAGTTTCTTAAAATTCATTTTCTCCACTAAAGTCAAAAGCTTGCCCATTTTCGTTCCCGGGCGCTTTCAATTTTGGGCCTCTAGTTTAAAACTTTGCCAAATCCCGAAGCCCTTCGAAGACTCTGCGTCTGCACCTCTTGACTCTAAGGCCCTAGCATTGGCACGCGCTCCTTCTTCTCCCCCGTTCCAGCTTTAAAGGGGTCAGCACCTGGCAACTTCTGACGCAGATCCCTCCTTCGGTTTTTTGCTTCTTTTGAATTTTTCCCCTATGCTCTTTCTGTTCCTTGTCAGCTTTTTCCCCATGCCGTTCTCCCTCTCACGTTTTTGCTCTTTCTGTCTCTTTCTCCTCTGCTCTTTTTTGTCAGCTTTTCAATTTTTGGGGATTTCCTCACGCAGGTCTCTCTCTTAGGTTTGTGCTTTTTCTATCTGTCCCTCTGTGCTCTTTCTTGTCAACTTTCGGCCCTTTTCTCAGGGGGGTCCCTCTCTCTTCTCAAGTTTTTGCTTTTTCTGTCTGCTCTTCTTATGTTGGACATGTCGCGCGGGTATGGGTGGACAAGTTAGCAATGTATACAGCAATAGAAATCTACAAAGTTGTTCGACCGTCGGAAAACGGGGAGCCGGGACGAGAACGGGGGGGGGACGAAGACGGGCACAGGCGGAGCCGAAGACATGCACTAGCGCAAAGAAAGCGAGGAAGTACCTGGCACGCTTTCCAATGGTTTGAGTTTGGGATTCCTTAGGCGGAACATTCGGAATAGCGACCACTGGCCAACAGGTTTCGCTATCTGTGACGCAAATCCATTTGATTTGTGTCAGAGATGAGATCGGAAAACAGGAAGAAAATCTGGTAAGAGTCATACTCCGTGATCAAAAGTCTTTACTTGAAGATCCTCGAGGCTCTTAAGTGAGGGTGCTCCCAGGCTAGAGATATCTCGAGCGCGGCGGAAGTTCCCGCTTTGTTAGAAGATTGCCTCTTTCGTGATATTAACAAGCACCTGACGTGAGCTGCTATAATAGGAGAGAACAGTGAGGCCGAGAGATAAAGTCAGGAGCTTTATTCGATTCATCAAGCCACCACTCACCAGCACCAGAGGAAGTAGCCCTACAAGGAGCATCGTCGCCCTTGTCAGAGACTCGGCGATACAGTGAAACCATACTCAGTACCTGTAAACTACTTGATCTTGATGTCGCTAACAAGTATTCGAAAAGCTAGACACTATGCGAGGAGATTATGATCTAAAAGAGCTACTAACTTAGCACTACCCCTGAGTCTAATACTTCAAGTACTACTTGCGTATAATTTTCAGATTTTGAACACTTAGCAATACAACAAATACGCTACCGATCATCATCATGAACATGATAAATATATAAATATAAACAGCCTTAACTGGTTCTGGTGACGAGTTGCCTATCTGTGGCTCTTTGCTGCGTGCTTCATTGAGTCTACTTTCGACGATGCTCTGCAACTCCCTGTCCTCCCTCGCTTTTTGGTCTTCTTCCTGGTCACTCCTTTGTGGCGTTTCTTCTGCTTCCGTGGCTCCCGGTGCCAAGGGTGAACCTGCTGGATTGATGTTAGAGTTCGTGCTAGATTATTTGCCGGGGAGGCAGACTCGAGTGGGTTCCCTTTCTGGACATTAAAGCCACCACCCACTTTTTGAAACTGGCAAGGAATCCACTCGGTATAGCCCTAGCGTCATAGACGCGGAGTATTAGGTAAGCACCAAGCTTAAGCCTTAAGGACCTTTGGCGTTTGATGAGGGTCGTTTGCCGGTTCGTCTTTTCCGGGCTCCTCCGGAGCAGCCGGAGCAGCCGGTGGCGGTGGTGACGGCACGACCACAGGGCCCACCAGCTTGCCCCTGTCGGCTGTTGCTAGGCCAGTGGCTGCAGGTGGTGGTCGGTCGGAGTCAGACTCTTCTTTCAGCTTTACTTCCACTGGGGGCGCGGAGGCCGCTGGGTGCACGGAGTCCGCTGGGTGCACGGAGTCCGCTGGGGCTCCTGGTTCTTGTGGTGGTCCTGGTGATGGCGCTTGTGGTGTTGGTTGGCCAAGCTTCTCTTCCATCACTGCTTCGGCATTCGGTTTCGGCTCCCCCATCTCGTCCACTTGCTCTGGTGGTGATGGTGCCTCTTGATTTGATTGGCCAGGGCCTTCAGATTCTGCTTGGTGAAGCTCTTCTCCCTCTTGCCGGTCGGTGTCCTGTGCCACGGATGGGTCTGCTGGACTGATGTTAGAGTTGGCACTAGATCATTTGCCGGGGAGGCAGACTCGAGTGGATTCCCTTTCTGGCCATTAAAGCCACCACCCCCTTTCTGACACTGGCAGGGAATCCACTCGATAAAGCCCTACCGCCATCGACACGGAGTATTAGGTAAGCACCAAGCTTAAGGACCATTGGCGCTTGATGAGGGTCGCTTGCCGGTTCGTCTTTTCCGGGCTCCTCCGGAGCAGCCGGTGGCGGTGGTGACGGCACGTCCGCAGGTGGCAGCTCCTCCGCGGGCATGCGCATGGAGTCCGCTGGTGGTTGTGGTGGTCCTGGTGATGGTTCTTGTGATGGTGCTTGTGGTGGTCCCGGGGGTGGTGTTCGTGGTGTTGATTGGCCAGGGTGGTCGTTGTGTCCATTGGCCGCTTCTTCCGCTTTCGGCTCCTCGTTCTTCACTTCTTCCTTTTTCAGCTCCCGTCGTCTATTCACTTCTCCCACTTCCTCTTTATTCACTCCTCCCCTTTTCGTCAGCTTCTCTTCAAGCTCCCGTCTATTCACTTCTTCCTCTTCCAGCTCCTCTCCCTTCACTTCTTCCACCTCCTCTCTGGTGAATAATGTTGATGGGCCAAGGCCGTCTACGTCTTCGGGTGGTTGTGGTGGTCCTGGTGATGGTAGTGTTGATGGGCCAAAGCCGTCTTCAGCTGGTTGTGGTAGTGTTGATGGGCCAAGGCCGTTTTCAGGTGGGTGTCGGTCAGCCTCAGTCTCTCCTTTCTGCTCTACTTTTACTGGCTCGGGGTCCGGTGGGGCTCCTGGTGATGGTTCTTGTGATGGTGGTTGTGATGGTCCTGGTAGTGGTGCTCGTGGTGTTGGTTGGCCAGGGTCGTCCGTTTCTTCCTCTTCTGGCTTCTCTTTACTCACTTCTCCCTCCTCCGGCCTCTCTTCTAGCCTCTCTTCACTCACTTCTTCCACTTCCTCTCTATTCACTTCTTCCACTTCCTCTCGATTCTTATTCACTTCTTCCCTTTTCGTCAGCTTCTCTTCCAGCTCCTCTTGTTTCATTTCTTCCTTTTTCGCCAGCTTCTCTTCCGGCTCCTCTTTTTCTTTGTCTTTCTCGTCGTCCTCTCCTTCCTTTTCGGAGCCGGAAACTCCACCTTGTTCCAATGATCCTTCTCTATTTTCCGCTACTACTGAACCTGGATTCCAGTCCCATTCTGATTCTGAAGTAGCTGCACTAGTTAGCAGCTGAAGTTTAGGGGTTGCAAGTTGACCCATCTAGGTCGCATATCTATGACCTTCACCTTCCTGCTTGTTATGCTTGATGAGGTCAGAGATATGCTAATAGAGAGGTCAACTAACAACCCCTAAGAAGTGGTGGGTTACTGGCGTCCTCGTAGAGGATAGAGTCAACTGCCTTTTGCCTCTGCAATATTTCGCCAACCGTCTGGACCTGATGTTGCCCATCCTCGACCAACGCTTGCTGATGCAGTTCCTGTTGCTGGAGCAAAGCAGAAGATGGCAGTAGCAGCGTTGTTGACTGCGCTGATGTCCTTTCGCTTTCGCTTTGTTGATCAACTTCAGGACTGAAAAGAAGTGAAGTTGGACGTTGCTGCGAGTTGGCCTCTTTAGCTCGCATATTATCTATCACCTTCCTACTTGAAAAAGGTCAGAGATGATATGCTCTCCGGTAAATGTAGGTCAACTTCCAACCCTTAACGAAAGGTAAGCCTCGCGAGTGAGACACACAGTCTCGTCCTCGGTGGGCAGCAAGCTGTTGATGGCGAGCGCACATCTCCAAAGCAGGAAGGGGCCCGACAATGTTATGAGCAGCAGCAGCACGCTGAGAGCCGGCAGACCAAGTAGCTTCACGTCTTTCATGCACAGAAGCGCTTCTAGCCTCGAATATGCAGACCACCTGAGGAACGGCCGCCATCGAGCCCCTCCTTCTAAACGTCGAGGACCCGCCTGCTTCGTGGTCTTGGTCCTCATTATTGAAGCTGCACCAGCATAGCTGTTGGTCGCGTCACTGCTGTCCTTCGTAGTTCCCGAGCCTAGAGGACTACTAGAAAGAACACGGTTCGTGTTGCTATAGACCCAGTCTTCGATTTGCCGAGGCAGGAGGTAGAAACTTTCTCTACTAACGCTGTCTTCACCTGAAGACGGGGTTGTCAGACGCAGCCGAGACTTTGGCGAAAACTGCAACGGAGATTCGATCTCCTTCTCATTTACTTTTTAGAGCCAGCCACCACAGAGCCAGCCACCACCATAAAATTCAAATAGGATATAATTCCAACGTGTTGGTTCGTGTTTTTGAGAAGATTATTTTTATCATGCGTCTTGCTCTTGGAGTTGGACCCACCGCCACCACTTGGAGCTGTCCTCCCAGTGTCATGAGATGAGCGACCTCTTCTACCCCTACATCTTCTACTTTTTCATGAGCTATATCTATTTTCTCGTATGCGCAGATAGCACCAAGACGCTTCAGCTACTTCCGAGAATGGATAATACAAAGGAATGCCTTAATCCTTGCTCGTCTTCTTCTTTCTCCGCTTTTTCTTTTTCTTTCCTTCCTGAGCATCGTTTCTGCCGCATGAAGGCGGGACCACAAGGGCTCCTACAGGTTTTGCGTGTTCGTCTGCAGTAGTTGCTACTGATGCTGGATCAATCTCTTTGTCACACGACTCTTCCGGATCATGATCATGAACATGGCTATGAGAGGCAGTACTAGTAGCCTCTCTTGCGGTTGTACTCGCATGTCGACGATCGAGATCGAGATCTACGGGTTGCGCAAGCACCCCACCACTAGTAGAGGAAGAGGCCATTGCTGCAGCTCCAGCTGCGCTGCTCGCTGTGCTGCAGCTCCTCGAACTAAATCACCAGGTAGCACGATCACGTGTAGGAGTGCGTTACAATGAGCAGGAAGAGGAATCGTCTAAATAAATTTAAAAACGAATCTTCTTGTTCATGAAAATTCCATCACCTCGCTGAGTCTTGTAGAGCACCAGGCTGAGAGATGATCGCGAAAGCGACGCTTTCTTAGGCTGCAATACTTCTTACGGGGCTGCTGCTCTTTGTCGTCTAAGTCGTCTCTGAGTTCACCACTGTCCCACGTCCACGCTAGGCTTTGCTTGAGGCCGAGAGGCAGTTTTGAAGCAGTGAAAAAAGGGACTCGTTCGACATGGTCATATTAGGTATTAGATACTGGTGGCACTTTTAGGACTCTTAACAGGAAGGTTGCTTTGACATTGAGATTGAGGTCGCTAGAAGAGCTTCCTGGTAAAACAAAGAGAGCTACACTTGTTGTTCAACATCATGCACTTCGTCTCAGAAAGGTTCAACAGCCTGCGAAGTTGCACCCTCACGCTCATAACAGATGCCTATCCAATGCTCTTAGGACGGTTTTTGTCCATGTTCTCTCGTCCATTACTACTTGCTCAGTTTGTTACGTAGTGGTAGTCCTAGCCTCCATCTCATTTGTCTCGTCACTCGTGGTAAAACAAAATTCCAAGTCAGTGGCTGCATGTGCATTCACAAAAGCCTGTAGCAGTATTGCGACGTGCCAGCTTCCGTTCAAGTCAATATTTTTGAAATTTTAAGAAATGAATTAAACGAAATTTCAGAAATGGCTCCCAGTAAGATGTTCAATCTTAGTCGATGAGCAGGTAGTGTTCGTCTGAGGCGGGTCAATGTTAATATAGGCGGGGTAGTGCTACTATCCCCACTTCGTCGTTGGGTGCTTGGGCATATTAGTGGCTGGGGTGGGGTGTATGGCGTTGTTGCTGGTGACCTCTAACTATGTCCATGAGAAGAAAGTTCCTGATCATGATCTATGATCATCTTATGGCTCAACATTTTCATCGTCATGATCTTGTGAACAGCAAAAAAATCACTGAATGATGGAACGGACAAACATGTGTGTCACTCCCCGTTGCCCTTCAGTTCTTTTACCAGGCGAATATGCGGCACTAAACCACCAGTGTTATCCGGTACTACAACAGTTCCAAGACTTGATACTTTCTCCCTTGATCGTTCCTGGAGGTCTACTTTTCCTTTTCCGCTTTGGTTGATGTATGGTTAGAGGTGAATTATGCGTTCCTCACAACAACCTCACTACAACACATCCTTGACTGCACCAGATTGCTTAAGAACCTACCGAGCCTTAAAAGAAATATTGCCCTTCTGGTGGAAGGTGAGGGAGTCAGAGACGTAGTTCGCTTTTCGTCGTTCCTTCTTCTCTTTTTCGTCATCTGCTTTGCGTTTGCGCTCAGCTCGTGTTTTTCCCTCCCGCAGGATGTCAAAACCGTGCGCGTGAACCGCAAGTACATGCAGCTCAGTAAGTAAGATTGCTGCGATAGAAATTAGAAGAGATGATGACGATGATCCTCTCATGATTGATGATGATGTACAAAACAGTAACCAGGTCGAGTGGATGTATCCGCTCCCGCTGTAGTATCTGAAAGAGCAGTATGTCGAAAATTTCAAGCATCATAACATCAAAACCGACGACACACTCACACATAGGCAAGACAAGAAATAAGTAAGAAAGTAGTGTAAGACAAAGAATCCGTCTCAGTCCTTGTCTTAACATAGTATGCTGCAGGTTAAAGATAAAGTCGAACTTGAACCCGTTGATGTCTGTCATCGGAAATGCGTTGATGAGCGCGTTTCGGAAGCCTTGCAAAACACCCCAATGCTGGATCCATTCAGCATTTACGGACTCGAATGTAAACCAATGCCACAGGAATGCCGTTCTGTTCAAAAAAAAGACTAGCATTAGAGCTGTGTGTAGTTTTTCGTGAGGGAGGTGCTAGTTTTTCGTGAGGGAGAGGGAGAGGACAGTATCGGTTGTTTTTCCTGTTGAATAAGAGTAGTGCTAGTGAGTATGTAGTTCATCAAGTTACTCTTTTTCTATAATAGTACTAGATCGAGACCTAGAGCTAGAGGCGGGGTTCGTATTATTTGTTGACATTGAAGCAAAAATTGTGTTTGGGTCGGGATAGAGGTATACTTTCAACAAAATATTTCAAACTCTCCTATGGGTATGGCCTTAATCGAAAGAAAGAGGAACGCTATCGCCCGAATCCAGCCAAATTTCACCATATGCATCACATTGATAAGCTTCTTCGGAGGGACAGCAGAGCTGTCGGTCACAGGAGGAATTGGCATTTTCCTTGGGTTTTCTACTCGATACGCTCAAGTAAACGTGGCAGTAGGCATCAAGCTGTAGAAGCCTATCAACTCAGACAGCCGAGTAGCGTAGAAGACGGAAATAATATCAGATGCTCGGCTGTTGTTTTTGTTAATTGCTTATTATATATTTGAAGAGTATTCGAGTACAAGAATGTCGCCAAATTAAAATGTATTGACACACAGTCCTGGTGAAAAAATATTGCTCCAAACATCAGTGAGATGTTGAAGTGCGTCTGCGTAGTTAGTCCACAAACTCACTGACTCTGACACCAGCAAAAGTTTCAATTCTATAGTTCCAAAGTTTCAACTCTGTAGGTCCGTGCCCACTATACCAGCCCCAACTACATGCATTTGCTTTTGGCACGCCCATGCCTGGCTCAACCTTCTCACCTGATCCATCCGCTCTCCTCTTTACAAAGTAAAAGTATCACTCGCAGACAACAAGACAAGAGTGTGAAAATCCAACGAGACGGCCTTAATCGAGACTCGCAAAAGGCTGCTTCCATATTCCGTTCTGGGCACCAGTTGCTACGATGATGTAAGTAATCGAAGTCCCGCGCTTCGGTTGATTCTGAAGACCCCGTATGCGTATTGAAGGTCAACATTCATTCCTCACTGATGCTGAAGGGACAAGGCCCCTACTTAAGTTTTCCTCTAGTAGTAGTGATTATCCCCTAGTAGTCTCCCTTAGTTTTCCCCTGTTCTCTCATGGGGTCTCCACCTCTTTGATGTCAGAGACTCGAATCTAAATGGTGAGCAATGAAAGTTGAGCCTTAACTGTAGCTGTAGTTGTGGACTTTCCAACCAGACACCGTAGCCCGCTAGGCCTTAGCTGTTTTGACGCTGATGACGAGGCACTCGCTGAGGAGAATGACCCGGCTGACGATGAAGATGTTGACTTAGCGGGAGGGCTTTAGACGTCTGTTCTTTACCCCGTTCTTCGTTATGCCTTTCCCCTTTCAGAGAGGCAGAATGAACAGTCACAGGAACACCTTGACCTTTAACCTACCCATAAATGGCCCCCCTCCATTTTCTGGCGCTCCTGCAGGCTCTGCATTCGAAGACGTATTACAGACCAATTTATAAGGCTTCACACCTCGCATGGCATGGAGTGCATGGATCACATGGAGTAGCATGGAGCTAAAGGGGGAGCTTCTTGCGCCCCTTAAAGCTCTGCGCTCCATGCACTCCATGCTACTCCATGCACCTTGCGTGCTATAAACTACTCTGGCTATTAGATAAAGTGACTTTTTCGGTCTAGACGAAGACAACTTTTCGGCCCTATCTGCTTTAGACCTCGGTATCCTCTGTGGTCCACGCCCAGCATAAGCATATGAGGACTCTGCGTACGTTGGTATTGGTTAAAGAGAGAGATGAATAGTCAATGTCAATGTCACTGATGCCACTACCAGACAAACAAAAAGGCCTTAACTGGTGAAGAGCCTGTTGCCTCACCTGCCCGATCCACTAGTTATTCCACATACCCTTGCATAAATTCGACGCCAAGTGCGTCCTCGAGTATTCGCCGATAATTCAATATGAAAGGCCAGCACGAAGGTGTCGTCTAATATGAAGAAGATTCAACTTGTTGAAGTGCTTCCTATTCCTGACTTGTCTGCGTGTGCGTCTTTTATATGGCTCGGGTAGTCAACAACAACATGGTCACGCATGCTGGGCATGATCATGTACTACTTCTATGGAGGAAACTAAAAAACTGTGAAGATCAAGTGCTTCTTCTTCATCACGTTGCGTCATATGTGGAGGAAGAGAATACACCAAGTAAAGTTTCTTCTTTGTGGAGAACGCTAAGCTGTTTTCTGTCATCATATCGAAGGTGATCCGCTTGTGTGCTGAAAAGGGTTGCACAAAGGCGCGACACATCCCGGGAGAGTACTCGTAGTAGCTCTTCGGGTCGATCACGGTCACGTCGAATAGGTGGCAACGCATGAAATGCAACCTCTATGAAGATGATGACTATGAACATGATGAATAGACTGAGACAGTCGTGGCTGCAAGAAGCAGAAGTAAGGAAAACTAGCAGAAGATAATCATCAAGAGAGAGGAGTAGTGGAAAGGGCTGAGGTCTGGTGATACTCAGTAGACAGAGGACGCATCACGATCTCCTACCTTGCATAAAAATAGCAAGAAGGAGTAGATGAAGTAGAAGACTGCTCTGACTCGTCTAATTTTCCGTACTAGTACACTTATTCAAAATCACTCAAATAGATGTAGAAACTGTCCTAGAACAAGTCAAGCACCATACGGAGACGTTCAGCAGCCAGCATTCCTGCAGCTCCTCCACCTATAATGCCGACTGTTTTTCCCGTCTTTGGAAAAAAGTTGGCACAAGCCGGTGGCAAAAAAGACGCCAAACGTTGCATCTTGATGTTTCTTGTTACAAGGGCCCGAAAAAATGCTTCGACTTCATCGAAAAAAGTAAGCAAGTTTGTAAGTCCTTAACTCATGATGATCTTCAGAATAAGCGAGAAAATGCTGTCACTGAAAGACGAATAACCTATAAATATCAATACACTCTCGCGATCCTATTTCAGTTTGTTCGCTACACCTACCACCGGCGCACCTTCACTTTTCGACTATTTAGTTCCTTCGATCTCGCGCTCGGTCCTTGTGCAACTTCTTGTTTTATTTGCTCAGTTTCATTATAACAAGAGGCGTTCTTTCAAAGAGGCGCTCTTTTAGCAGCTGCTATATCTTTGCCTCCAATTCCCAAATCCATAAACCTAAAGCGTGCGCCATGTGGTCCCTGATTCTTGAGGTCTCTCGTTCTTAATCCCACAGATAACTTCTATATTCCTTGTTGACAACAAGAGCTTGTATCTATCATCTTGCTCTTTCGTAAAACATAGTAAGTAGTCCATCAGCATCATCCTTATCTTGTGGAGCTCTTTTGTCTTGAATTTCATACAAAGCTCCTCTGTTTTTAATACTGAAAGAAGCTCTGATGATGATGCGAATGTTTCCCGCAAACTAGAAGAAGCTCCAAGAGCCCCACGATATCCTCTCGCAGACCGGGAAAGGTTTGGGTCCAGTCTGTGACGCAACCGGATGGACGCCACATATAGTCCCTTTCTAATCTATGAAGCGGAAAAGTGTACTCATTATACAACAACTCAAGAAATTAGCCAGAAGCTATAAAAATATAGTGGGAAACTGGCTGCCCAGTTATGTTTTCGCGAGTCTGTGGATGAGTACACTACTTTTTTCCATACTATTCAGGCTGAATTGGCCGACGAAAGTGTGGTGCATCATCTTTTAGAGGGCATTACGTCTCAGTTCCCCTCTTCTATCGCATTAGTTCATCGCCTTTTCTTCGTCCAGCAGAGAGGAGATGAGCTGCTCTGTGCTGGAAGAAAGTGAGTCACTCATGAGCTATTTAATGAGCCACAAAATGAATTACTATCGTCAAAAAATATCTCGGAGAGAAATAGAAGCAGAAGGGCAGGAGGATTTGAACTGTGAAGGTGAATTACTGTGAGCCTTAAGTCTCGGATCCCGCGCGTTGTATGAAGGGACGACTAGGATTTTCTTCTCCCTGCTACTTCTTCCTTCTTAGAGCAGCTCGCAAGATCTACACAGACGAGCTCTTGCGGAGTCCAAGATCTTCTGAAGTCCAAGATCTACACTCACGAGACAAAATCTATCACTCATGAACTAGTTGTGCCAGCCCTTCACGGAGTTTTTGATAATTATTAAAGCGTAGTTTTATCGATATCGGTTGATGAACTTTTTACCATCGGCCTTAACTTGATGCTCTTTCATCTTGGCAAACTTGAAGGGACGCGGGTATGTCGTGTAGTGTCTGTCCCTGTCGTAATTCAGATAATATAGGTTAGTCATTGTTAATGAAATAATCAAGATCAACGCTACATATTCGTATCAGGAAAGTATCATGTGGTCGTTAATAGAGTGGCGGAACTCAGGAAAAAGAAGAAAGAGCAGGAGCAGCGCGCGGTATTTAAAAATAGAGGGAATTATATTATCATTCCCTCTATTAAATAAGAGAGCTATAGTTTTAGAATGAGGATCATGATTGAAGATGGGAGAAAAAAACACGTGAGAGACGCCTGCTCCTGTCCATAAGCGTGACGCCTTGTAGCAACGCGTTCGCCCGACCTTTCCACACGATCTTACGCGTCCCATCTTGTTTAACGGAGACAAGGTATTCAACACTTTCGCCTGCGTGCGTCAATGTTAGACGCCGTTGCCTCCATATTTTCATCAACAAGTCTTGCGTTGTATTATCGAGCCTGCACCCACACTCACAACTACTTCAAAAAGCGTAGAACTTAATCTCCTAGATGACCTAAACGCTAAGAAACCGAAACCCTGAGCCCTGACCTCTGCCTTAATAAAACTACTGCTCAATTATAAATTAATCATATTTTTATCTGAACTGCATTCAAGCAATAGCTACAACTGCGTCAAAAGCATGACTACACAAAAGTGGTTAAGTCAAGAGTTGGTTCATTTAAAGATTAAGAAAGATGCTCATGGTTATCAATCAGCATAAGCGTCTGAACTCTTAAATGCGGAAGGGTTTCTATATGTCTTCATTATCAAGAATGTCAAGATATGCCAAGAGTGAACATGATCTATTAGATCACGCACATGCGACGTTCAAGTGCCGTAACTCCTCACTTCGTATTTTTAGAGCTCTCCGCACTTCATCGCTCAGCCCCGACAACTATTTCCCTGTGAGACTCCCCCACAAACGTTTCAAGGATGCCGTTGAAGATGAATTACGTACAGCCTTAATATGTGGCGATTTGTGAACTCGATATGAATCCGGAACTGCTTCATTTCCGAGTAATCCGTCACGCCATTTAGGTCAAGAAAGGTGACAAATTGGACCCCGCTGGGCGGGGCACTGATCGTATTTTAGCGGCTTCCGTGGCGTGGTATTGGCATAAATGATTAAGAAACGAAGGCCGATCGAAAGATACAGCGAAGAAGCAGAAAGGAAGAAGACCAATCATAAGTCGTACTATCACTATCTTCAAGACGAGCAGTGGAACTACTCGAAGTATCTGGGATCGATCGTTATTACCAAAATGGCCAAGATTAATATCAATCCCTCCTTTTATCCGAGGACCTACGAACAGCATGGAAGTACTTAGATAAGAGGGTCCCCGTGTTGTAGGTGTACGCATTATTCTTGATTTATATATAAATAGTGTTAATGGAGTTTCGCTTTCGTGGTTATACATAGTTTACCCTTAATGGTACCAGTTCCCAGACCTGCATCCAGTTCTCGGTATAGAACTGCCGTCTTGGCCCGTCCTGCTCATGCGCTTAGAGTGCTGAGTATATACATGACCGGCTGGGCATTCGCTTGGCTGCTGAGGATCAGCGCACGCGCTGACCGTTAAGCCTACTTCTACGCTGTCATTCAACTTTGAAGGATGTTTCCACGATAGAATGACTTCGAACGCCCCGTCTACCGGTTCCTGTTCCTCTTTCTTCTTGTTCTTGAACTTATTGACAATTTTTTCCGTCGCTTGTGTCCATGCATCGCCCGCGCCTTTCGGTTGTATAAGCTCGGCGTATTCGTCACTGTTCTTGGGAGGAGCATAGGTGAACTCCAGGACGTCCTTCGTCCATTTTTCGGCCCCTCGACTCTCAGGTTTGCCGTCCGTAGTGCCCTTCGTCACAATTGGCACACCTCTCTCCCTCTTGGCGATCGCGTCCGCACCAGCAACTTGCTTGCTCTCATTAGAGAACACGACTGCCACCTTTCCTTAGTATCAGAGGGCGGCGCTTTGATGTGTTGCACAGTTTGCCGAGTCATCCACGCGCGCGCCCCTGATTCCAACTAGTGAAATTTCCAAAGCCTATTTATCTCGTACTCTAAGCCATTAGTCTCGAGCGGGGTCCAGATGCACTCTATGGAAAAGATTCGAGCTGCGCCTGCGTCTAATAATGCCCTCGGCATACCATAGCTTTGGCAGCTGTGGCAACCTGACCCCTTCTTTGGTCACAGCGCTGCCGCTATGCTCGTCCAGCTTCACGTCCCCCGCTCTGCAACTTGCTTCTACCGGAGGCAGAGACAGAGAAAGCACAAGAAGGAACCAGAACCCACCGCAGCCATGTCAGACCGGAGGCGCGCCCATGCTCTCCTCACTAGTCACCTGCGCGCACACGTGGCGACACCCGTTGTGCACCTCAGTCCAGGTTTCTAGCGCCCTAAGACGTCACAGCAGCGCTCGCTGATTGCCCTGCCCGGGCACGCACCTTCCTCTTCAGGCTGGAGAGGGTGTGCCCTCACCAAGTCGAAGAGGCTGCGACACCTTCAGTTTCATCGCAATCAAGCCTCGCGCCCCACTCGCTGAATGCCCTCGGGCATCAGCATGGCCAGTGGAAGGCTGCCGCGCCTCGCTATACACACCTAGCCACGGCCTCAAGACCCACAAAGCCCCGCAGAGCCTCCAGGCCTGTCACTCCTACCACACCACCCAGCTTCTTCACCACCAGGGCGGCCTACAGCCGATATCCTCGTCGTGGCAGCCACGTGGCCGCGCCTTGGACTCCACAAGCCTAAGCCCCGCAAAGCGGAGCTGCTCTTCCTTCTCAGCAGCAGAGCGCGTCTACTGTGACGAGCATCCGCGCGCCGATAGCTCTCGAGCCTCTTTGACTCCTGTAGCCAGCCTGAACCTACCCGCAAGGCGCTCGCGCTAAGTTGGTCCGGTGCTCCTACGTCAAACAGGACACGGAGAGCCCTGCCCCAATGGGTGGCCCCTCCCTGTTCGGGTGGTTCTGCTGTCTCAGGCACTCCAGGTTGCCCTACCCGCGACATCACAGAGCATCTTTAATCTAAGGGGCCCCGTTTTAGCCACTAGAAAACCGGTCGCAGCGTGTGGCCAGTTGCCTTACTGTGAGTCCGATAGTTACGATATTCCGATACAACTTTCCCCATGCCCTCCTTATTTTCTATCACTACCTCTACACGTAAATGCAATTAACTACATCGCCTTGCAACATTGCGCTACGTTTTTCGTTGAGAAGATGAAGCATCAACTGCGTGGAGGTGGCGAGCCCCTGACAAATAAATTACAATGATGCTAGAAGCAAGTAGATGCAAACTCCGACTTCAGCGTCTTCTTCCAACATCTATAACCTATGCTGCATTCATGTTCGTCTTAACATTTTCTCGCACGATCTCTAGAGTGGCGTGCGGATGAGACTTGACCAACACACGGAACGGGACGTCAATCTTTAGGCCCGCTAATTTCTTGCTGTTCATCCGCGTCTTGCCTAGGTCAGTGAGCGTTTATATAAAAGCTTTGGGCTCGTCTATTCTTGACTGTCAACTTATACTAGACAAGTCAGACCGCATAACGGCAGGAGCAGCCTGACTTGGGACGAATCTACTTCATGGGCGCCGCGGCTCAGGATTGGAAAAGTAAATGAAGCAGAGTGCTGGTACTTCTAGTAGCCAAGAGAAACAGTGTCAAGAATAGCGAGAAAGATGGCCAGACGCCAACAATAACCTACACGTCGACCTTCAAAAAGTGACCTCTAACGCCGATAACTTTATATTTGGCCGAGGTCCATGGGTAACCCTCCGGTTGGACGCCCTTGTAGCCTCCGTTGAACTGCGCATACGTGTTGACTATGACTCTTTATGAAGGGCGACTCGACTGATTGAGGAGGAGTAATGTGCTCTGTTATCTAATATAATTGTAGAATATCTAGTCGAAATATGACCAAGATACTCATCGCGTGAAGGTGTTCAGTTCTGTTCCTGCCTATTTTCTTGTAATCACTCGCCAAGAGCATGGAATATGGAGAAGCGGCGTCCTCAGCGACAAAACAGAAGACGCCGCCTCCTTTAATTATAATTAGCTCTCCTCAATCAGTCTAGTCACGTCATACCCTGTACTTTCCACACGGAGCGCGCTTCTGAAAAACAACGTTCTCCACTGGCCGCGGAGTGTCCTGCTTTGAGTCCACGTCCAACTCTCCGCCGCTACATCGTTTGGTATGTTGGATGCCGATTCGGTAGCCAGGGGCGGCGCACAGCGGCAGTACAGAGGACGAGTCTTCGGGTGGAACAACCCACAAGTCCAAGTCTGCACGACCGTCGTCAGGATTTAGAAGGTGAAGTGAAGGCCGATAGAGTGTTTTCAAATCTTTCAAGATACTCTAGCTGTAAGTCTTGCGGGAAAAATAGTCGCAGTTTTTGCATGCATTTGCAAGGACTGGCAAAATAGTAAACATCGAAGACAATTTCGATTACTCGAAAAAGTAAAGTGAGCGAGTTGCGAAACAAAACGAAAGCGAGAGCGTTACCCAGTGACATGGATGCCGATAAGAAAAGAGACCCCGTCAGGGAACCCAAGGACGCTGCCCAAGCCGAGCAGAGAAAGACAGACTGGCGCAGACCAAAAGAAAGAGTGGGTGAGACCACCTGCCCAAGCCTTCCTTTCAAGGGCAGCTACACACCACACACAACAGCCCCGGAGCAGCTGCACCCTTTTCCCTGTGTCACTCCTTCTCCTCCTTGCTGGGCTTGGCCAGTATGCCCAAACTCGAACTCAAAGCGCCCGACACCCAAGGCCGAGAAGATCCATCCCGGATGGGTGCTGCGGTTGCTGAAGTGGCGCCACAGCGTACACGCGCGAGGGACCGCATCGCAGCGCGAAACCCTCCCCGCGATGTATGTGCCAGTCACCGGCCACGGCTTCGATTCACGCCAGCCTCTGCCCTGGCCGCTGGCGATTCAATTGCCAAAGCCCAGCCCTCGGCACACCGCCCGGCCCGCCGGCCCGGCAAAACCTTGCTTGCGACACCCCAGGGGACAAAGACACGATACGAAGCCGACAAAAGCCGAAAACCCGGGAGCCTGTCAGGCGAATAGACTCCGGCAACACACGACACGACGGACAGCCGCGGCAGATTGCCTGAGCATCACCCAGCAAGGGCACCGCGCAACCCCATCAGCACGCGCATCCACATCCCCCGACACTGCAGCAAGGGGAGGCATAAATGGGGGCCAGCCTGGAGGCAAGCCCTCGAAGAGTGGTCTGCGCGGTCCGGTTGTTGCTGTCCGGCGCAGCACTCTGTCGGCCTAGTGGCCTCCCACTCGGTGCCAAGAATGTATGATAAGCTACCGCCGCCGGCGTCTCTTTGTCCTGCCGAATCTCGATCCCCCGCGAGAGCCGGCTCCCGCCGTGGATCGAGGTTGCCAGAGAATTCCGGGAGCCAGCCTGAGACCACAGGCGATCGAAACGCGAATTGCCTCCAAAAAGGGCCACCTCATAGTCATCCACTTTAAGACTCTCCAATTCCAGGCTTCGCAGAGCTCTCAGCGCGACCCCCTCGAACCCCTGCGGGAGCTAGCTCCCGCCGGGATTCGAGTGGCCCTCCCGCCGCTAAGCAAGCAACTTACCCCCAGACAGACCACTCGAACCCCAGCGGGAGCTAGCTCCCGCAGGGGTCGAGGGGGTCGCGGCGAGAGCTATTCGAAGCCCGTAATTGGACGGCCCCAAGGTGGATGACCATGAGGCCCTTTTCGGTGGCCCTTCGCCTGTGGTCTCAGGCTGGCCCACGGAATTTCCGGGAAGTCTCGATCCACGGCGGAAGCCGGCTCCCGCCCACCGAGAATCGAGCTTCTGAAGGAGAAAGCAAAGAGACGCGATGGATCGAGCGAGGGGACCGAAAACCGAGGAAAGCCAGGCCGGCGGGCGCAGACATATTCCAAGGAGTGGCGCTGAGGCTCGCTCTCTGTGCAGCAGGGCAGCTGGCTGAACTCGAAGCCCCCACACGTCTTGACTATGAAAACTTACTAGGCCTAGCGCATATTTCTCCCACATTTCAGCCCTAGAGAAGTGAGCCGCTGGCCTTTTCTTCCTGAGGGTCTCTCCTTCAGGTTTTTGCCCTTTCAGTCCGTCCTTCCTCTGTTCTTTTCTTCGATGTTCAGCACCTCTTCGCTGGTCAAGGTCCTTCCTTAGCTTGTTTCTGCTCCTTTTGTTTTCGAGCGTGCCTCTTTATCAGATAGAGCACGCTCTGGCTGGGCTGGGTCTTCTCTTTTTCTATCTCTTTTAGAAACATCCAGCCACGTGAATCCCGAAGGCAGCAACTTCGCGGACGCGGAATCTTTCCAGAAACTTCGCTACTTTTGTGCCTTTTCAGAAGTTTCTGGGAAGATTCTGAGAAGGTTCTGGGAAGTTTCCAGAAAGTTTCCCAGTCGTGACTGGGGTAAGTTTCTGGAAAGATTCCGAGGCCATTGCTAGCGAGAAGGCGGGATAGATTCATCCGGGAAGATTCTGGGAAGATTCCAGGAAGTTTCTCCCTTCTTAGTATTGTACTCACGTGGATCCATGTGCATAACTCTTCCACCTGTGTGCCAGTGCCCCTCTGTCGGGTTCTTTACCTACTAGACCGAAGCGCCCAGCAGCACTTACCCAACTAGAATCCCTCACCCTCCACACGCACCCCCCCCGCCATTGCGTGGCCCCGCTTGCCCGGCCCCTTCCCAAAGCTGCAGCAACTGCCTCTGCCTGGCAGAGTTCATCGGTGGGGCAGCACAGTCGCCGGCCTCTTCTTGGCGGCCTGCAGCTATTGAAGGGAGTCCCTCTCCTGGAAATGGGAGGCCAGCGAGCTCGCTGGCCCTGGTGTTCTGTTAGTGTTGTCATTTGCAGAAGGCTGAAGCGTTCAAACTTCAAACCTGTAGCATTCATCTACTTCGACGAAGCTTACAAGACTCGTCACCCACTGTGAAGAGCCTTAAAAGGCTTTGCGCTCAGTTTCTTAAAATTCATTTTCTCCTCTAAAGTCAAAAGCTTGCCCATTTTCGTTCCCGGGCGCTTTCAATTTTGGGCCTCTAGTTTAAAACTTTGCCAAATCCCGAAGCCCTTCGAAGACTCTGCGTCTGCACCTCTTGACTCTAAGGCCCTAGCATTGGCACGCGCTCCTTCTTCTCCCCCGTTCCAGCTTTAAAGGGGTCAGCACCTGGCAACTTCTGACGCAGATCCCTCCCCCGGTTTTTTGCTTCTTTTGAATTTTTCCCCTATGCTCTTTCTGTTCCTTGTCAGCTTTTTCCCCATGCCGTTCTCCCTCTCACGTTTTTGCTCTTTCTGTCTCTTTCTCCTCTGCTCTTTTTTGTCAGCTTTTCAATTTTTGGGGATTTCCTCACGCAGGTCTCTCTCTTAGGTTTGTGCTTTTTCTATCTGTCCCTCTGTGCTCTTTCTTGTCAACTTTCGGCCCTTTTCTCAGGGGGGTCCCTCTCTCTTCTCAAGTTTTTGCTTTTTCTGTCTGCTCTTCTTATGTTGGACATGTCGCGCGGGTATGGGTGGACAAGTTAGCAATGTATACAGCAATAGAAATCTACAAAGTTGTTCGACCGTCGGAAAACGGGGAGCCGGGACGATAACGGGGGGGGGACGAAGACGGGCACAGGCGGAGCCGAAGACATGCACTAGCGCAAATAAAGCGAGGAAGTACCTGGCACGCTTTCCAATGGTTTGAGTTTGGGATTCCTTAGGCGGAACATTCGGAATAGCGACCACTGGCCAACAGGTTTCGCTATCTGTGACGCAAATCCATTTGATTTGTGTCAGAGATGAGATCGGAAAACTGGAAGAAAATCTGGTAAGAGTCATACTCCGTGATCAAAATAAGTCTTTACTTGAAGATCCTCGAGGCTCTTAAGTGAGGGTGCTCCCAGGCTAGAGATATCTCGAGTGCGGCGGAAGTTCCCGCTTTGTTAGAAGATTGCCTCTTTCGTGATATTATCAAGCACCTGACGTGAGCTGCTATAATAGGAGAGAACAGTGAGGCCGAGAGATAAAGTCAGGAGCTTTATTCGATTCATCAAGCCACCACTCACCAGCACCAGAGGAAGTAGCCCTACAAGGAGCATCGTCGCCCTTGTCTGAGACTCGGCGATACAGTGAAACCTTACTCAGTACCTGTAAACTACTTGATCTTGATGTCGCTAACAAGTATTCGAAAAGCTAGACACTATGCGAGGAGATTATGATCTAAAAGAGCTACTAATTTAGCACTACCCCTGAGTCTAATACTTCAAGTACTACTTGCGTATAATTTTCAGATTTTGAATACTTAGCAATACAACAAATACGCTACCGATCATCATCATGAACATGATAAATATATAAATATAAACAGCCTTAACGTTAACTGGTTCTGGTGACGAGTTGCCTATCTGTGGCTCTTTGCTGCGTGCTTCATTGAGTCTACTTTCGACGATGCTCTGCAACTCCCTGTCCTCCCTCGCTTTTTGGTCTTCTTCCTGGTCACTCCTTTGTGGCGTTTCTTCTGCTTCCGTGGCTCCCGGTGCCAAGGGTGAACCTGCTGGATTGATGTTAGAGTTCGTGCTAGATTATTTGCCGGGGAGGCAGACTCGAGTGGGTTCCCTTTCTGGACATTAAAGCCACCACCCACTTTTTGAAACTGGCAAGGAATCCACTCGGTATAGCCCTAGCGTCATAGACGCGGAGTATTAGGTAAGCACCAAGCTTAAGCCTTAAGGACCTTTGGCGTTTGATGAGGGTCGTTTGCCGGTTCGTCTTTTCCGGGCTCCTCCGGAGCAGCCGGAGCAGCCGGTGGCGGTGGTGACGGCACGACCACAGGGCCCACCAGCTTGCCCCTGTCGGCTGTTGCTAGGCCAGTGGCTGCAGGTGGTGGTCGGTCGGAGTCAGACTCTTCTTTCAGCTTTACTTCCACTGGGGGCGCGGAGGCCGCTGGGTGCACGGAGTCCGCTGGGTGCACGGAGTCCGCTGGGTGCACGGAGTCCGCTGGGGCTCCTGGTTCTTGTGATGGTCCTGGTGATGGTGCTCGTGGTGTTGATTGGCCAGGGCCTTCAGATTCTGCTTGGTGAAGCTCTTCTCCCTCTTGCCGGTCGGTGTCCTGTGCCACGGATGGGTCTGCTGGACTGATGTTAGAGTTGGTACTAGATCATTTGCCGGGGAGGCAGACTCGAGTGGATTCCCTTTCTGGACATTAAAGCCACCACCCCCTTTCTGACACTGGCAGGGAATCCACTCGATAAAGCCCTACCGCCATCGACACGGAGTATTAGGTAAGCACCAAGCTTAAGGACCATTGGCGCTTGATGAGGGTCGCTTGCCGGTTCGTCTTTTCCGGGCTCCTCCGGAGCAGCCGGTGGCGGTGGTGACGGCACGTCCGCAGGTGGCAGCTCCTCCGCGGGCATGCGCATGGAGTCCGCTGGTGGTTGTGGTGGTCCTGGTGATGGTTCTTGTGATGGTGCTTGTGGTGGTCCCGGGGGTGGTGTTCGTGGTGTTGATTGGCCAGGGTGGTCGTTGTGTCCATTGGCCGCTTCTTCCGCTTTCGGCTCCTCGTTCTTCACTTCTTCCTTTTTCAGCTCCCGTCGTCTATTCACTTCTCCCACTTCCTCTTTATTCACTCCTCCCCTTTTCGTCAGCTTCTCTTCAAGCTCCCGTCTATTCACTTCTTCCTCTTCCAGCTCCTCTCCCTTCACTTCTTCCACCTCCTCTCTGGTGAATAATGTTGATGGGCCAAGGCCGTCTACGTCTTCGGGTGGTTGTGGTGGTCCTGGTGATGGTAGTGTTGATGGGCCAAAGCCGTCTTCAGCTGGTTGTGGTAGTGTTGATGGGCCAAGGCCGTTTTCAGGTGGGTGTCGGTCAGCCTCAGTCTCTCCTTTCTGCTCTACTTTTACTGGCTCGGGGTCCGGTGGGGCTCCTGGTGATGGTTCTTGTGATGGTGGTTGTGATGGTCCTGGTAGTGGTGCTCGTGGTGTTGGTTGGCCAGGGTCGTCCGTTTCTTCCTCTTCTGGCTTCTCTTTACTCACTTCTCCCTCCTCCGGCCTCTCTTCTAGCCTCTCTTCACTCACTTCTTCCACTTCCTCTCTATTCACTTCTTCCACTTCCTCTCGATTCTTATTCACTTCTTCCCTTTTCGTCAGCTTCTCTTCCAGCTCCTCTTGTTTCATTTCTTCCTTTTTCGCCAGCTTCTCTTCCGGCTCCTCTTTTTCTTTGTCTTTCTCGTCGTCCTCTCCTTCCTTTTCGGAGCCGGAAACTCCACCTTGTTCCAATGATCCTTCTCTATTTTCCGCTACTACTGAACCTGGATTCCAGTCCCATTCTGATTCTGAAGTAGCTGCACTAGTTAGCAGCTGAAGTTTAGGGGTTGCAAGTTGACCCATCTAGGTCGCATATCTATGACCTTCACCTTCCTGCTTGTTATGCTTGATGAGGTCAGAGATATGCTAATAGAGAGGTCAACTAACAACCCCTAAGAAGTGGTGGGTTACTGGCGTCCTCGTAGAGGATAGAGTCAACTGCCTTTTGCCTCTGCAATATTTCGCCAACCGTCTGGACCTGATGTTGCCCATCCTCGACCAACGCTTGCTGATGCAGTTCCTGTTGCTGGAGCAAAGCAGAAGATGGCAGTAGCAGCGTTGTTGACTGCGCTGATGTCCTTTCGCTTTCGCTTTGTTGATCAACTTCAGGACTGAAAAGAAGTGAAGTTGGACGTTGCTGCGAGTTGGCCTCTTTAGCTCGCATATTATCTATCACCTTCCTACTTGAAAAAGGTCAGAGATGATATGCTCTCCGGTAAATGTAGGTCAACTTCCAACCCTTAACGAAAGGTAAGCCTCGCGAGTGAGACACACAGTCTCGTCCTCGGTGGGCAGCAAGCTGTTGATGGCGAGCGCACATCTCCAAAGCAGGAAGGGGCCCGACAATGTTATGAGCAGCAGCAGCACGCTGAGAGCCGGCAGACCAAGTAGCTTCACGTCTTTCATGCACAGAAGCGCTTCTAGCCTCGAATATGCAGACCACCTGAGGAACGGCCGCCATCGAGCCCCTCCTTCTAAACGTCGAGGACCCGCCTGCTTCGTGGTCTTGGTCCTCATTATTGAAGCTGCACCAGCATAACTGTTGGTCGCGTCACTGCTGTCCTTCGTAGTTCCCGAGCCTAGAGGACTACTAGAAAGAACACGGTTCGTGTTGCTATAGACCCAGTCTCCGATTTGCTGAGGCAGGAGGTAGAAGCTTTCTCTAGAAACGCTGTCTTCACCTGAAGACGGGGTTGTCAGACGCAGCCGAGACTTTGGCGAAAACTGCAACGGAGATTCGATCTCCTTCTCATTTACTTTTTAGAGCCTGCCAGCCACCACCATAAAATTCAAATAGGATATAATTCCAACGTGTTGGTTCGTGTTTTTGAGAAGATTATTTTTATCATGCATCTTGGACCCACCACTACCACTTGGAGCTGTCCTCCCAGTGTCATGAGATGAGCGACCTCTTCTACCCCTACATCTTCTACTCTTTCATGAGCAATATGTATTTTCTCGTATGCGCAGATAGCACCAAGACGCTTCAGCTACTTCTGAGAATGGATAACACAAAGGAATGCCTTAATCCTTGCTCGTCTTCTTCTTTCTCCGCTTTTTCTTTTTCTTTCCTTCCTGAGCATCGTCTCTGCCGCATGAAGGCGGGACCACAAGGGCTCCTACAGGTTTTGCTTGTTCGTCTGCAGTAGTTTCTACTGATGCTGGATCTTTCTCTTTGTCACACGACTCTTCCGGATCATGAACACGCCTAGTAGAGGCAGTACTAGTAGCCCCTCTTGCGGTTGTACTCGCATGTCGACGATCAAGATCTACGGGTTGCGCAAGCACCCCACCACTAGTAGAGGAAGAAGCCATTGCTGCAGCTCCAGCTCCTGGAACTAAATCACCAGGTAGCACGATCACCTGTAGGAGTGCGTTACAATGAGGCAGAGGAATCGTCTAAATAAATTTAAAAACGAATCTTCTTGTTCATGAAAATTCCATCACGTCGCTGAGTCTTGTAGAGCACCAGGCTGAGAGATGATCGCGAAAGCGACGCTTTCTTAGGCTGCAATACTTCTTACGGGGCTGCTGCTCTTTGTCGTCTAAGTCATCTCTGAGTTCACCACTGTCCCACGTCCACGCTAGGCTTTGCTTGAGGCCGAGAGGCAGTTTTCAAGCAGTGAAAAAAGGGACTCGTTCGACATGGTCATATTAGGTATTCGATACTGGTGGCACTTTTAGGACTCTTAACAGGAAGGTTGCTTTGACATTGAGATTGAGGTAGCTACTTCTTTTTTACATTTACAACAAGTTGTAGAAGAGCTTCCTAGTAAAACAAAGAGAGCTACACTTGTTGTTCAACATCATACACTTCGTCTCAGAAAGGTTCAACAGCATGCGAAGTTGCACCCTCACAATCATAACAGATGCCTATCCAATGCTCTTAGGACGGTTTTTGGCCATGTTCTCTCGTCCATTACTACTTGCTCAGTTTGTTACGTAGTCCTAGCCTCCATCTCATTTGTCTCGTCACTCGTGGTAAAACAAAATTCCAAGTCAGTGGCTGCATGTGCATTCACAAAAGCCTGTAGCAGTATTGCGACGTGCCAGCTTCCGTTCAAGTCAATGTCAATATTTTTGAAATTTTAAGAAATGAATTAAACGAAATTTCAGAAATGGCTCCCAGTAAGATGTTCAATCTTAGTCGATGAGCAGGTAGTGTTCGTCTGAGGCGGGTCAATGTTAATACAGCTGGGGTAGTGCTAGTATCCCCACTTCGTCGTGGGGTGCTTGGGCATATTATTGGCTGGGGTGGGGTGTATGGCGTTGTTGCTGGTGACCTCAATGTCCATGAGAAGAAAGTTCCTGATCATGATCTATGATCATCTTATGGCTCAACATTTTCATCGTCATGATCTTGTGAACAGCAAAAAAATCACTGAATGATGGAACGGACAAACATGTGTGTCACTCCCCGTTGCCCTTCAGTTCTTTTACCAGGCGAATATGCGGCACTAAACCACCAGTGTTATCCGGTACTACAACAGTTCCAAGACTTGATACTTTCTCCCTTGATCGTTCCTGGAGGTCCGTCTACTTTTCCTTCTCCGCTTTGGTTGATGTACGGTTAGAGGTGAATTATGCGTTCCTCACAACCACCTCACTACAACACATCCTTGACTACAGATTGCTTAAGAAACTACCGAGCCTTAAAAGAAATATTCCCCTTCTGGTGGAAGGTGAGGGAGTCAGAGACGTAGTTCGCTTTTCGTCGTTCCTTCTTCTTTTTCTCGTCATCTGCTTTGCGCTCAGCTCGTGTTTTTCCCTCCCGCAGGATGTCAAAGGTCGTGCGCGTGAACCGCAAGTACATGCAGCTCAGTAAGATTGCTGCGATAGAAATTAGAAGAGATGATGACGTCGATGATCCTCTCATGATTGATGATGATGTACAAAACAGTAACCAGGTCGAGTGGATGTATCCGCTCCCGCTTTAGTATCTGAAAGAGCAGTATGATGAAAATTTCAAGCATCACAACATCAAAACCGACGACACACATAGGCAAGACAAGAAATAAGAAAGAAAGCAGTGTAAGACAAAGAATAAGAATCCGAGTCTCAGTCCTTGTCTTAACATAGTATGCTGCAGGTTAAATTCGAACTTGACCCCGTTGGTGTCTGTCATCGGAAATGCGTTGATGAGCGCGTTTCGGAAGCCTTGCAAAACACCCCAATGCTGGATCCATTCAACATTTACGGACTCGAATGTATTGTAAACCAATGAAACAAGAATGCCGTTTTTTCAAAAAAAAACTAGCATTAGAGCTGTGTGTAGTTTTTCGTGAGGGAGGTGCTAGTTTTTCGTGAGGGAGAGAGGGAGGACAGTATCGGTTGTTTTTCCTGTTGAATCAGAGTAGTGAGTATGTAGTTCATCAAGTTCAAGTTACTTTTTTTCTATAATAGTACTGGATCTAGACCTAGAGGCGGGGTTCGTATTATTTGTTGACATTGAGGCAAGAGTTGTGTTTGGGTCGGGATATAGGTATATTTTCAACAAAATATTTCAAAACTCTCCTAGGGCCTTAATCGAAAGAAAAAGGAACGCTATCGCCCGAATCCAGCCAAATTTCACCATATGCATCACATTGATAAGCTTCTTCGGAGGGACAGCAGAGCTGTCGGTCACAGAAGGAATTGGCATTTTCCTTGCGTTTTCTATCCGAATTCGATACGCTCAAGTAAAGGTAGCAGTAGGCAAGCTGTAGCCTATCAACTCAGACAGCCGAGTAGCGTAGAAGACGGAAATAATATCAGTTGCTCGGCTGTTGTTTTTGTCAATTGCTTATATAAGTATTTGAAGAGTATTCGAGTACAAGAATGTCGCCAAATTACAATGTATTGACACACAGTCCTGGTGAAAAAATATTGCTCCAAACATCAGTGAGATGTTGAGGTGCGTCTGCGTAGTTAGTTCACAAACTCACTGACTCGTCTGACACCAGCAAAATTTTCAACTCTATATTAGTTCCAATTTCAAAGGCTTCGGCCAAATATGTACAAAAAACTTGTCGTTGGAATTTTGAATCGGCATGCCATTTTGATTCATCCTCCTTGCTTCATCAGAATTCATTTGAAAATCAGACATCAAACGAGTGGTGGAATCAGAAACTAAAGACAACAGCGATCAGAAACTGAGAACTTCTAATTTTTTCGAAGAACACAAGAAGCTTACAATCCTTGTCCGGGAGATTTCGATAGTTCGTTGCACGGGTGTAAGTGTAACTGCCAACTTCGCGACTATCAACACTTGTCTCACTGAGATAGATTTTCTTATTGCTGTATGATAATAGCGTCCTTGATCCATTCATTTATCTTCATGGTCAACACTGCCGCATTTTTCATTTTTTTTCTTACACAGACCTTACGGCACTCACACAGAAGATTGAATCTAGTACTTACTTGTTCACCACCACGATGCAATTTTTTTACGAGAAGTTTTAGTTGCAATGCACGGACATATTCAAATTTCCTTTGCAGTTTGTATTCTGAAGATATGCTGCAGCCTATTGTCGGCCTTTCTATCCATCTCCATCAATGTTATTTTGATAAGACTGTGTCGGTGTCCGCATTTGCTTTCTTATATTTGATTTCTAGAATGGTTATCGTAAGTAAGTGTAAGATGAGGATGACATGACGCTGTTATAAATTTCAATTTCTTAGCATGTAGTTGTAGTGAGGAGTATCTTCTTTCTTTGGTTCTCGTTGAGTGTCATGTTTGTTGCATTATAATATATTGTTGGATACATTCGAACACAGACTGTTAAGTCGCGTCTAGTTTCTCGGTGAGAAACACTTGAGAGTGATACTGTTTGCACAATTTGCACTCACAGCCTGAGACTAATGATCTCTGGCTGCTTTGATCCCTGTGGATGTTCATTGGGGTTACATGGAGGAAGTCTCAGCTTCATCATTGGGATATCATGTTGCATGGGGAAACTTTCATATGGAAACGCTTATGCTATCTTCATTGATTCATACGATCATCCTATGTTGATTCTCATCATTGATCAGAACTGACAGTACGTTATGAACCTGATTACAGCTATGAAACATTCATCATTTCTTCTATCTGAATACGTTGAAGGTCCTTTGCCTGATGATCACTGTTTTTGGAACTATATGCATTTAGGTCTGTAGGTTATCTTTGAGATCATTCCGGTGCTGTTTTGTCCTTGACTGTATTGGGAGGCTTGAGCCACAAACGAGAGAGAGAGGAGAAGCCAGAGACACCCGCGCGACGGTAAACCCGTCGGGCGTTTGGATGGTGCTCCGGTAACCTTTTGCCTGGCGATCTTGGTCATTTTGCTGATCTTTATCCTTGTGATCTTTGTGAATCCATTAGGATTATGACCTTGACCAACACCCCTCCTCAATCGTTGCGTGTCGAAGTCCCTAGTCTTCTGGACTACCACGGAAGTCATATCTCCTAACTACTCTTCTATGGCTACGGTATACTCGGCTAGAAACCAAAGTAAACCGAATATACTACACTATAGTAAGCTAAATCATCCCCATTCGTTTCATCGTCTGAGGAATCACAATCATCATACTCAACTTTAGTTATCGGGTTATCTATATGGTGAAGTAGTAGTCTACGTTGAGACGAACTACATTCTAACTTAGTTAAGCCATCAGCCTTCATTAAGTTAGTTGGACAGAAAACTATCTTACTGGCCGCATCACGCACACGCAAGTAGCGAAGTGCATAATGGCGACTCTTCGGGCGTGTGTCAGTTGCTTTGGCTGTTGTGATCGCGGATTGGTTGTCGATCCAGAGCACAGCATTGTCTAAAGAGGGAGACAAGCCGTTCTGTGTGTGTACCAACTGAGTTGGTAGAGGCCTATAGAAGTCTGTAAAGTCATGCAGTTCACTAAGCACGATAGTGTCAGAAGCTGCAATATATTCACTTTCAGCCGTAGAGTAGGCACGGACAGTTTGTCGGTTACTTCTCCAAGCAATTGGAACGCCTTTGAAATACATGATCGATCCACTTGTACTTCTCATAGTCTTTGCGCAGTTGGCGAAACCTGCATCACTAAAGATATTCACCTCTGGCATATCTCTGCCTTCAGGTAGTAACTTTGAATAGATTCTATTGAATTCTTCTTCTTGTTCTGGTGAGTATTCCAGTCCTTGGTCTCTCGTTGTCACCAGATACTTTAGCACTTTTCTGGCTGCTTTAACCATTCTTGTTGACGCGGGTTTGCTGACATGTCTAGCCAATGCTGCCACCGGTACAGAAATGTCCGGGCGCGCGGTTACAGCTACCCATAGCAAGGCACCAACTACCTCACGAAAGGGATACCCTTCGACTATCTTGATCCCCTCCTCAAGAAAAGCCGACTCGTCAAAATTGGGCGAGTAAACCGGTTTTCCGACATCAATTTCGAATTTCTTTGCGATTTTATCAATGTACTCCTCCATATTGAGCCGAAATGTTCGAGCTTCACGGCAGTAGTACACGATGGCACCTAAGAAGTCGAACCTGAGCCACGTTTGACCCCAAGGGGTTGGAACGGACTCCACATCAATCGCACGGCCAGGGGCACGCGAGAAGATGAGTTCTAGTTCGGTCTTGAGCTCATCAAGATCAGGACCCGTTGCAAGATTGTCATCAACATAGACTGACATCTTGAGGAACTTCCCAGGTACCTTCGCACTCGGCTTTCTCCATAAGCCTGGCGCAGAATCACACGGCTCCCAGCCAATACTGGCTAGTATGTCGTGATATTTCTTGAACCATGCTCGTGGTGCGTCCTTCAAGCCGTATAAGGCCTTCTTGAGCTTCACGATCTCGCGTCCATGCTTCTCTGCCCAGATGGGTGGGAGACGGCAGAAGACATCGCGATCGAGTTCAGCATTGAGGAACGCAGAATCTAAATCGAACGGGATCACATAGTCCTGTTCTGACGCAGCAGATGTCAGGAGCAGCCTATTAGCGGCGTGTGAAACTACGGGAGCAAAGGTGTTTAGCTCTCCTGAACGATCTAGATTACCGAGGACACAAGCGCGAGCCTTGTATCTTCCACATCTTTTAATAGTTAGAATTATGGCAATTGGTAGAGCCTGTCGCGCGGTCGCAAGCTCCTCGTCAGAAGCTTCTTTCCACGTCTCAAAGGCTAGCAGTCTCGCATGCTCTTTGTCAATAACCTCCCGCCATTTGTCGGCATCAGGAGACTTGAGTGCTTGAGCAACGGACAAAATCACATATGATTCGACGAATTCCTCATCTTCGTCTAATTCACACGTGCCACCTACTGCACTAGCGAACAGCGCCACATTCTTTCTCAGTTCTTCTAACTGTTTCTTTGTTCTTCGAACCCTGCTGCCTGCTTTGTCCTTCGCTCCTTTTGGTCGGCCACGCTTCTTGACGTGTGTACGGCGTTCGCCTGCCACAACACGTGCTGGAGAAGGCGCTTTCGACTTAGACGGACTTAGCGGAGCAGATGTCTCGCGATCCTTCGCTTCAGCATTCCCCTCCTCAAGTGAAACACCTTTTGGAGAGTCAGCTGCGTTGGATTCCTCTACTTTATCCAGTGTCTCAATAAATAATTCGTCGGAAATCGCGGTCGGTCCACCTGGAATGTGCTCCGTGCCAGAGAACCCCGATTGATGATCCAGCCTTTGCACTGACTGTCCAAGCAAGGGGGAGCCCAGCGACGACGCGCCACTCTGCAGATTTTCCAGTTCGTCATACTCAATGTAGATGCCCTTCTGATCTGGCAAAAGCCAATCGATATTTTTAATTAGATAGTCCTCTCTGAACTTTACATCTAGGGTAGAGTATTCCGCCCATCGATGTCCAAGCTTGCAACGATCGTCATGAGCGAAAGTTCCAACCAACCAACCAGACGACTTCGGACAGAGTCCAAGGAAGACGCCACGGCGGTACTTGGCCGAGAGCTTGGGTTCAGGAGTGTTGGCTTGAATTTGTTCACGAAAGTAAACTAGACAACCAAATCGGCGGAGCATGCCGATTGAACTCTTCGATGAGTTTCTACCAGTCCTTTCTTCTAAGATTTCAATTGGACTCTTTCCATCATGTTGAGGCATTTTTGCATAGTTATGCGGTAAACGATCCCAGCAGTCACCAGCGTACTCGACGCAGTAACACCAGAGGCGTTTATCAACTTTAGTCAGCATTGTGCGTACACTGCCGAACAAAGTCCGCATAAAACGTTCGCAGGTCCCATTCATCTCCGGATTATAAGGAACAGCCGGACTGTCTGAGACTCGCAGCGATTGCATAACTTTGGTCATGTCATCACTGCTCAGGACAGGTTCTCCATCCCTCCGGAGGAACCACACTACCTTGTCATCAAGTGATAAGGAGTAGTCCTGGCGAATGCCTTTGATAACTTCTTCTATTTCCTCCACACAGTCACTTTTCAGCTTAAGCGGTCGACAGAACACCTTCTTAATTACATCACAGATGATCACTAATACACATCTCTTTGACCTGACTGATACGGGTTTGATTCCAACAGCAAAGTCGATTGCTAGTAACTTCAATGGTTCAGGTTTGTAGTTCGAAGTATCTCTAGCTTTTGCATGTGGTGCGCGTTGGCCTTTATGTAGATCACACTCAGGGCAATTTACCTGGAGGCCATCTATATGAAAGTGCCCACATCTTCTATGAAGTTCGAGTCTTGTAAGGTAACAACTACTGACTCCTTCTTCTACTGTTGAACAAATATAACCACTATCAGTCTCTTCTTTAAATAAGTTGCATGCAAGTATGGGAAGCTGCAAGCGTGGATGACTTCTTATGGGTATGGCCTGGCCGGTGTCCGTATGTACGAGACAACCACCTGCGCCTTTGAAGTTGAATTCCCATCCTAATTGCGAGCAGTTCCCTTCACCTAACCAAGGTATAATACGATCTAAGTCCTTTGGTAGTGAATCATAATAAACACCATACTGGAGCCCTAAGATGTTTGACTTTAGTTTTCCTACTCTTCCGTCTTTACTTCCAGCGCTACCAGTAATCCTACAAGTTCTCATAGTTATTTCACTAAAGTCATCCTTGTGTCTTGAAAGGTATTTGTTTGCACAGCTATCAACCAGACTAACTTCTTCTCTTGCAGTAATGGAACTAGTTGAAAGACTATGTCCCACAAGTTTTACCTCCCCTGTATTATTTACGTTTATTTCTTCACCCTCATCTTCATCCAAGTTCAGCGAGCAAAATCCGCTTTCCACCGGTTCCGCAACTCAGCTCTGCTTTCCGCCGTTGAGAGCTTGCCACAGCTCCGCAACTTGGGACATGTGAACCATGCCATTACCCTTTCCACCTTTACCCATAGCACTACTAGATTGGGAATTGGTGTTCCAGTTCCAGTTTGCCTGGTTCTGTGGATTCTTCCAACAAGACGCGGATTTGTGACCCGGTTTGTTGCAGATCCAACAGACTGGACGGGTATCTTGTTTTCCAGAACCTTTATTATTTTTGTTCTGCGGCTTTCCTTTGCCGTTCGAATTGGAGGCATAGACCTCGGCGGCGATCTTCTTCTTTGTGTTTGCCTTGAAGCGCTTGAGAGCACTTTTAGACAGAAAGATCTTACCACCTTCATTGGCCTTTTCCTCGTCATCTTCCTCTTCACGAGAACGCTTATTCGAGGTCTCCTGAACATTGACCGGGAACGCCTTCCCGAAGGAATCGTTCTCAACTTTGTAGGTTCCCTCCTCGATCAACGTCGCAAGACGCTTTTCAAGTCGGTCACCAATCTGGTCAAATGTCAGACCATCTTCTTCCTGCATGCGTTCGATCGTTGCCTTGAAGTTCTTGCAGAACAGCTCTGGCAACTTCTGTAGCAGTGCACCATTTTGTTGGTCACTTTCTGGCACTCCTGCTTCCGGCGGGTACACGGTGGGCGACTGGTTCATGATGTCTCGGACTTTCGACAAGAATCCTGTGACATCTGCAGGTTGATCCGCGTTGTGGAACTTCAACACGCCATCCGTAAGCGGTTTTACTTTCATCCGTTGTTCCTGACGGTTGTTTTGATCGAAGTGTCCTACATCACGAAGGAGCACAACAACCTCACCTGCATCCATCGCATCCACCTGCCCATTATCGTTCTGGTTGTTGATGAACGACGCAGCGGCACCTTTCAGACTACGAATAATCGCATCTTTCAGGTTGCGCCACTTCTGCCGAATTGTTTCCTCCCGATTGGTAACTCCGTTAGGAATACCATGAGGAGCTGCCGGAATGCCGACTACATTCGTGTAGTTTTGAAGCAGGCCGAGACGGCTAGCTTCCTGACGTATGGCAAGTTGCCATGCTCGCCAGTCGGACTTCTGTCCGAGTTTCTTCGAAATTTCTTTCGCATCGCAGGACATTTTGAAAAGTTGTTTCTAGATGGATTTCTACTCTATACTTAGCTCAAGGGTCAAAGTAGTGTTGGATACATTCGAACACAGACTGTTAAGTCGCGTCTAGTTTCTCGGTGAGAAACACTTGAGAGTGATACTGTTTGCACAATTTGCACTCACAGCCTGAGACTAATGATCTCTGGCTGCTTTGATCCCTGTGGATGTTCATTGGGGTTACATGGAGGAAGTCTCAGCTTCATCATTGGGATATCATGTTGCATGGGGAAACTTTCATATGGAAACGCTTATGCTATCATCATTGATTCATACGATCATCCTATGTTGATTCTCATCATTGATCAGAACTGACAGTACGTTATGAACCTGATTACAGCTATGAAACATTCATCATTTCTTCTATCTGAATACGTTGAAGGTCCTTTGCCTGATGATCACTGTTTTTGGAACTATATGCATTTAGGTCTGTAGGTTATCTTTGAGATCATTCCGGTGCTGTTTTGTCCTTGACTGTATTGGGAGGCTTGAGCCACAAACGAGAGAGAGAGGAGAAGCCAGAGATACCCGCGCGACGGTAAACCCGTCGGGCGTTTGGATGGTGCTCCGGTAACCTTTTGCCTGGCGATCTTGGTCATTTTGCTGATCTTTATCCTTGTGATCTTTGTGAATCCATTAGGATTATGACCTTGACCAACATATATGTTAGTTGTTTCTAATTCTATACACGACTCCTGTTTTTTAGTTTGCATGTTTTGTTATTCTTTTTAAACCAATTTTCTGTAGACGGACTAGCAGATCTTCAAGAACCTTCTTGATACAAGATGAGTCACAATCGGGATCGGCGAGCTCCAATAGACTGACATGTTTACATTCATCTCATGGTAGTTGTGTTGATCGATCTCTCATTGTCATTATTAATCTATACATAGTATACATTACATCTCAAAAATCTTAATGTTAATCTTAATGAATGAATCACCAAATATACATAGGTTGGTAGCAATACGTAAGAAGACGAAAACCATTCCAAAACAAAAAGTACACTCTGCAACCTGCCTTCCATGGGCCTCTTCATAAGCATCAGCGTTCTGCCCTCAATCAGCTCCGGAACCCGCTTTGTTAGCCCACTGGTCCACCGTTTTGAATGGGCTAAGAATTAGAGTCTTGACCGACATAATAAAGTCGCTCTTGATATGTTGCCCTTGGTAGTTCTTCTACGTGGTTCTATTTGATTTTTAGACGTGGTCTTAACAAAACGGGAGCCGCGAGAGTTGCTGTAGAGTTCGAGTTTCGTCTCTTGGAAGGGGATTTTTTCATCGCGAAGGTGCTAGGCAGAGCCTTTTTGCCTGGCGGATCCCTCGGGTCCCAGGACATGGTACTCATGTTGTTATGATGCGGCAAGCTAGTATCCCCTAGCGGGTCTTGTTCCGCCACTGTTGCATTTACCTGTCTTGCCGCTTCGGGAAGAGCCGGTGGTGCTGCGAGGGAAGGAGCTTTCGCATTGTTCGTATTGATCTGTATCATAGAAGATAATATTGATCTGTATTTGTATTATAGAAGATACATATTTGGATATTTAGTTTTCGGGACAACTTTGGAGCTAGTGTTAGGTGGTGTGACGAGGAACGATTCGGATAAGGAGTAGGAGAATGAGAGCAAAAAGACATACACATTCATACGGTTCTGGTAATCAATAATCAATGAAGTCGTGTTGTCGGTTGTACAACTAGTTTTTACCTCCAATGCTGATAGAGTCGCAGGAAGTTCTTTCTTGGGTATGTATCGGCCACCTGGAACCTTGTACATTGACGGGGACTTGTGTAGAGATCCGGTACCCACTGATCCAGGATTGAAGCTAGCACTACCGACAAGTTTCTTCGCAGGACTGAAAAAGCCGAATTAGAGATAGAGTTTATGGATGTTAATGTTTTCCCTTGTTCATGAAAACGAATTAATACAACTGGCCCTGCTGGTCCTTCTACTCTTGTTGTTTATAGTTTTACTTTTCGCAAATCTTTCGTAGCAAGCTGCTAGGCTTATTTTCACCTTCGACATGGACAAGTTGAAGTGGATCATGATGAACATACATACAACTATTTCTATTTTCGAATTCATCAAAAACAAAATCAAAATGCTGCATCTCCATTTGTAGTCTTAGTCAAAAAAAGCAAGATCATAACTGTTCTGTGTATGCACGTGGGATGGTGGGAGCGCTTCAAAGACGTGATGCTGATCGCCTCCTCCGGAGGCAACTAGGGACATGCCGAAATCGGGCGTAGCTCCTGCGGTTTTTGGTCCAGCTATGGCTAGACTTAGGGTCTGCTAGATTGCATCTCAGCCCCCTTATCTTGGCCGCTTTTACCTTGTATTTCATGAGAATACAAGGAAAAAGGGTACCGAGTCCGAGATGCCAAGAAAGATGGATAAAAGCTGACCTTAGTAGATTTAGAAGTAGCGGGGTTTTGTTGTTGTTCGTGTTACCGTTTTTTTTGACTCTCCCAAGGGGGAAGAGCATACCAAACGGGGTAAGCGAACAACAACAAAACCCCGCTACTTCTAAATCTACTAAGGTCAGCTTTTATCCATCTTTCTTGGCAAAAATCTAACCAATGCTAGACGAAAAACTGCACCCTTTATTTGAAAACCTACCCAACCCTAGTACATAAGACCTATCCTTAATAGATTCAAAGCACCCGCACGCGGCCCCCCAATACTGCTAGCACTCATGGCGGGGAAGTGCGAAATCCGACCTGCCTCCCCAGGAATCGTACCAGCGGCACAGAAAATGAAAAAAAATCATCGACGAGGACGAATGCGGTAAAATAAAGCTCGAGCAACACTCTAATTCACCAGCCCAGTGAGGGCGCACTCACTTATATTGGATTACGTTACTCGAAGTTCATCTAGTCACTCTCACTTAACCTTTTGACAAGTAAAACTTGTATTGAATTTCTTCCTACTTCTGCTCTTTTCTTTCTTGCTCTTCAACTGCTATATTCTTTCTAGTTCTATAATTAATCCTAGCTTTGAGTTAATTTCGTGTCCATCTACTTATGTAGCTGTAGTTCTTTCTGTCCATAACTCTGCCTCTCGGACTAAGGCTTCCACCGCCTCCACTCTGCGCCTGTCCCCCCAAATGGCGGTTGATTTCGACTAATTTCGAGACCAGGTGATCTGGTCCGAGCGTAGGCGTCCCGCCAAGCTGCTGCTGTTGATCCCCTGCGAATTCGAGGGAGAGAGTACTGGTGTTCAGCTGCGGTGGTTTCTTGGAGCTGCCGGCTGTCGTTGCCGCACGAGTCGGCACACGAGAGGTACTGCTCGCCAGGCGGTCAACACCTTGTTCTGCGGTGCTCGTTCGGTTTGTTGCCATGCTCCTGTGCGTGGTCGTGAGCCCGAAGCCGCCTGACGTTGTGGTCGCGGTCAGACTGCTAGCTGGTGGCGCGTTTTTCAGTGCGTTCACGCCGACGACCCCTGGTGAACCGAGTCTCGTGGCCGCGCTGCTGCTGCTGCTGATGGTGAGCACATGCGACCGTGGGCTCATGCCGTTTATAGACTGCTGTGCGCGCTCCAGCGACCGGTTGCGCAAGTTCTCCGATGGTCGCTGATGGTGCACGTGGCCTGCTGCGCCTGAGCGGCTTCCCGGTCCCGTGTACGAGCCGGCAGCTCCTGAATGCTGTTGCTGAGACACATAATTGCTACTACCGACAGAAGACGACGTGGCTGCCATCAATGGGTTCGCAGAAAATCCAGTGCGCGCTGCCGACGTGGCCGCTCCGCTGCGCGGCTCATCCAGCACGCCGAGACTCATACTACTTGACGGCCCAATTTCGACCGAACTCGTCTTGGTCATGCCGCCACGCTTTTGCGGGCTGTGCTTCGGGCTCAAAGAGGATCCCCCTCTGCCACCTACACCTTGTGCTAAAGTTAGAGCTCACCTTTATTACCCGGATAATCCATCTTGAGATCATCATCATTCATCTTGATGATGTTACTTAATTCCTTTCTCGTTCTCCTTATGGAACGAACAGTTTCACATCAAGATTTTTCCTCCAAAGATGGATTAGGGAAAGCCGTAATGAAGGCTGTCTTCCGCGATTTTGCTGCTGCTGTGCTGGAAGTTGAACTCCTGCTCCCACTTGCAACGGCGCCGCAAATTGATCCACGGTAGAAACTTGCGGATGATGCACACTCGAAGAAGTCAGACTGAGACCGCCAGGTATGTTAGAGCTCGCAATAAGAATAATCGATCTTCTTGAAAGTAGTAAGCATCGTTGACGTGTTTTCCATTTCCCCTTACAAAAGAGGTCAAAAATGCTCGTTCTCAGAATGAATCACAACAGTACTAAGCCATAAGTATGAGCCCCCCCTGAGCCTGAGGTAACTGCTGCTGCTGGTTCTCTGTGTTGCCTCCTAACAGAGACAGATTGATGCGACTCACGAGACCGTTCTTCCCCTCACTGATCGTTGACGCGGTATGATCTGTTCGCGCTTTTCTACTACGCGGACTGCTACTTCTCGACGGCAAGGGATTGGGTCGTCCGTCCAGGATCACACTCGCTGAAGGACTCTCTAAGCTTCCCGAGTGTCCTGCTCGCCCGCTCGGACTCTGGGTCCTTGAGGCCTGGTACGCTTGAGCTACCTGGAAAGGATGAGTTGGAGTAGTAGAGCAAGATGAAAAGTAAAGCAATATATAATTAAAGCCATCATTTATGAAGAAAGTTAGTGGGCATCAAAAAGGTGAAGACACAGACTTTTGTTATTCATACAGATTCAGATGAGGATGTGAAAGTTGTGAATCTAATATTTCATCTGCGTACAACTTCTACAAATAGACTACTTGTTAGACCTCTTAGTACTACAAATAGACTTGTTAAGTAGATGACCTCAGGGAAAAATAAAAGAATGAAGTCAGAAGTAGAACTTCAATCAACATTATCTTAACATTATGAGTAATGAGCATCACTAACACTATTACTTTTACATTTACTATATAACATATATAATACTAGTTCGTCTACGTACAGTACGTTGTAGAGATCGATCGGATCTTCGTAGCTGACTTGGAGCGCGCCGTCTCTTCTTCTGCGTGGAGAGGCAGGTCCGAAGTTTTTTGAGAGAGCTGCAGCTGCATCGTCACTCATATGCGGCATTGCTTGGCCTGCTTCCGGCCGCGGCGAGGGCGACCTGCGCGGCGATAGTGCCTTTACAGAGGGCGACCTGCCGTTCATCGGTGGCGCGATCGTAAGCGAAACGATCTGCGGTTGTCGCGGGTTCACCATCGCTTCCGCTGTTATTGTCTCTCCGCCAATCGTGATATTTGTCGGTGATGCTCCTAAAGAACCGGTTGACGCGTGGTGCTCGGTTGACATGTAGTTGATGTTCTGGAATTGCGACGCTCCAGATCCGAGACGGGTTGCATCTTGCGGCGGCGTGCGAATCAGGTACCGTCGACTTGCACCACCCGGAGGTTGATGGTTGTGCGGGCCGAGTGGACTGCTCAGTGGAAAGCCTGCCCACATGGGCGGACTGCCCGGCGGGGTCAGTCGCGGACTCAGTGAGGTCTGTTGTCGCCGCTTGTCGTTCAGGCTCTTGCGCATCTGCTTCGGCAAAAAGCCGCCGTGATGCGTTTGCCGTGCCTGCATATTACTGTGCTTCACTGGGATCTGAGGATTCACGCCTGGGTTCATAGTGACCAGACGTGACGGAGAAAACGGCGGAGCGTCGACGGGCTGCCTGTACGGTGCTGGAGCCTGCTTGGGCGTCACGAATTGCCGGAAATCATAGCTCCAGGACCCTTGTGGGGCCTGCGCCATCGCGTCTCGCAATTCGTGCACAAGCGGAGGAGGAGACGCAACATGTGGACCCGTATGACGCGGAGAAAGCGAATGACCTTGATGTCGAAACTCGAATGATGCCAGAACGAAGAAGGAACAAATGCTGGAGTTTCACTTTCAGTTTGAAATTAAGTGCCATAATCAAGAACTTTTGTTTTCAATTTCATCCATACTCCTAGTCGGCGTATCCAACATGAATTTCCGTAAGAAAGTGGTCCATCTCTGATCGAAGATCAATGAATTGTGCTCGATGGTATTGTTCAAATAAGAGACAGATTCTGCGACGTGGTACTATAGGTAGTGCAGCATTTCAACTTTCCAAATTCTTCAACTACACATATGCATATCGTTGTCGTTCATGATCGTCAACAAATATTAATTATATAATTTGTCTTTGTGTAAGTTGTAATAGTAATTAATATAACATTATTTGTTCTCCAACTCCACCTTCGCCGACCTGTGTTAAAAATTATACTATAATAGATACCATTTGTTCTCCTTGTGTTGCCGACTTTCCTGTGAACAGCATCTGCATAGAGAAGCTGCCACCTCTTTTTCGCTCCAGTGATCGTCTCGTTTCTGATGCGGTAGGGCACTTCTTTTCCTTCGAGCTTCTGGAACAAACTCGCTGAGGCGACCTCTCGTATGCCTGCCGACTCCTCCCGCATCAACTGCGCCATCTGTTGAAGCGCCTGCGTTTGCGGGTCCGCGTGTGCATCGACTCCCGGAAGCAGGACACTACCAGGCCCGCTTGGAATACTGTTTTTTAGAGGTAGGACTTTGGTGTTAGCTTCTCCCCTCATTTTTACACTTTTGTTCCCTTTGGAAAGAGAGGCAAAAATAATGGCAACAGAAACTTCTGAAGCCCACCCTTAAAGTGTGCACACCGCCGGCTACTGCGCCAGGAGCAGTCGTCGCCGGACTCGCGTGTCCTATCACTGGGGGAAGCGAAGCACCTGCGGGTACCGCGAAGCACTGGACGCCACCAGGCATCGTAACCGGGACCATGCCAGCGGGCACAATTCCGCCTGGTGCCGGATAGATTCTTGCTGTAGAACCAGGCGCCCCGAGTTGTCCTGCGGCCCCCTTTGGTTAGATCTTCCCGGAGTCGATCTTGAAAGACACCTTGGAAGGTCCTCTGTTTTTCCCTTAGAGGGTTGCCCAAGAAGATTGATGCTTTTCAAAATGGAAGATTCCGGGAAGCCTTAATCCGGAGATGCGTCTTCTGTGCCAGCCTCTCCTCCAGCGGCTCGTCCTGGCGAGGATGTGGAGGCTAGAATTGGCGAGCCTGGTGGTACAGGCACTGGAACGCCGTCTTGGTCGAATTGCACCATCAATCCTGCGCTAGCGAGAGGACCACGCTGCGCTGTTGGGCTGCCGGGAGCGGCTGCATAGGCTCCGGCACTTAGACGACCTTGCCTATATTCATTCATCTTGAAGGGCATCTTTGAGGCGTTTTTCCCTTGAAAAAGGACCACTCAGATATCGATATGCACCTTGAGATGAATTGGGGGGAGCCTTAAGGTACCCTCCAGATAATCCTCGTCGCTTGACCCCCGACCACCTCCTCCGGCTAATGCGTTAATAAACTGATTGGCGTCTCGCACCCGCTTTAAAGCGTCGTATTTCCGTTGAAGCTTCCCCATATGCGCCTCAAACTCCTGTTTCTCGCGCTTCAATTTCTGCACCTCGACAAGGTCCTGGCGATTCTGCCAAATACTCTTGCCACATTTATCCTCGAGAGCCCTGAAGAAGTGTGGAAAAGTTGTAATTGTATTCCTATTCATACTCATATATATATGAAAAACAACATTGGCATGCAGAGTGTCCTCGAACTTCAACACCTCCAGTTCTCGAATTCGAATACAATGATCATCCGCATGCTCATGAAGTGTATCGACTGAGCACATCAAGTTAAAAGGCTAAGCACATACAATACAATGAATCAGTCTCGCCCAGTTTTCAGTGCAGACTGCTGCGCGGGGGTGTCATAGATATCTTTCTTTAGAAAAATTAGAATAAAAATTCTCCAAGATGAAACTGATGCTGCCTTTTTTACCTATAGCCCTCTCCGATTTCGCTAAGCTGTGACTCCAGGTGTGTGATTTTCTTTTCGTATTGCGCTGATGCCTTCTCAGCAGCTTCTTGAACCTTTTTCAGCTCTTCTTCGTTCACCATATCGCGTTTTCCACGACCTCCTCCGCCTTCAAGGATTAGAAACTCCATTGTGCTTGTAGTGCTATTCATCTATTTAACTAGTAGAAGTAGAGCTAGTAATACTATTTATCTATATCTATTTATAAGAAGAGCGATGAATTGTTTAGATTGTAGGCGCTTGCGTTAGTAAGTCGTTAATCCACTTCTTGAGTTGAAGCTCAAGTCTTACTTTATATTCTATAATTGTAAACAAATTTACAACTACTAATCCGTTTATATTGATGCTGCACCACCGGAAAAAGTAGAAGATTTCAACTTGTTCAGAAAACTTCTACTTTATCAACTTTTCTTGACGAGTACGAGTAGATTACATCAGTATCCATCAGAATTTTTCTTCTAATCTTCCTTCTTGGGCTTAACTTCAATTGCTGTTCCAGCTCCTCGGCTTTCTTCTTTGACTCCTCGTAATAACGTCGTAGGATGGCCTCCTTTTTATTCCAGCCCTCCTTCATGGCATCGACCTCAGCTTTCGTCACGCTCTGCCTTTCGTTTTCTACCAGTGCCCATTCCTCTTTAAGGTCGATTAATCTGGAGGACGTGGTCGTGGTGACGATGGTAAAGATGGTAATGGTTTCCTTCGGGTCTCTTCATCAGACTGTCAGTGGCATGAGACTTAAACGGTCAACATTGTCATTTTTGTTGTTAGTACAGCAAGGTCAGAGGCAAGCAAAATCAAGTAGCAATAGATCTACAAGCAGATGAAAACTTCTTTGTCGATCAGAAGGTCGATCAGAAGTATGACAGACTTTCAGTTTATTCAGACGTACGTGCTCGTACAGTAGAAAATGAAATATTTTTACTCGCTGAGATTCAAGTCGCCGCTTCCATCGACATCGAGTTTTCGGAAAACTCGTTTCGCAAAAAAATGGAGAAATTTGTATCTTTCGAGCCCGCTCACCAGTTCGTTTAGGGTAATGGTTCCCTCGCCACCTGCATCCAGAGCTTGAAATCCTTCACGGATGGTCAAGAAGCGTCTCATGAGCCAGAGACAGAAGCAATACACGTCGTTTTCGCACTTTTCCGTCAAATCTTGGTCGTACGCGCGCTCTTGCTTCTCGAGCAAATCTTAGAGAAGAAGTCTCCTTCTAGAAGCAAGCCCTAAATTATATCCATTTTGAGATACAGCCACTCTACTGGGATTTTCCCCCTAAAAACGAAAACCCCTTTGATGAATATCAAAATCGAGATATTAGATGGATCCTTCTGAGTTAAGAGATGCAGCCTCAAAAATCTCTGTGCGCTTCTTGAAGAGTTTCGAACTTGGAGGCAAGATCTTCTCGACTGGCTTTCAGTTGCGCGAGCTCCAGCTTGAATTTGTCAGCCAACGTCGCCGCTTTGGCGGTCTCTTTTCGGCTCTCCTCTGCTTCTTGCCTATGCGAGAGTAGGTTGAAGATGATTGTTGTAATATTGCAGCACTAGAACTAGAAGTGAAGAACAGTTGTACTATATTTATTGACACGATTGAGATAATCAAAATGAATATCAGGAATCGCATTCGCAATCGTGTTGAGTGTCGTTATACCTAAAGCTAGCAACAATCAGCGCGTCCTCTAAAAAAAAAACTAAAAGAACTCTAAAAAATACCTAAAGCTCGCGACCGTGCGTCCCGTTAAGGCATCGTAGTCGTTGTCCGTAACCTCCACGACCTTTTTGCCAGGTACTGCACACTCAATACTGCTGGATCGAGACATATTCCTGGCTGGTTTCGGAGGCTCCTTTTGTTCTGGTGCCAAATCAAAATCGATACTGCTGCCACGCACGAGCGCTAGATGAAGAGCAAGAAGAGGAAGGATCGGAACAATCTTCGGTTTTTGTCGTGTATCAAACAACGGAAGACTGACATCAAATTGGGCAGCTAGCGGGAAGGTAAGATGTGCAATGATTCTTGACCGGTGCTGATAGACCTAGAATCAGACAAATTGACAACGTCAACGAACATCTACAACAAAAAAGTAAGTACGTCCGCGCGGGCTTCCTCTTCTGCTCGGCACTGGCTCGCCTAATTCGCGCGCCACCTCATCCGCGTCATCGACACAGAGGTCTGCGAAGTTATCTGGAGCTCCCGGGATCGACAGGAACGTGCCCTTCTTGGCCTTCAGCTTGAGCCCTTTCTGAGGAGCGTCTTCGAGAGGACAGGTGCCGTGAGCGAATCGGCACACAATAGTGTTCGCATTCAATCTCTTTTTCACGACTGCGTAAGTCCTTTCCGGAATAGGGTCCGTTGGATCGCCCAAGGCAGCTCGGGTAATTACCTGGTAGTGGGGGTTTGAATAAAGTATAGGCAAAAGTAATTTTTAAGTTGAAGAACAAGCGCGAACAAGGCATGTGGTAGCTTCTCCGTCAACAAGCCAAAAAAAAAAATCATGATTCTCAACAAGCCAAAAGGACGTATGAATAAATGCTCAGCAAAGGAAGAAGCAGTTGAGATACCTGCGCCTGGTCTGGCAGAAAATATTATATTTATTAGAAGATCAAAAGACTCGAATGATCCAGTACTAGATTATAAAAATAGGCATCAAATAAAATAATACCAAATCCCCTCGATCGATTGTGGCTTGTTGACGCTCTACTTCGCTTTCGCTCGTGCTTTTCATAGCGTTTCTTGCCGCCTTGCCGTCGTTATCGCCACCACTTTCAGTCGGATGCTGCACCGCTAGCAAGGTCGTCGCATTCTCCACCTCTGATTTCATGCGTTCGACTTCAGCGCTCATATTCAAGGCCTCCTCATTCATTTTATCGTATTCGCCTTTGTAGTAGTCCAAATCCGCGCTCTGCTGACTCAGCTCACTCTGCGCACGATCCTGTTTTTGGTAGTGGAGATGAGAATGCACATGATGTTCAATTGAGCGGTGCTTTCACTTTCCCTTCTTAGAATCCTCAACGCAAGAAAAAAGAGAAAGTGTCATCCTCTTCAGCAGCTGCAGCCAGGTATATCAAAATATTTTTGGTCTATCAAATGACATACAAATAGTATTACCCGCTCTTCCACAAGGCCGTCTATGAACGGGCAATTTGCTTGATCGCCGTACTTGTCCTTAATTTTCTGCCACTCGGGGTCCTCTTCCGCCATAGACGTCGGCACGCTGCTCATACTGTGTACGTTAGAGCTCGATGCAGGAAATTTGCAATCCGTCTAAAAAAGCTTCCTCCACTTCTATCAACTAGAACTAGTACGGGACGTCGCATTATAGAAATAGAAGATAGTACACCTTGTGAAGGAAGAAATTGCAACTTGATGAACAAAAGCATGAACATGATCTGTCTCACTCTCTACTACCACTGTAAGTACTTCCGGATAATTTCAAAAATTTCAAAAAATGGACAACAATTTTGTTCACCATAATAGCAGCATTACTGGCCGCCAGACTGGCAGCGCGCTCGACCTCCTCACGCAGTTCGGCTGCCTCCTTCTCAGCTGCCTCCCGTGCAGCGTCCAGCTCAGCCTGCATCCGGGCTCGTTCTTCCTCATGCTGTTCTCGAACGCTCTCCGATACAACGGAGCCACTGTTTCAAGTAGGATAGAATAGGATAGGATGCATAGGATTTACGATAGGGTTAGGGTTTAGGATTAGGATTGGATAGGGTTGGATAGGATAGGATAGGATAGGATGCATAGGATTTACGATAGGGTTAGGGTTTAGGATTAGATAGGGTTGGATAGGATAGGATAGGATAGGATGCATAGGATTTACGATAGGGTTAGGGTTTAGGATTAGATAGGGTTGGATAGGATAGGATAGGATAGGATGCATAGGATTTACGATAGGGTTAGGGTTTAGGATTAGGATTGGATAGGGTTGGATAGGATAGGATAGGATAGGATTTACGATTGGGTTAGGGTTTGGGTTTAGGATTGGATACGGTTGGATAGGATAGGATAGGATGCATAGGATTTACGATAGGGTTAGGGTTTGGGTTTAGGATTGGATAGGGTTGGATAGGATAGGATAGGATAGGATAGGATGCATAGGATTTACGATAGGGTTAGGGTTTGTTTAGGATTTAGGATTGGATAGGGTTGGATAGGATAGGATAGGATTTACGATAGGGTTTGGGTTTAGGGTTTAGGATTGGATAGGGTTGGATAGGATAGGATAGGATAGGATTTACGATAGGGTTAGGGTTTAGGGTTTAGGGTTTAGGATTTAGAATAGGATAGGATTGGGTAGGATAAGATAGGATCTAATTCGCCGTCCATATTAGGTCGAACAAAGTCGAAGAGAAAGTGGTGAGAAATGGGGAGGACATTGGAGTTCTTAGCACCAATACATGACATACTCATACATTAAGTACATAGACGATAACTACTTGATCTGTAAATGGAAAGGCTCGTCAGGTGGGCAGCGTTCTTGTCCTGGTCCTGGTGCCCTTGTACGAAGGTCATATACTAGCGTCAGTAAGTAGTAGAACTACGACAGCGCGCGAATATGTTTGCAAGTAGAAGCGCTCGCGCTACTACTACTACTACTACTACTACTACTACTACTACTACTACTACTGCTCACTACCTTTTATATCCCGCGATCTCCTCCTCTAGCTCACTGATCCGTGATTGTGCCGCTGATAGTGGCCCTGAAAGGTCTTCGACGTGACTATTTTGCGCGGAGATCGCCTGCATCTGACTTTCTTTCTCTTGGATTTCCCCACGAGCAGTCTCGAGTGACTTTTCAGCTTCCGCCAATTGATTAGAGCACTGGTACTAATTCGTCACGTGCAAAAATCATACCAGTACGACAAATCAGATGGGTCGGAGTCCAACTAGTATTTACCTAGTACTAGTAGTTGCAGTAGACATTGCGACATAAGTTTCAGTCGCATTGCCTCCAGCTCCGCGCTTCCGCCACGCGCCGAGGTCTGCGCATTAGCCGCTTCAGAACGGGCAGTGTTGAGTTCGTCTCTGAAATTAGCGCTCACCCTTATCCATCGAGCTTGAGACGCATCCATCCTGAGACCGTTCCTTTCCCCCTCGAAAAGAAACGTCTCTCAGATGCTTCTGCAGAAGAAGACGGAGAAGGAGAAGCGGCCTTCTTCCGAAGATGTACTTATACGGGGAAGCCTTAATCAAAGCTGCCAGCTCTGCGTCTTTCATGTCGCCGTCGTCGGCTAAGCGGGCTTTCAAGTCGTCAATCTCAATTTTTGCATCAGAGAGCTTTTCCTCAGTTTCGTCGTACTTCTCCTTCAGTTCACGGTAAGGCGCACTTTGCGTGGGGTCAGCATTGTCTGCGTCCGCGCCAGCAACACGGTTGACGTATTAGCACCAATACATCCCTACTCTCTCGATCTTCCTTGTTGAGTAGATCTTTCAATCGTACGGTACGCACCTCCTTGGAGATACGATTGACAACATTTTTAAGGCATCTCCTTCATAGGAGTCAATGGATGAGTGAGCGAGTGAATGAATGTGCCTAGCAAGAGGTGTTTGCATTGCCTCCCACAGAACGGGAACGCTTGATTTTTAATTTTACTTAGAGTAAAGTCGTCGTCCTCAACATGGTAGCCTTAAATATAGCGATCGATCACTTCCTCAGCCTTGGCTTCATCCTGAATGCCTGCCGCGTTCAGCACGCAAACTTGATACCGTCTCTTCACTGCGGCTGGCGCATGATCTCCTGGGGCGAACTGAGCTAGCTTTGTGCTTAGAAAAGCAAATGAGATAATGATCAAGATCATGTCATGAAGGCAGTAACTGTAAGAGTAAGTAGAAGAGTAATTGTAAGTAGAAGTTAGTACCTACCTACAGCAAAGGTGGAGGTGTCGTTGTCGCTGATATATCAACAAGTGACTGAAAGATGTCTACAGCTTGGTACGAGAGTGTCACGCGACTCCTCTCAAGTCAAAGTCGTCAGAACAAGATGATCATGTGCGTCTTCATCCGTCAACATAAGAGTATAATGTCGGCAATTTCGTACTCTGCTACAAACATGCGCAATTTTTCGTCCAGCGTCAATGTCCCAACGCCCAATGTGGCAAGCTGATCCGCCAATGCCGCGTTTTCCAAAATCAACTCACTGTGGATGTGGAAGTGGAAGTGTTTGTCGGAAAGAAGTCCTTTTAATTTGAAACGAACAAACCAAAGACAAGTACTGCGAATTCCACGTAATCTAGAAGGCCAAGACTGTCGTGGAATCGTTGTCTAAGAAGGAGTCCAATCTTTCTAACATCATCTAAGAAGGAGTCCGCCTCCACGTCTTTCGAAATTATACCATGGTTCTTTAGCAAGTAGAACTAGTACAAGTACATAAAGTAAATAAAAAATGCTAGCTTGTTCAATATTATAACCCTGGGCATAAAAATGGTTTAGCAAGAAGTGGAACTTGCTAGTACAACATAAAAGATCAAGATAAACATTACCGATGAAATTTTCGACACTCCTGGATGAGAATATCCTTGAAATCCGGATCCACGATGTCCAGGACATTGAAATAATTCACTTCCCGATTGCTAACGACCTGTTCCATACGTTCCACTTTGGCTTGCTTCCTGGGGTCCAGATAACCTGGAGGTGGATCGTGCGGGAATTTGGATCCAATAGAATTAGGATTAGGATAAGGAATCGGATTAGGATAAGGAATTAGATAGATATTCGGAATAGGATTAGGATGTTTTCTACGTGGTCACCAGTACTACCTATAGATGCTTACGATCTTCTATTATACAGAGCAATGTCATTTGTAAGGTTTCGCAGCTCGCATGGCATGGAGTGCATGGATGACATGGAGTAGCATGGAGCTAAAGGGGGAGCTTCTTGCGCCCCTTAAAGCTCTGCGCTCCATGCTACTCCATGCACTCCATGCACCCTGCGTGCTATAAACTACTCTGTTCTAAGTACTAGAGTTCCTGACATTCGACGTCCTCCTACCTACAGAATACTGATTCCTCGTAGATCATTCAATAGTCAAACAATGAATCTGTTTGGAGGATGACATCTGAATCTGTATGCATACTTGAAGACTGGTGGATCTTCGTTTGATATAACACGACTTTATAATAGGAAGACTGGTGGATCTTCGTTTGATATAGCACGACCTTTATAGTAGTAGTTGTAGTACCTCCATTTTCCCTGAGTTCTTGCGCCTCACGTGCGGTTTTCAGCAGGTTTCGCAATCCTTGCAGATCATAGTAGTACTGCCTTCTCATGGTTCGGAAGAGGTTCATGATCTCTTCGAACTGCTCCTTCTTTGATTAAAGCTCAGCCTTCAATGGTCACTGACTCTGAACGGAAGGGACCCCCTTCAAAGCTCTCCCCTTTCCCTTCGTTTTCCCCTGTTCTCTCAAGGGGTCGCCTCGTCGATCTCAGTGACCAACCCCAATGACCATTGAAAGTTGAGGCTTAATTTGAGTCTAGAAGGCGGCTCCGTTCATTGTACACCTTTTTCATCTTTTCGAAGATCTCCAAGGGTATGATCAGCTTCGGCGTATCGCTGTCCACAGGATTGCAGAACATGATCTCCGACTTAAACTCGTTCGCAGTGTTCCAGTACCTTGTATTTTGAGATGAAAATAGTCAGGGGTTGATGAGATGCTGATGTATAGATTGCAAGCATAGGAAAAGAGCAAAAGGAAGGGTGCCTCTCCTGAAATCAAATACAGATTGTACGGTGTCATTCTCATTTTCATTATTAGCTTTGAAATATCAATATAGACAGACCTCTCCGTAAAGTGCGAGTGGCAGTGCCTAGATAGATAGAGAGATAGATGTACCCACTCACGGGGTATAAGTTCTTTAATTCGGATGCTGGTGCGTACCTAAAGTTATAAGTAAACTTATAATCATATCATACTGCGTACCACATCTCCACAGCCATTGCGCCGTCAGCGTTTAGTGAGGGGTCGTTCGCAATATTTACCATATCTGTGGACTTGCTCGTCTTGGGAAAAGGTGAGTCGAGGACACCCTGTTCCAGCCTTGTTCTCCCCGCCACGGGAGACAAGGAGGCCTCAATCTCCGGCATTTTCGCTGCACCAGTGTCTTAAAAATGGATGATGGTTGTACGCAAAATGGCTGCAGACCTTCTGGAAGAAAGTGAGAATTCACTTACCAAAGAAACGACCATCAATCATGTTCATGATCATGTCATGGATGGTCGTTATTTTCTACTTACAAGTAACCTACCAATCTTGTTCATTTCATCTGTGTATGTCACTGTATCCGTGACGGATCTTACTTCAGAAATCATTGGCAAGGGCAGCAAAATAAAATGACAGATGGATGCAATCCAAAGTACTTAAACCTCCACCAAGTGAGTACTATTTTCGACGGGCGGTGAGCACAACGAACTAGGTATGAGAAAATAAGGAATCGATCTTGTAAAGGAGCATCAAAACGTTGACGATTGTCATACTGGTAGTAGTAGGACGAGGGTGCCACGGGTCTAATTTCTTCTAGTGTAGGAGTAGGAGTACTACTACTAGGTGCATTCATGATCAGTATAATACAAGAGATGGGCAGTGGCAAAAGGGTGCTAACAAGGGTCTACTTTGTATCCGTATGCAAGGCAAATGCTCAGAAAGTCCTCCACCAACCGATGCCAGCAATGTGGAAATCCACTCGCTCATGAGCATGCAAATGAAATGCTGAGCCTTCGAAGACAAGAACTAGTAGTACAGAGGAATTCTTATCCTCGTCGCTTAGTTAAGCTTATTAGAAGTAGAACCTACATAGAAGGAATAGTTGCTCTACCGATGCAGATGGCTCCGTTCTTGTCGTAGAGTCTCACTTATGAAGATTACGATTTTGTTCGACGCACCAGCTTGGATACGTTCATCTCCTGTTAACCATCCAATAAAGTCGTGATCAGAAATACTGATAGTACCGATACGGTAGTACCAGAAGAAGGTAGCCGCACCAAACACACTCATCGATTACACCTCAAGAACATCGCATATACGTCAACAGCATTTTCAAGCGAGAGCTCTCGCGTCTCTGATTAAAAATACTTACCATGTTTTCTTTTTCAATGCCAGTTCAGCAAACAAGAGCTCCCATTTGGGTTTGGATTTGGAGATTTCAGCGAAAAAGTTTCTTTTTTTTTGTATCCTGGGGCTACTGAAAGAGCGGCCTCAGCTTTATCCAGTTCGCAAACCGGCGGCAGGCGGAGCTTCGTGCTCCTCTATCATTAGGCCACCAGTAGGGGCACGCAACGTTTTACAAGCAACAGACAGGCGCAAAGACAAAGGGATGCCACGTAATGAGGGAAGGAATGAAGTTCATACAGATTCGATTGATGCCTAGATGTGTCCTTTCCCTTGATTTGTTTGGAAAAATATTTTAGACATTTCTATGCGTATGCTTCCTGATCTTTGGTGGCTTCATCTTATTTATTGTGTTTGTCACTATACAGCCTGAGCATGAACCAAAACAAAAATTACACAGGTCAAATTACAGACCATTGAGACTGGAGTTCTCAAAGACTGAAAATGTATTATTTGACAAATAATAGAGGAGATTTCTCATTTTTGCGGCTACAGTGACCTCATGACGGTCCCAAACATCATGATTTTCGGAATACAATTTGAAGAATATATTAGCACTGCTTTTTAGTTTTCCCTCCATTGTTAAGTCTTTCTCTCGGACTAACATTAATAGATCTACTATCATATTTATTTTCTACATGTACATCTAGTTGCACAATATTACATGATCTTGCATCCGTTACTAAAGACAAGCATAGGCTCCGACTATCTTTGATGTTCTGAAGCTAATTTCTTGTTGTGCGATCATTTTGGATAGACGAGGATGATGACGATCAGAAAAGACGATAGAAGTTACAAACAGTATTGAGATAGCTGATACGCATACGGATCACAGCACGTATGATCAGTAGACAGTAGTTGACTTTGAATTTTTTGTTAGAAATATGTTGAAGAGGAATAAACATGATTATGCATCATGAACAAGGGAAGTATAAGTAGACAATTGTGCTCAGGCAGTCGTGCGATACTATGTATATTACCCTAGAGTAGATGTCAACTATCTAAATCTACTATCAGATGAAAATAGAAGTAGAAGAGGAACCACACTATACTTACAACAGAAACACTAGACCAAAAACATCTATTTATGTTTTCTATACAACAAGTCGACCACAGGACCACGTTAACGTTCCTTTATATTAATATGTTAATTAGGAATTATACCTGAGCCTGCAACACATCTTGTAGTCACTACCAGTGTACTCCCTAGTATCGTCCCACGTGGTAGCCGGCCATTGAAGACAGCTTTGCTTAGCGGTTGGCAAGTCCTTGCAGCTTTGCCCTGTTTTTGGAGCAGCTTCACGGTCGGTTGCCTGTCCCTGTACCAGTTTTTCTTTTCATCATCGACTAATAACTCCTGTTTTTGCAGCTAATGCTATCTCTTTCAAGGGTGAAAATCAAAGGTTTAGGGTAGTAGCTGCAACACGATGCCGCAGCATATTTTTTCAGTTTCACAAGCAAAGAGTCATTAGGTACCTGCCCTGCTTCAGCTGAGGCAGCGCTCTGGCCGGCCACTTCAGGCTGAGCGGTGGGAGAGGACACAGGAGTAGATCTAGGTGCGATCGGAGTCTTCTCCGTCGTCGAACTAGCAGGACTGGTGGTGCTGGAGGTCGACTTGATGGCGCTGGTGCTGGTGTCTGGGTCCCCTACTCAACAGATACCTCTCAGGGAACATGCGACGTTGTTCTTTCTTGCCAGTGTCGGGGCAGACGAAATGGCGCACAAAGAGGCGAGGCGTAAGAGCCGCCGCTTAATCATGTACATGCAGTTTCTTTTCCTTGTTCTCGTCATCTTGTGGTCTTCTGAATGCTCAGCTCTGCCAGCCTGAAACTCTAAATACTCAGCTCTCCCTAATCGAAATCCTAGCTCTGACAGCCTACTCAAATTCAGCCTCTTTTTCGTCGATTATTAAGGAAGTCAGGCAAATGATGGGTGAAATGTTGGTAGAAGCACGACGGGGGTGAATATAAGGGTCCACTTGTGTGTAGAGTATGCACTTCCGATGGGATAGGAGTGGGAGTCGGCACACCTCTATCTATGACGTCAATAGAACGATACAATTGAAATCCTCCTGCACATGAGCACGACAAAGACAATGAGCCTTAGAACATCAACACACCGAAATATAAGGCGTGAAATCAAATTCCGAATGATAAAAGGGATGGCAGAGGCACGACCGATCACGTCGAACAACGGTGAATTACATCTACGGGGCACCGAATGTTGCTGAACCTGAAGTAGACCATATGATTCGATTGACTATGCTTGCCGATAGTCTTGTCAATTGAATCGGACCAATGAAGAACAAGAATGATTGGACCGATCAAAATGGACAGACACAGACTAGAGACGCGGAAAAGTGCAACAAACGAAACAAGAGATTCTCTTCAAGTACTTAAGGCACTACAGGTCTAGGAGCCGGCAATGTCCCAGATCTGCGATCGCTAGAGTGCACGAATCAGGACCTGCTACAGTTTCACATCGTCTGCTCTAGCGACACTTTAATGTGTTTATGAATCACACTGTTCAACTTGTTCAACAACGCAGCTATAATCGATAGTACAGCAACATTTTCTTGGCGGGATGTTGATTCCCGGTGTCTATACAAGCTGTCCATTTTCCTGCTGCTCACATGAATTGGTAAAGACAGAATGTTCTAGAATTTCGATTTCTGACTAAAAATCGTTCCAACATTTATGTGCATCGGACTAGACGAGGTAGTACCCAATTCGGGGTGACGATACACTGATGAGCCGATCCCTGACAAGTATGGTACTATGGTGCTCCTGCTCCCTAACTAACATTTTCAAAGAATCTACAAAAAATGCCCAGCGACAACGAGTGCACGCGTTCGCGCAGAGCGGGAACTTCCACTAATGATCAATATGGTGGTGATTCTGTGAAAGTGATATAGACTGGTGTGGGTCAGATAAATTTCATTTAGATTTACTTATTTTCGTAGATCCCGTATTGCAGACCCAGCTCGCATTTACGCATAGGGAGTTTTCTAGGATGTAAAGGGCTGGCAACTAGTAGTAGTAGGAGGAGCTTAGCCATTCGAGGGAGTAAACCCACTACAAAGAACTACTGAGGATAGTAGGACCAAGTCACGAGCATCACCGCCTACCAATCCGCATCTGTAATAGGACAACTTGTTTGTAATTGTATACACTTCTTAGCTTCAATAAACCAGAGCAATGGCCACTACACCTTCGACAAGGTAACAAAAAATCATGAACTCACAAGTTAAACCCTACCCGCATGACTTGCATCTCTTTCACACTCTATCAAAAAGACTCAACATATTACATCAACACCTCTCCCATCAACAAGGTCAATATCAAATCTGTGCAGCAATGACTAAAACTAATGCCATCTACTTCAATGTTCTATTTATCAAAAAATAATGACATTAAAATATGTTGAATGTGATCAATAGGCAGACTGATTGTAGTTAACAAAAAAAGCGCCTAGATAAGCCTATACAACCAGATATGAGAAGTAGCAAAATTGTGACCAATCTTTTCTAATATGAGCATATTGAGCTTGAAGATGTCGATGTTCATGTTCAACGTTCAAGTCGGTGTATAAATATATAAGTAATATGTCCGGGATTTCATCTTCCCGAGATTTTTCATTTCATTTAATATCGCTTCACTTTTAGATTCAAGTACTATGATGCTGCTAAGCAAAGATCAATCAACAAGTGGATGAACATGATTAGGATCGTTGGTATTTTTTTTCGCTACAGTCAGCCAAAATCAATAGAAGCAATGGCAATCCTCGCAATGCGGTGATTATATTTTACATTTCTTTGATTAACAATTGTGCTAGCTTGCGCTTGGTGCGCTTTATTCTGCTTTCTGCCGTAGTACAGCCCCACTTCCACGTCGTCGACCCATTCTAAGCACGAGCTGCCTCGGCTTCGTATCCCCCCTTACTTAGATTAGCGCTCATAATGATTCATCTTTATCTTCGCACTGTTGCTTCAATAAATCTCCAATCGAACACAATAGAAATTAAGTACGAGATTCTCTGAGATGAACAACAAGGGGAATTGGAAAGGGTGGAAGTTCTGCTATCTGTGAAAAAGAACATCAGTTGATTAAGTACGTTGTCATTGACTATAATTGATTGATTCATGTGCCTGGCAAGAGGTCACTTTTTGAGGAGCGAGTGTGTTTCCTCATCACGATCAGCCGTAAAATTTTTACTGTTTCTGTTAGAGGATCTCTCCTGTAAGTAGTCGATGCGTTTCTGCCAGCCGTTCGTCATCCTCTAGATCCACGTCAAGACCGCTATCCAAAGCCACCAGAGCGTTGAGCCACTTCTTCAGCAGCTGAATTTCAAGTTCCAAGTCCTTAATTCTGGGACTGTCGTACATTTTCACGGTCTTGGTACGCAGCCGTCGGTAATGGTTGCCGACATAACCGCTGAGGCACATTACATCCTCTTCGCCACGCGACAGACCTGGAAGGTGGTTGCAGAGAGCAGGCCATTCATCACGTTGGGAACTCAATGCATCGTCAACATCAATTATGGGTTCATCTGAGCCATTTTCAAATAACGCCAGGTCTTAACCCACTACTACTTCCACTTAGGTTAGGTTAGGTTAGGTTAGGTAGTGGCTCACCTATGAGGGGGAGAGCGTTCGAGGCCATTGAAAAGCCATAAAAATAGATCTTAACCTTAAGTGACCAGTCACCTAATATGATTTGAATGAATGAATGTGAATCCATGTTATGGAAATGGAATCTTTTGATGTAAGTCGTGTAAGTAAAAGTAAGAGTAATCTTAAACTCCATTCGAAAAGCAAGAAGAAGTACTGACTCGCAGATCGTGATCTTTTGAGTAGCCTTGCATGGTTGCATGAGTCGCCTTGCGTTCGAAGTCGCTATCGCCAATGCTAATCACGTTTTTCCACGATTGTCTTAGGGCTGTCCTACATTCTCTATCATCATCTTTTAGTAGTTGTATCCTTGATGAAGAGTTGTATCAACATCAACATCTGGTAGAAATACTGCGAGCCTTTGCCTTAATTGTCCAGGGTATTGAGAATAGAAGTGTTCCACTTCTCTCCGGATAGCCAGCTGTTTCTTCCCCGTCCAAAACGCTTCCTGTGCTGCTGGGTCATTCACTGGAGGATCCTGTTCTCGGTCTGAGGAGCTGCGGGCTAAAGGTATTGGTTTAGGTAAGGATACTTGGTAGACAATGATAGGACTAACAAAGGTGAACGTAAACCTAAAGGTAAACGTAACAAAAAAAAAAAATTGTTCTTGGCCTTCTTGGGTCGATATTTCAGAAGCCGTATCGATCTTCATCTGAGATCAGATGCATGTGGAAGAACAACACCAGAGTACGCATCAAATACAGGAGATGGAGATGAAGCCAAGTACAAGAAATATTAATATGGGTTATATGAAAGACGAATATCTCCTAGTTGTCCCGTGCTCGTTCAGTAGTACCCGTTGAATGACAAGCCAAGATGCAAGATTGCATCTATGAGAGAGAAAAGCGGCCATTGCAGCATTGAAAAAAAGAACAAATAATATCAAATAAATCCTTATGAATGTTGCTTATCATGGTATGTAGGAAGCAAATACCTAAATCAGTAACAAACAGTAGCCCATTGGTTAAAGAAACAAAAAATAGATACCTTCCTGAGCATAGACGATGTTTATGTCGTGATCCTTGATCAATTGGCCAATACGCGGAAAGAAGTTGTCACAGCTCAATTTCACCCATGGTACTCGAGCCAGTGTAACCTGTGTTATATATATGCGATTTTGTGCAATGTATCGCTTTCCCTTTTTGTACAACAAGCGTGTGACGATGATGATGATGATGACGATGATGATGATGATGGGAATCCATTCGGTGGATTGCCTAGGATTTCCCTGACCAAGCGCATCTACGTGGTGACACTTAGGAGTTCGTTACAACCATATCGATGACGAAGACATAAAACAGAAGCAGAAATGGAAAACACTGTAACATAACCTTCATTTTCATCACGGTGGAGCTGGAGATAACTCGGGTACAACTGTTGACAACATGATCAAAGGAGGAAACATCTTCTTCATCAAGAAGATGATCAGGGAGCTTAAGCTTAATTAAAAATGATAAGTACAATCACAACTCGTCCACGTTGCAAAGCCGCGAGAAGGAATTGCTCCACCTCATTCGCGAGCTCGTCCAACGCTAACTTGATTTTTCGTTTTTGGATGGCGTTAATTGGCTGTTCTTGCAGCGGGTATTTCCAGTGGAGACCCATGTAGTGACGCACCCAGGTCGTCGGAAACAACGTGTCATCCCAATCGAAAACCAAAATCGTTTGATCTTTGGTCTGGGTGCGTAAGTCAAGGAATTGGAATGAAGTAGTAGTAGTGTACCCAATCTTGGGGTATGGAAGACACTTTAATTACTTAGTTAGGGTTAGCATCCTTCTTTTCGCTAATAAAAGAGAAATCAATGCTCTACTTGATGTTCATCATATAGTAGCTTCAGGAGTAGAAGTGTAGGTAGTAGTAGTTGCAGGAGGAGATGAAACGAGGGGAATTATAACAAATTCAAACAGTAAGACGATAAAACCGTGTGCAGTTTTGAAAAGTATACCGCAAAAGCGTCCTGACTATTCCGACGGCCTTGCGCTGCGACGATCGCCGCCGCCGATGGAGCACCAGTCCCTGGGCTCAGTAGCTTACCGATATTTAGAGAGGATACAGATAACACCACTCAAATTTGAGAACAGGCAACAGCTGCTAACAGGCAACAGCTGCGAAAAGTTTGAGACTTCCAGTTTCGAACCGTTCGAAAATGTTGCGAACGAAGCAGGTTTTTCGTTGAAGCCTTTTGTAATTTGTCCGATCATAACAACTGTTGCCTGTTCTTGAATTTGAGTAATGTAATCCGTTATCGATATCCTCTCTAAATATCGGTAACAATGGAAATTAAAGGTGGGTCTAGATCATTTGTTGTGATGTATTAACAAATTATGTTTATGATCATGTTGTTGTTGTAATTAAATCATACTTAGAATTTGTTGTTCGACGACCATAACATCTGAGCACTCTCCGGTCGCACCGCATTGATCTCGACCGACCTACGCCCTGCACCGTCATCGTTCCCTTATGAAGGAGGATGGGATATGATCAGGAGTGAACAAAGGGGTCAACGTATAGCACTTCTGATAAATCAGTCTGAATCAAGGAGCTAGTTACGGAGACCAAGACGTGCATAATCGACGTATTCTTGTGATCAAGAAAACCTGTCTCTCTATATCATATGAACAAAGGGATCAACGTAACCCGAAGTGACTAGCTCCTTCGTTTGAAGAGGTCAGTCTGAATGTAGGAGCTAGTGAAGATAAAGTGTTGTGGTCATAAATACGAGTAGAGATGGGCATTGTGGTCGTGAATGGGCTTGTTGTAGGGCATGAGTTCCTCACTTTTTTGCGAGTTGGCGGTGCTCTTCACACTTTCTCGCTCTTTTGAGGACGCCGGACTTCCTCCCGGGGAAGACGATAGGAGCATTCCACCCTGTCCTGCCCCACCAGCATGACTTGACATTGTTGAGGAGCTCCCTCCTCTCGAAAAACTCGTCTGTCCTGCCCCACCGGCTGCTGCTTTATTCGACGAGAATCCGAAAAACTTCATCCTCTTATATGTCTTTTTTTGCACCACTTTTACGAAAAGTTGTACTTTTAGATAGTTATCGGATCGTATCTACTTCTTATGTTTTGATACTACCTAAAATAGAAATAGCAATATCTCCTCCGGTATCTTGAATGATGAAAATGGAAGAGTGAAAATCTTATCTTAAGTGGTTGTTCTCTAACATCTTTTTTTGTTGTATCAGTCTCTCTATCTCTAAGTCTAACTTCTGCAACCTTCTCTATTAATCAAAGGCCTACCAAACCCGTTATGATGTAAGCTTTCTTTGGTCAGTTTTGATTTTTCGTTTTTTATGATGCTATTTTTTGGGTCGATGCCGTTTTTTCGATTTTTTTTGCATCTGCGGAGCATGGTTAAAAATATTTTCACATAATTCTTTCACAACTTTGTATTTAAATAGAGTTCATATTCTTATTGGGCTTGTTTTTGGAGTGATGGGACACAGTCAAATTTGGAGGGGAGACAAACGGGAAAAAAGCCACGATTGAATAAAAAAAAAACACAACTACAAGAGGAACAATGTCCCTTGCTGGTTAGATATCCATACAGCCTCAACACACTGCTATGTAAATGTTTATGTTCAACAATATTTAATCTTAATGTAATATTGACGGTATTGACTTACAACTTGTGAAGAATCTAGAGCGCAGCGCCGTGCTCGCAAAGAAAACGTCTTCATCAAGAATTCACATGTGTATAATGCAGAAATACCGAAAGAGAAAAACAAAGACCTTCAACAAAAAAAGAAAAGCAAGTCAAAGAAACAACGAACAGAGAGAAAAAGCAAAAAGACCGAAAGAGAGCCAGTTCTGCCACATCGTTCCCTCTCGTTTCTAGCTCAATGTCTCTCTTTGAACAAGAAATGTATGTAAGAATTGACATCACTACTCTACTAATCCACCAACGCTGCCGCAGCCGGGAGGAGAAACCAGAAAAAAAACGAGACAGAGAAGTTCCTTTTTCTTCTGGCCTTGCGTGTGCAGTGTATCAACACTTCGACTGATGCTCCAACCACAGAGTTTTCGTTCGCAAACTACATTGACTTCATAGCGAGATCAATCATAGCGGGAAGTGAATCGGGATCGGCGTTTGTGGTCATTATTCTACTTGGAAATCGTATCAATCTTCAATAAATCACACTACAAAAATAAAAAGCGTGGGCACTCACGAACACGATCTCCCGAAAAGTGGACTTGCTAGGAGTATCAGTGCTACCTTATAATCTCCTCATATCCAATCTATTCGGAATAATCATTCGGATAGTCAGGTGTATCCTTGTAGGTAGACTTTTTGGCGGTGAAAATCAGACCAATATTTCGGCTGCAATTCATTAATCTTCCACACCAGTGCCGCAATGCGATAATATCTATATCCTACCTGCTTCATCAAAAAAAAACAACGAAATGACTTGTCTTCACATGTAAAAGAAACCGACCGCTGCTCGACCTTCCATACAAATATCTACACACAAGATCCCGGAGCTGGTGGCGAACTTTCGTAGACCGAAAGTGCCATCGTCATCCGGACGAGCGCAGGCAACGCAGTGTCGCCGAGTCCGCTGATTGATGGCGGAGACTCCAGCATCGTATTCGGGAGGGCGTGAAGGGCCGAATCACATGTGGCCGTGTGCACTCCCCGTGTCCACTTGGACTGCACCTTGAGTACCATCGTTATCATCGATGTAAATGAAATGTGGAGATTAACAAGTTTGGACTGCCCACAGGAAATCTAATGACATCTACTTCCGCTACGACTATTGAGGAGCTAAGTGACACAGAAGAGCTATGACACGCAGACACTCACACCCCATAAATCCCGCAAAATTTTCATCGCGGCTCCCAGTCCCTTTTCAAACGCGAGCGCGCCACGCATTCGAGACGGTATGAGGGCGTTTAGGTAGTAAATTATGCGTGCTTGTTGACGATCATAAGCAGAAGTCACACGACTGCACGTTTAGGATCACGAAGACTGACCTAAACCCTCAACGGAGTATGACAAAAAGAATTTGAATTCATATTCAGTGCAATAGTTGCAACCTCATAAATAAGGTAGAATCTTTCGAGCACGTGGCCCCCTGCTCCAGTAAAGCAATCAATTGCTTCCGCCGCTTCGCAAGTTAGAAGTGATGCAGCTTGAGGCTTTTTCGCTTCTTGCGCGTCATTTCTGAAAACACCCCGACGAACATGAAGACACGCGATTTGCAGACATGACGAGCCTGCGGAACGAAAGCGCCTCCTGAAATTGAAGCAACCAACATAATCTGGCCGGCCTTTCTTGAACTCGAACCCCAACAGCTGCTCAATGGCCGACAGCCCAAAAGGAACTCGGGCGTCAAGCGTCTGGCCAGCACTGCACTGCGTCAGCACGCCTTCGATGACCATGACCGTCCAGCTGAACGAGTCGCCTAGAAAAGCATGCAACGGCTCGATCTCATTATAAAAGTGAAACGGTGACATGTAGTAGGGCGTTCCAGTTCCGGCATTCTGCGGGCCGCACGCGTACACAGCGCTTGGTTCTGTGTTCCCCTTCACCCTGCACGCACTACCCAAGTCGGTGGCTATCCACATTTGCACCACCTCCTGGTCTGCACTCTCACGCTGAGGAGTGAGAGATAGAAAGTTGTCAGCTTTCAGATCTCGATGGAAGATGCCGACCTCCCTCAGTTCGATGACACTCTTCCAAGTCCACCACAACACATTTAGTTGCGCCTGCGACCGTTTCTCTTCTGGTGCGTTTTTAAGCGCATTACCGGCTTTGGCTAGCGCCTCGCCGAGTCTCGCGTCGCCTACAGGGTCCATAGCGTCCGAGCAAAGCGCCCGACGCCTTGATTCGTCGATACTGCTATGCAGCTCCTCGATTTGGAACGGGGTACCAACAACGTAGGATCCGTATCCGCGCTCGACGATGTGATTATTCCACGCTGTCACGAAATGCTTCGCAGCCGCGCACTCGGCTCGGTTCCTCTTCTGCACGTCAGCCGCAACGCCGAGCCCGCTCGCTACTTTCTCGACTTCCATGATTTTGCAAAACAACGCGCGGCTAGAGGAATGACCAGTAGGATCTGCGGGAAGCTTCTGCTTCGCTAGCACCAAGAGCGTGCCAGCATTATTGCTACCACCTTGATTTCCACGATTCATGACGGCATAGACTCGACACACAGGGCTCTGCGTCTCGCCTGTCTCTGCAGGTGGAGGTGCGCCACTACTGTCGCCTGCGGTCCCACCTGGCGTCACTTTTGGATCGGCGAGTTCAAAGTGCCACTTCGTCAAAGCTGGATCGGACGAACGGCACTCGCAATAGAGGGTCACTCCCTCGCTCTTGAGCATGCTACGCGTGTTCTTTGGTAAGTAACTGCTCATCGCGGTCGATGAGCCATAGACCGTCGCTCGGATCCTCTTTTAGCTGACAATTCACCTCCTTCATAGCGCTCACGACCGTAGGGTCACTAAAAAGGTCATTGCGCTGCAACAAGGAAAGCGCTTGCTCACCTTCGTCTCGCATGCGGTCCATAACATGTGAAAGAAGAAAGTCGGGAAAAACTTCAAGGAGATTACAAATGATTATATCACTCAACCTTCATACACCAGTTGTTACAACTTCATCATGATCTTCATCACTACCTTCTTTTTCAGAAACCAAGCATCTTTTGTTCGATGGATAAGAAGGGACGCAGGCGCAGCCTCGACAAGGACAATCTCATTTTACTTCCTCCCATAAATCTGGCCGACCCATCTCCGCTCCGCCAACCAACGCAGATGAGCTCGACCCAAGAAGCCCCTCAATGCGGCGCCGCAAAACGTCAATAAAGCCATCAGCCACCTCTGTGCAGACTTGCTTCAGCTTCCCAAAGAGAGATGGAGGCGGTTCCGACGACTTCCGCAAGAGCTTTAGCTTACCCGCCGTCGTCGTGTAGGTGTCCGTCGCACTTTTTAGAGGGACAGACAACAATAGTACCTAGCAACAAATACTCAAGAAGAGACTATGACTACTTCCTTTGCGTCGCGTATTTAGATTTAGTACCCTACTCAGCCACTAGTGACATGGGTATGTCTATGAGAAAGTTGGTATAAATATTTATAAGAATTAGAAAGTCCTCGTGAGCCCGACAAAAACTACGAAATTCAGTGCAAGCACAGCAAAAACGAGTCCAATGTCAGTGGCACAGCCACTGCGCAAAACAGGCGCTATCTTCAGTTGCCTGTGAAGTGAGTACACAAGTGGCGTCACTTCAGTCGACACATTTGAAACAACAAACCCAGAAACACGCCAGTCCAGTGATTTTTTCTCATAAAATGCCAGCACCGTCTATGCCTAGATCTTCGCCACCTTCGAACTCGGCCATACTCGCGGCGACATCCAACTCGCCCACACTGGTAGTTCCACCAGCGCTGGTTTCTGTGTCTCCGATGGTGGCCGCGGTGGAGATGGAGTCCCTCTGAGGACGGCCAGCAGCTGCTGCTTGAGCTCCGGCTCCGGCATACGTCGGCCGCGCTGATGCATCTGATTGTAATTGAGAGTGAGCAACAATGAATGACCTCAAGGTCAACAAGCTTGTTATCGTTATAATGAGTAAAATACGCAAGCGTAACGCAAAACAGAGTTCTTGTAACATTATATGACTAATAAATCACTATGCCTCCTCCACCTCCATTGTCTTTGTCGTGCACGATAACAACATCATCTAAGACTCGGAGACAAAGACCACAAGCATCCCTATGATCTAATCACTACGAGCGACGGAAAAAATGGACAGTCAGTACCCAGCGACTCACTTGTCGGAGCGGCCGCTTTTGCGCTTTTTTGTCCTTTATTTCCCTTCTTGCGGAGCCGCGTGTCAGTTCCTTGTTTTACACTCTTGGTCGTATCACGATCTTGATCTTCCACTTCAATTCTCGTCTTCTTATCCTCCGACCCTGCGCGCTGCGGATACTTCTGGGCAGACACACCTGTCGAGCTTGAGGGATATTCGTATTGGTGTAGGTGTCGCATGCTGATAATATTTTTCATGAACTGTTGAAGGTAGTTAGTTTCTACTTCCGTGTTCAGTCATCAACTACAGAGTAGAACTATTTTCAGTCTCACGGGTCCGAAGTAGACACGAAAGCCCACAATGCACAATGTGCTTTCAAAAGAGGAAAGGCGCAAGACCCTTTTTTGGCGCCGGCTTCGAAGAAGCAGCGTTAGCATGATCTGTGCTCGCGGCTTCACTGTTATCTGTCCCCGCACTACCCCTAGCTCCTACATGGTTTCGAGGCTTACCGCTATCCTCCGACTCACCGCGGTGATCATACTCCTGGGCAGATATACCTGCGGATTTTTTGAGGGTGGGCACTCTTGTTCGACACCTTTGGATGAATCTGATTCACAAGAAGATGACCCGTTTGATTTCGGTTGCTTTGACCAGAATTAGTCTCATGGGTAAGGAAAGTAAGGTGTAGTACCATGGTCCAATAGCTAGAAAGATTATCGTGTCTAAAATTAAGGAAAGCGAAAGAATCAAGTAGTCTGAAAACAAGTAAAGAATCAAAGTTGAGACCATCATCGTCTTGCGACGGCCCTGAAGCAGTTCCATCAGCATGCTCGTGGATCTCGCCTTGCCTGCTGCCTGCTGTCGAAATAGTGCTAACTCCTTCAACATGCTTTTTTTGAGGCTTCTGCAAGTCGAAGTCCGCACTACCTGAAGTATGCTGACAATTTTTCTCATCAATATTATACTAAAAAGTTTTTACGACTAGTACTAGTCCCAGAAAAGATCAAAACGTGCTTACGCGGAAAAAGAGATCAATATAGCAAGGCGTGACGCCCTCAACCGTTTGTCATGCCTGGGGTAATGCTAATGGTAAAGGAGAAATAATCAGATACCGCCGATCTCCGCAGCGGTCGTTACTTTGCCATTGGTGGTGGACTGCTTGCCGTCGCTTGTCTTTTTCGCTGCTTCGTGACCTCCAGCGCTGAGGCCCTGCGCGGCCGTCTTTGCGGTGAGTTCAGCCGTGGAGCCGTAAGTCTCCCCAGCTGGTGATGTATTTTTGCCCTTGTCGCTGACAACCTGTGCCAGAGTCTTCGCTCCTCGTTTCTTCTCCTCATCCTTGCGATGAAGCGCGGATACTGCCCCAAAGCAAATGGCAGCAGACCCGACGCGTCGCACTGTCCGTCGAGTGCTACTTGAGACTGGTCGTTCGCTCACTCGTGGACGCTTGCCGGTCCTACCAGAGTGGCCGACAGCTTGTTGGCCGTCCGTCCAAGAGAGCAGCGACGCGAAAGTGTCGAGCAGCTTAGAGCAGCGATAACGCCCCAGCTGATACTCATCCGTCTATCTATTGGATCAAACTGTTACTCCACAGAGTTTTCAGTCACATGACTTACTACTAAGCAGAAAAGTAATCGTGAACGAGACTCGATGAAATTCCTTTCTTTTGTAGACCACCAGTAAAGATCAAATTTTAACATACCAGTACCATGCACTACCACCATAATTTTTCCACTACCTTGGTTTGTCGTGTGGTGCCACAGATGATTGCTTGAACTGGTGGCAGCGCTGTTGCCCGTTATACGCAAAGCAGTAAATGCCTCATCCAGTGACTCACTGGGTAGCGCCACGCCTCCACTCGCCTCCATCGTGGAAGATGCAGCCGCTCGAAGGCGGCAACTCGCCAAACCTCGCTTCAGGTTCTTGTCTAAATATGCTGCCTTATCCGAGAAACCCACGCGGCAAGCTGCTCCCTGCTTTACTCAACATAAACAAAGGTGGTAGATGTTCACTGTTCACAATTCTTATCGATTCTCTATTATATGTAACTGGTGTTAGTGATGGGGAGAACCGTACTTGTCTGTGCATTTTTATTGACCATGATTTCTAGTGTCTGTTGTCATGCTCGTCTGATTCTGTTGACATATAATTATAGATACAAGAACCTGTGAAACTCTTATTTCTATTTGACTTTTTTAAGTTAACTGTGCATTCGTAAAAGCTGTGGTCAATGAACGAAACAATAACAACTTCTAATACTACTGTTTTTACTACTGCTCTTGCGCACAAAAGCTTCCTGCTCTGTGAATCATCCGCAGGGTTCGAGACTGCTTATAGAACATGGACTTGGACGTCATCTTTCTTTATATTTTATGGTCATGCCACCTCAGCATCTACTCCTCCATAAAACCTACCTGGTGCTGAGACAAAACCTAATACAATTCCAAGCGTGCTGGAGTTTTTAATCAATGTCACGTCGTATAGTATCGTGGTCGGCATGTCATAGCCCATGGAGCTTTGCGATCACACATACTGTTCAGAAATTCACTTTTTATGCACGAATTTGCTTTTGCGCCGTTTGAGAGTGAGTCTCTAGATACAATAAAACACTTCTCACCAAACGCATACCTAGGTCCTGCTCAGGCCTTGTCTCGCTTTTTCTCTCATCTCTCAAGATCGTCCCAACGAGAACAAGTTTGTTGAAAAATATATTCTTCGTTGCGGAAGCAAGTTTTTATATATAGGAAGCCAAAGCGAAGTCATGATAGAGATAATTGAAAGAGAAAGAGAAAGTTACAACCGTTACGAAACATTGATTACAAATACCAAATCGTCTGCTTGATGAAATTGATTTTGATGAGGCGGTTGAAACGCACAACGACGAGCCCTGTAGCTCTACAACTACAGCCATGAAATCATTGAAAACTGAAGGTACTTGAAGTTCACCCAGCTCTAGTCCGTGCTACTGTAAAGCATCATGAGCAGCACCTTTACTCTACTCTATCATATCCTGCACCGTGAGAAGAATGTCTCCGATCTGAGTCGAATGTTTCTCACGCAAGACCTGTAAATGGGCTCCAGTTAGGCGCTCCAAATGTAGGACGACAGTCGGCTGTTTCGATCGAATTGACGTTCTTGACCACACGCGTTTTTTCATCTTTTTGTGGTACAACTGCTCCTCTTGATGTACCTCTACGAAACAGAGCTGATATAAAATTTCTCCTTCCCACCGCATGCTGTCACATCGATCCAGAGCGAAGGAGATGGTAGGCACATCCGCCTGCTTGAATTTGTCGTTTTTGTCCTGTAGCATCTCCATCTCCTCTCTTGTTGTAGCTCTAGCCGAGGAGACCTGCCCTCGATCGCCACGATCATTCGGTGTGCGATCGTCCGACGCGAAGAAGTCAGCCTCAACGTCTTCTTCTGCCTGCGCACTGCCAGCAATTGCTGTCTCATCTCCTTGTATGTTCTTGTTACTCGTCTTCTCCATGACCCATACCCTAGCAGCGTAGTCCTCTAATACCTCTCGCTTTAGCAGCATCTTGAAGCCCATATCACGCACCGTAGCCACAGCGGTTTGCGGCAACTGAGTACAATTATACACTTTTTTCTGCCTCGCTCGGTCCATCTGAATACCACGATGATGTAGATGATGACCTCGGCACTCTCGCAAGGCATTTCCTTTATTTAGAGGCAGGCCTTTGCAATTTGTGATGTTGGCTTTCGTCCCCGTTAGTTACTACAGTTCTGCCCTAGTTGTAGTTGTCCCCCTTAAACAGTTCACAACTAACGGAACAACCAGGAAGGCGAATGACGATCAAGTATGAATGTAAAACCATCTTCTTGATCTCCTTAATCGAACGTTCTTGAGTACTTCTCCTCCATGATCTTGTAAAAATAGAACTATTAGAAGTAATACAACTCATCGTAATTTATACAGTGCCGCTATCACTTTTTCGCTGTCGGCCCACACAAAGAACGGCTGTCCTTCGATGTACGCGACTTTCCGAGGATAGACCCAGTTCAGCGGGAACCGGTAGCCGAAGAGGTAACTGGTGTACCCAACTTCTTGAGAGGTTTCGTCAAAGTAGTTCGGATGCAGGTCCAGATACGGAAAACGATACGAAAATCCAGGGACAGGATCGGATGGATTAGAAAATGCAGCTCTTCTGGTTCTACTTGACCTAGTAGTGCCAGATCTAGTAGCGCTCAGAACTAGTAGTAGTGCCAGATCTAGATGTATGTTGTGTTAAAAGTAGACTAGATGATAAAATAGAAGCGCAAGAAGTGCTGAAAGTAGATTTGATAGAGATAGTGTCGATCCGACAAATCATGTACATGGTTGTAAGCGCATGAGGGTGGAGAATTATGATGTACAGGTCGAGGGTGTAACATTATGTATGATGTATGAGAAAACCCAGCCAGGTTGTTGTAGCATAAAAAATTTCTGTGCATCGCTGTAGAAGAATTTTAACGAGAGAGCCCGTCGTGCGTACATTTGCAGGACCATTTTCTGGTTGCTAAAGATATCTAATGCAGTGCGCAAAGACGAATCCTGCACTGCCCACTCTCCCAACAAGTTGACCAGACGTGCAAGCTTGTTCTCCGGAGCATGATCTTCGTCCGCAAGAAAGACACTCTGAAGCAATGCGACGTTGAATGCGAACGGAAAATAGGAGTAGTCCATACTCACTTCAGCGTCGCCCGTCCACGGAATCAGCGAATGATGTCGCAGTGCGCCGAGCAATGTCCCAGAGGACAGGAGGTACGGGATGTGTATGAAAAAAAGCAATGTCCCAGAAGACAGGAGGTATGAACAAAATGGTTTTAGAAGTAGTTTCTACTTCTACTTGGGAACAATAGGAATAATCTTCGATTTTTGGAGATCTTGAAGTAGATGTTTCTATTCCTAACAATTAACATTAAATAGATCTCGATCTCCTTCATCTTCACAAGACTGTAGCGTCATAATCTCTAACAGAAACAATCTCGTCCTCTCATAAACTGGAAAGCATCGCACAATTGATGCATGCCGCGCATCAGCTGTAGCAAAGCATGCCTCTCCTCGCCGGTGAGCTGCTCACCCAGCGTCGTTGCGTTATTTTTCTCAGGAGCTGCTCCACCTCCAGAGGTTGCTGTAAGACTAAGGGGGGCAGCATTTGGATTTGCTTCGATCGTTTCGCTATTTGTAATTGTATCAGCGATCTCAACCATTTTCATCGTACTACCACCTTCTTTTTTCCCAGCTTCTTGCTCAAGGCCTGTTGTTCCAGGCTTGAGCTTCATGGCCACTCTTGAGACATCTGCCTCCTCCGCCAAAACCTTGAGTGCTTCTGCAGGATTCGTTGAGCCATCTTTGTTAAAGGAGCGCCACTCCGTTCGCATGTGAAAATCGACATCCAGAGAGTCTGCCACTTCTCGAAATTCCCGTTCCTGCATTACGGCGATCCAAAACCAGACTTCAAGACTGTAGTTAGAACTAAGTTGTAAATGAGTATTCCAGCTTCGGGCTCCTCTTGATTCCCGTTTTCCCTTCAAAATGTTGGGATCAAGATGCTGGGGAAGGTGGATTTCTTGTTGCCTTAATGTAAAAAAACAACACTGAGCGAGACCGCTCAGAACCTAGCATGGGAGGCGCCGCTTGCTCATTTTCCAGGCCTAGCTTGACGGCTAGCTGAGCACGTATACGCCGCAATCGAGAAGGGTCCTGCACGTAGCGCAGAGCTGGAGAGTAGTCTGATGGAAGAAGGCTATTCCTGCGTCGTCGTGATCGTGTTGCTGTGAAAGTGGACTTCTGTTGCTTTTCTTTATGTTTATGATCCATGTACTCCACCTTTTCCTGAACAACAAGCTCCTTAGCTTCACGATTAGCTGGCTCCGCTTCTTGTAACACGTCCTCGTGGTCTCTCCATTGGTTTAAAGTCAGGCAGTAGTCATTTTTTACTGGCGCGCCCCCGTTGTAAAGGACACGCTCCGTTAAATGCTCGAGCGTGCATGGTGGCTCGTCACCGACCTGGCGGCCTTCATCTGGAGGCAACGGTTCCGCTCGTCCGAGAGAACTAGCTTGTTGACTCAAATGTGTCAGTTGTTCCTGCTCAACGTCCGTCTCAATTTGCGCAGAGCCAGTTTTTGCCGAGAACGCTACCTCTCCAGCTGCCATGAATCCGTTATCCGTGACTGAGGAATACCAGTCAGCGCGAGTGAGGAAGGGGAAAAAGAACCATCGCTGCAGCGAGCGCAGCACGTAGACAGGCGTGATTTTGCTGAGACTTTGCCGCAAACCCAATTGAAGCAACGCATAAACATAGCCAAACTCACTGCAAAAATCCTGGTCCAGCGTTTCGTATAAGCTCCACGTATCATAGTACGGGAAAGAATGCTGTAAGAGCATTGGATCCTCTTGTAGTTGTTCAGCACTTTCGCTATCTCTCCTTTCCCCAGACGTAGAAGAAGCTCTCTCTAACTCTGCTTGACCGCCCAGTAGCTCCACACGTGGTTGCTCCTCCCACAAGGCGCAGACATTGTCACGGTTTATCCCAGGCACATTGAAAGTACGGAGCGGGCTGAAAGCAGGATACTCGTACCCTATGTCGTTGTCCGTCCATACGGTATTCTGCATGTGGCCATCAAAGCTTATATCGATCTCCTTTCCATCGCCGTCGTCTCCTCCAGAGTCTCTTAATATCTGACGCTTGTCCTTGCTTGAGGGAAATTTTCCACCCTCTCTTCGGTCTTTCATGTAAACCGCTTGACGACGCAAGTTTGCGACTCTCCTGCGCGCGTCCCTCTTCTCATTCACCGAGTCAGCGAGCGTCTGATAATTCTTGAGGACAACTCCACCTCTTTTTTCAAAATCTGCGTGCAGCTCTTGCGCCTTTTTTAGCGCGTAATCCTCCTGTCCCATAAGCCTCACTTCATCGAAGGCATTACTGCTCCCTGACAACTCGAGGCCCCCTTGGTGATCAATCAGGTCAACCTCAACGCTTCTGGTGTCTGTACTAGATTTGGAGCGGGAAGCAGACCCACTCCCAGGCAGAGGCTTTTTTGATCGCGAGTGCTTGGAAAAGAAACGCAACAAATACCGAGACACGGCTTGTGTGTATTGTTTCTCACTCCTCGTGGAAGAGCTCCTGTGTGCTCGAGTTGCAGCTTCTGATGTTGATGATGATAGTTGAGACTGGGGCGATCCTTCTTGGGCAGATGAAGCGGGCCACGACGAGCTAGATGTTCCAGTCGATACTTCGAAAAATACGGACTTCGGTGATGACAAACGCAATTCTTGGATACCGGAGAAGTGTGCTTCGTCCCTGAAGCATTTCTCTGTGGCATAACCGACCAAAGCTACTGGCGAAAATCGCAATACGTCTACGTGTGGTCCATTTTTCCAACTATGCAAGAGATCTGGATCCTTGTAGGGCACAGGAATTGAACCGTACTCGAAACTGCCAACAGCTGCCGTAAAAACCAATGCCTTGTAGGCCAAATGCACCACAGGCCACGGCGTGCGATACAGCGCACTCCAGTTCTCAAAGAGTCTTAGAACACATGAGTATATTAATGAGATAAAATGAAAAAGGACAATGATTCAAAATAATGTCAACAGAAGATAATAATTTCAATTTGAACTTGTATCAACGTCTGTTTCTGTACTACCGACAGGGACCCACACGCACACCGATGAAAACGAGTTGTGATATAATGAGAATCAAAATCTAGAGAAAGCACACGCATAACAGAAACTGTTGCAAGACCGCATCCAGACGCTGCCGACTTTTGAGTAGGATCGCCCACATGAACTGTATCGACAAATGTTAACGCTAGTTTTTCACTATGCATGGTTGAGTGAGATGCCCTCCGTCCCCTTAGTTTCTTCTTGATTCTTGAAGTCAAGGGGCATCCCTATGCTCCCGATCCTCAACATGGGATAGTTTTGATAGACTAGCCTTACAGATGAGCGTAGGTGCAGCAGCCTCCTGGATAGCGTTTCGACATTTCAGGATCGGGGTTCATGGCATCCTCGCCACAATTTAGAGTATGCTGCCACCATTGAAAAGTGTCAAAATGCCATTGAAAGTCTGGAATCTGCCAACGGAAATCCCGATGTTGAATCTTGTTGTTGTTGTTAGTGTCGTTTGTCTTCATCGTATTTGATGATAATGTAGTTTCGGTTCCCACGTCGTGGTCGCGATCAGGTCGCTCAGGAATGTTCGTCCGATTGAAGAATCGAGAGAATGATGACCAAACACTTTTCTTAGTCCTATCATGCGGCTTTGACGCACCTGTGCTTTCTTCTTCTGCTTCTTCGAGTGCTCGAAAGAGGTCCTCCGCACGCTGGGTCGTATCCGCAGACCAGGCCGAGCGCAGCAGGGCACTTTCGAAACCGACATCGGGCAATTAGAACTCGACGCAGAAATCCATCCTAGTGAGCATCTGCGTTGTACCCGGTTCCCTTGAGAAACGGGACAAAGATGATTGGCAAGATGTATTTCCTGCAGCCTTAAGGCAAGAAAGTGCGGTTGAAGTTGGCCACAACCGCATAGACCTTGGACCAAGGCATGCCATTCGGACTGGGAAAGGCATCCAAGCAAGCCTCCTCCCGAATGCGTTGCTGTTCAATGTTCAGCTGTGTGGTCATTGTCGTAGTTACCTCCTCCACAACACTGTCGGATCACTACACAGTACTGATAAGCAGTCTCATCTTTCTCATTCTCGTTCAGTCAATCACGATATTTGGCATGTTGTCGGTGGAGGAAGTTCGAGCCTTCACCTTCAACACCCGAGCACATTATATGATCGTGATCCTGATGGGCTGTCCCTGTCCACCACTCACACTCTTGTTTTTTTACTGATTTTATAGAAAGGAAGCACCTGCTCTAACTCAGTTTGTTGAGAATCCGCTCAAATCACGACTCGATTGCAGTATTGCAAGCGCGATAGATCTATCCTGCCAGCTGCACCTTAGTCTTTGGGTGGATAATCTTCGTGATGCAAGAACTCCTTGTCCTTGCTGCTCACCTCGCTTCGTAGTCTGAATGGATTTCAGATGGGGATAATGAGGATCATATTAATTGTAAATGTAGTGCTTTCTGTTTTTCAGCAGCATCGGTTTTAAGGTCGTTGCTGTTGTCAGCACGGTGACTCCCATGCTTTGAGCGTGCCAAAGAGCGGTTATCTCCCTTATTTGGCAATAGCCTAAAATTGAAAATCTAGTACTTCGTCCATGGATATTATTACAACTGCCAATACGTCTGCATAGGCAGGAGGCAAATGAAAGAAAGACACAACGAATTGGAATAAAAATCGAGGAAGAAGGAAGTGGTTATGGTCTATGCTTATGCTAAAAAATCAGAAATTACCTATAAACCTACCATAGCAAAACTGGTTCCGCCATCGCTTCAAAATGGCGATGTTCATCTTATACAACGCGGTCGTTTATTCGAAATCATGTTGTTAGACTTCTTGTACATACTATGTAGAGTCGTGAAGTCTTAGTTTTTTTACAACATTTGTTGCTCATTATTTTTTTCTGCCTTGATTGTATCCGTATCCGGTATCGTAATCGATTGTTTAAAAAATTGTACACGTTCTAGACACGAGATATGAGTGATCAATGATCACGATCCTATTTTTTCGGGGTTTCTCAAAGTGGTATAAAAGAAAATATGAATGATCGTATACATAGGACGTTTAAAAAGTTTATGATCCTGTGTGAAGTAGAATGGAGAATATGATGAATTTGAATTTTAATTCAACATTATGAACAAAAGGAGTCACTAATTTTATTGGAGATCTTCATGGTAAAGGTGGGGATGGATGTCGCCAACAAGCGAGAAGTGCGAGAGACACGCGAGAAGCACAATGTCATGCCATGGTACCTCGTGATACGTTAGTCAAACGTGATTGAGGCCGTTCAATCCCCTTGTACCTTTCTATTGAGTTTACGTACTTACATCACAATCACCTAGCGCTAGCACGAGGAGAGCTAGCATAAGCATTAGTTGTATTAATATTAAACAATGGGAAAATTAAATGGCACAAGTTCATGAGCATGTTTTGGGAATCGTCACAGGACGAAGGAGCTGATTCTACCTTTATTAGTCTTGGACGAAGGAGCTGACGTTATTCGTCACAGGACGCAACCGACAACCCAACCATGATTTATGAATCGTCACATGTAGTATCAATACTACCTTTCACTTGCTCGTCGACCTCCTCTAAGTTTGAAAGTTTGAAGATGAAGACCGCAAAAATTTTTATAATTAATTATAGATACCTCCAGCACCTACATGATATAACAAATTGTAAGTTATCCACCTCCTGTGTCGTAAAACTACATGTCACAAAGAAGCGACTCGACATCGCCTCACTACAATCGACTTACGATGAGGCCACATTGCTTCCAGTTCCGGTGGCTGTGACTGCGGTTCGAGCAAGAATACTTCGAGGCTCAAGGCCTTTTTTGCTCCAATCTTGAAGATGATCCAGCGCTCGGCCAATATCCCCTTTTCCCACTCGCCACGCTGCCTCTATTACTGCGTTGTCTTCATACGTACTACTCGTTTCCTTCAACACCGACAAAACCTCTTCGGAAAGCTCCGGAACCTACCATCATGTTTCAAGTGATCCTCCATCTAGTTCTTGCACGATTAGATAACGAGGATGAGAATGAGAAGTAGATGGGTGATGTGGAAAAATTTAATCATTTAATTGTGACGTTGAGTTTGAAGTTGTGCTTGTAGTTGTACGTAAAACAATTCTTGCAGAAGGAACAAACTTTCAGTAGAAGTGATCGACAAATACCGGTCCATCGTCAGCACTGGTGTTTTTTGCAGCTGCGTCTTGATCGTCGCCGGCGATCGCATTTACATTTTGCGAAACCATCGGCTTCCCGGCGGCCCTATTCCGTTTTTTCTTTTTAATTGCCGAGGCGCTACCACCCTGTAGCTGGGTTGTTGTTTTTTCTACTGGTCCACTAGCATTTACATTGCCGGCTTGCCCAGATTTCATACCTCCATCGTCCTCTCGTAGCTGCTCTACACTGGCTTGTACAGCTGTTGTTGTTGGAGTTGAGCACTGCTGCACGTTCATACTAGGATCCATGTAGTTGTTATACATTCCTGCTCTACAACTGATGCCAACATCTGCCGAAGATATTGGAGGTCCTTGTCGTTGATTGTAGTTCAAGTTCAACATTTCTTGACCATTATACTGGCTTGTCATGTTGAATGACCCCACCCCCCAAGATCCAGATCCTTGTGCAGAATTTAGATTTACTTGGTTGTAGTTGCTATAGTTGTTCAAATTTTGCATCCCAGCCTGGCTATTGAACGTACTGCCAAGAGAAAAATTCCCGCGAGGTGGAGGATTACTCGGAACATTAGCGGAAAACTGAGGTGCCGGCTGCGACGGAATGTTTCCAGGAGGTAAGGTTGGCACATAATTTGGAAACATGTGGTTTGGTGGCGCAACTGGTTGTTGTACAAACTGTCCTCCACTTGCTCTGTTGTTAAACATAGGATTTGGAGGCTTCCCCGAATTGGATCTAAAACCTGTTCCACCTGCGCTAGAAGTACAACTACTACCGGATGCGGATGTTGAGTTCATCTGCATCGTATTTTCTCCTGCGAAGCGGCCCGCAACCCCGGCAACCATTGGGAATACGGCGCCACTGTTGTTCAAGTTCATATTTATTGCGCCGCTAGTACTTGCACTGGTCATATTTGCACCACTGTAGTTCATATTGGAACTAGTACAAGCATTACTTGAAGAGTTGTTTGGAGGCGATGCGGCTCCACTGGGACATCCTAACTGGGAACGAAAATTATGGCCACCTCCACCAAACGAAAAGGGAGGCCCTTTTGGAGGAGATGTGCCGGAACCAAAGTTGGGAATTGCTGTCGTCGTGCTATTCCAATTGCCGTTATTGTTAAAGTTGTTAAAGCTCATCATGTTGTTGCTACTCATATCATTACTATTGTGGTTGACATTTTGTTGATTTTGTTGAAAACTAGTACTTGGTGGCGGCAGAAAATTGTTCATCTGCGAAGTACTAGGATTAAGTTGCTGGTGAGCTCCTCCGAAGGGGATGTTGAAGCATGGTGATGAAAATGATTGTCCTCCTTGTGGCTGAAACGACTGCGACATTTGTTGTCCATGCTGAGGAATTCCACCATGATTTGGCTGCTGCAACATATTACTAGTTAGGTTATTGTACTGCTGCAACATATTACTCCCAGAACCCGGCGGGAGCATCGCCGAAAGTACAGGGGCGTTTACGTTGTAGTTGTTGGTAGTGTATTGCGTGACGGAAACATTATTATTCCCAGGAAAGAGGCAATTCGTGTTCGTAGACGATGGGACAAAACTATTAAACGTCGTACTAGAAGTAGGAGGCATCGTTCTTGTTGATATCGTAGATGAAGTACCACTTGATGAACATGAAGTAGATGTACTATTTGATATTGATGCGGTTGTTGTACTATTTGAATTTGCAGCTGTGGTCGCCATAGCATTAGCCATAGTGTTTGGCAGACATAGAGGACCAAAAGAACTGTTATTGTTAAACTGTTGTTGATCACCTCCAAGCTGCATGCCCATGGGCTGTTGAGTGAAACTGTATGACAGGAAAAAGTGTACTCATACTCAAGAAAAGAGGCTTTTTCCCACTTAGAAGGTGCCTACTTTCCTGAAGATGAGTACACTTTTTCGCTTCATAAACTGTAGTTGTTGTTTAAAATGTTGAAGGTATCCACAACGCTAGAGCCAGACGTCCCTGGTCCTAATCCGCTGGTGGTCGTAGCCGCGATTTGTAGGTCCATCTTCTGCTGACCAGCTGTGAAAGCACCAGGTGCGAGCTTAGTAACCGCCTGACCATCTTCACCAGACTGAGAGGCCGTTTGCTCGCTAGTAGCAGACGCAGAGGAAAATTTAGTACCATTTTGTACACTAGAAGACGAAGAGACGAGAGGAGCAAATAGAGGAATGTCGGTCAAAAGTCCTGTCGCCGGTGGACCAGCAGCAGCGTTGTTTGTTGCATTGGTGTTGTTCATGTCCTCTTTCATGCGAACGTCTTCTCCGCCTTGCTCCACCACTTGTTTCGTGGCGCCAGCTTCTAGCTCCGAGTTGTTGCCTAGATGAACGCACCTTGTGTTAGAGTCTCCTAGATTGCATCTCGGCCCCCCTTTTCTTGGGGTCCCTTTTACCTTGATGTATTTCACGAGGATACAAGGGAAAAGGGAACCTCCAAGATGCCGAGAATGAAGATGAAAAAAAGCTGACCATAATTGTGGCCTCTCCAACAGTAGAAACCATTTCATCTCCTGGAGCCTTCACCAGAGGACCAGGACCACCAGTCTGAGGTCCCATGTCATCGTCTTCCGGTGCTCGAGTTGAAGTCGTGCTCGCGACAAAGCCCGTAGAAGCAGCGGCACCAGCCTCCTGCAGGGTGGAACCCTCTTGCTCTGCTGCGTTAACACAGCTTTTCTCATCGATTGAACCTGGATGAATTTTTTTGAGTGATCTTTGTCTTTGTAAGAATCGATGAGATCTAGTGGTCGTGCAGGTACAGGAGGCACGCTCACCTTCATTGAATATGAGACATACATCACCAGCATAGAGATAGTCATAGAAATACCCGGGCAGCTATGAAGGCTCTGAAACGTGGATGTGGATGTTGTGCTGGAAAGAGCGGGAAATAGAGCCGAGATCTCCACGCGGCGCAGCGCAGAGGTGCCAACTGATTGCAATGCTGAGGCTTCCTCGAGTGACTGCACAATTGATGCAACTTTCTTACCATGAGACACTCTCATGGTCACGCCCGCTTCCGATACTAGCATGGAGCTTGTGCTGGGAAGTTCTCGATGCTTGCTACTGCCCCTGCTTACATCTTCGAGATTACTTTCTATTTTTAGAGCTACCCATCACCCATCCCGTGAATGCATCCCGTTAAAATACTCGGCCCAGTCCTTGTGTCAGTACAGCCCGAGACTCTTCCAGTCATTGCCAGCGCTGTGCTTTAACGGGATTCACGTGGAGACGGGGTCTTTCGAGCCTTAATATTTGAATTTCTCGAATTCGGTGCTCCACGTCCTCCACGCAGAGAACTCCTTGTTTCTTTTTCTTCACGCCTTCGCCTCCGGCGCCTGCCATTTGAGCCGTAGGAAATAGATCTTGTGATCGTTGCTCTTCATCTTGAAAAGCTTGTAGTTGTCCTCCTAGGCCTAACTGCTTGCTCTTGGATTCAGTAAGAACTGCTCCACCTGCTGATCCTGTTACTGTTTCATCCTGTTGAAAAGTTGCGTGAACTCTTACCTCGGTCATCGTCATTGTCTTTGCCTTTGGCTCGGTGTCCTTTTTATTCACTGCTCCTAGAGGAGCCGGAGGACCAAGTGGATCTGCACTCGACGTAACCATGCAACTTGGTAGAGGTTCATGTTCCCCAGAAGCCGTAGGGAGGTCAACATCTTTTCCTCCAGTACCAGTAGTCCTCTCATGCTCATGAACATGATTGTTGTATTTGATATTCATCATCGATGAGGTTGAATTATCTGTGGCCGCGGCCGCATCAATCGGAACAGCGAAATAGGCGTGCTCGGGAATAGAAGATCGAGAAGTTGAATCACCATCGTGGTTAGATGCGCTGCTGCTCCTTCCACGGGCACTAGTCTGCCCAAGAATATCTACTGTCGTGGCAGATGAACCTGAAGCAGAAGGGGGCTCCATGTCGCGGACGATATTTTCGATGGAAGAAGATGATGATCCGAGGGCCCTCTGCTCCTCTTGTTCTTGTTTCTCCTGTCGAGTTTCGTGACAACTCGAGTTTTCATGTGATTTTGACTCAGCACCATGATCAAGACTACATCTAGGACCACGACCACCAGCTGCTACTTCATCTTCTGATTTTGTGGCTTTAATATCATTATCGGTCTCCTGTTGAGCCTGTATCTTGTCCAAACTGTTAACGGTAAACGATACTGACGCTGATGATGGCGAGCCGTGATCTCTTAAAAGGGCTGCTACAGCTCCTGTTGTTGATGCACTTTCGACCCCTCCAGAAGCACTATTGGAAGATTCAGCCTCCAGGACCTCCTCTCTCTCTAGCTCTTGGAATTGCTGTATTGCTGACGCAGAAGTCGCGGATACGACAATCGGTAATTTGCAAAAGCGGTTGGTCGGTGGCCGTAACAAAACCTGCGGCCGCATGACATGATCGCCCCCATTCTTGGTAACAGGAGCACCAGAAGCAGAACCAGCAGCATCACTCTCATTGTAACCGCGACGCCAAGAAATTGCAGTAGAGGCAGAGTCTCCTTTCGAAACAGACGAAGTACTTGAACCTGTGCCATGATGAGAGTGATGGTATCGGTAGACGTACAAGTAGACGCTTGGTGATATAAGATAGGACGACAGTGTTGGTGGTGGACAACACTACACCAGCTGTCAGATGATAGCGCGAACAAAAAAAGTAGCAAGAAATGCATCAAAACAATAACGAGCGGCATTGGCATACTATAAAAATGTTGCGGAATGATCCCATCTACAACCAGGAGAACATTGAGAGGACTCACGTGATACCTTGCGTGCCAGCAACAGAATCTTTCTGAATGATCTGTTTGTGCTGTGGGTTTCTGAGAAAGGGAACTACACCTTGGTCATTCTTTCGATTTTTCGAGGTCGCTTTTGCACCGCCTCGTGGCTTCGCGGCCACCGTGGTCCACCCATCTGCGTCAGTGCTGTCGTCACCTTCACCCGTTTTTATTGCTTTGTCGTGGTCATTCTTGCTGTTACTCGGTGGAATTGACGTCTTTATCACCACTTTCTTTTGTTGCGGTTGCAAGTGTAGTAACTCAGAGCAGTGTTGAGAAAGGATATTGGCAGTGCTCTTCATAGTTGCACCACTAACTACATTATCTACTAGTTCCGCGTTCTTGGTCAACATGGGAAAGTTGGACAATGTAGATGATGTTGATGTTGAGGTTCCACTTCCCGGCCTCGACGCCACCGCAGGTGTTTTCCCACGTTGCAACATGTCCGATGTCGTCAGGGATTCCCCCTTCGAGCAGACAAACGGCCGATCCTCCAACCTGGGCCACTGTGAAGCGGGCACCAATGCAGGCGCAACGCTGTTCGCCCCGCCACCCGCCGTTCCTTTGCCACGAGCATGTCTACTTTGTTGCCTCAGATATTAGAATCAATGAATATCGAACTATTTTTAGTCCTTGGCAGCTGTAAAGTACTAGACCTAAAAAAAAATAGTCAACAGTCACGATTAGTACTTGTTGCATGTATGTACGTATGGATGTATGTATGTATGTATCTATGTATGTATGTGCCTAATTAGAGGTATTAGCCTTAAAGGTATAGAAATATGGCCAGCGGAGGTTGCAAGTCCCCCACTCCAGAACAAGAACTAGGCAGACAGAATCGGCCAATTCTTCTACGCGTGCTGCGCGGATCGCCCTCTTTGTCGCCCAAAACTACGTATTGATCTTCTGCTGTCAAACGAGTTCCGCCACAGCTAGAGATACGTCCTATGGAATATAATGGTAATATGGTAATATGGTACAGACGTGCAGCTGCAAGTGCACGAATATGATGTTGAAGTCGTCGTGTGTAGTTGTAGTACCACGTGTAGTTGATAATTCATCTTACTTTCATGTTGTAGATAGCGTCGTAAAACGAAGTCAACTCGTTGATGCCCATCTTCTTCAAAGATTTCTCGTATATTTTTTTTCATCGTACCTGCAGCCTCCAACGCATCTCTCCCGTAGGTCTGAATAATGTGCAGTGGCTCTGGAATCAAATTGTCACCCAGGCGCAACCATACTGGCTGAGTTTCCTCACGAAAACCATCTAGTGAACGGAAAACCTTGAAGGCAGTGGTACTCGACATGGTGTTGGAGAAGGAGAATTTTTCTTGTCTTCAATGGAATTGGGATCAACTTGTATTTAAGAATTAGACTTTCATTGAGTACGTAGTAAGTACTCATCCGACTACATCGTGATTTTCATTTTCATTCACAAGAAGTGACGTAAGAATATCAAATTATCAAGTACTTACTAAAGCAGCTTGAAGAGTACCCTCGGTAGCATCGGGTTTTCTGCCAGTGCCCCCAAAATAGCCACGAAACCGGAACGAGCGATCATATTGTGCGTGAGGTGTACTTCTGCGATACTCGACGTTTGGCGGATGAAGTTCGCCAAGGCCAGAGCCCCATAATCCGCGATGTAATTCTTGTGCAGATGAAGCGTCTCAATGCGCAGATTCGACTGCAGGAGCCAACGCATCAGCGCAGACACCCCGATGTCTCCGATATTCTGAGAAGAGAGATCTAACTTCGAGAATATCGGGATTATTAGAGCTCCTCACCCTTATCGTTATCCATCTCTTTGAGAGGGAAGCACCCTGTTCTTCCGCTTTGCCTTTTTCCCTTGATCTTGAAAGGCCTCCCCAGGCAGGCTGCTTCACCTTCAGATGACGGATTAGGGTCGGAAGCCTTAAGATTAGTGGCCGATGTTTGGAGAAAGATTCGACGTTTCTAGGAATGGTTCGTGCACCAAGAACTTTTGACCACGATAAAGATTCGGAAGTCGCTTCATCTCCTCCGGCTGCACAGGGAGTCGTATTCGCAGAAGAACCTTTGATGTCAACAGGTTGCTGCTCAGCCTCAGTAGATTCACCCTTGCCTCCGTTGTATACCGACACCTCATCCTGTTTGAGAATTTCATCATAGAGAGAGAGTGGTGACTCGGTGTTGGACTTGGAATACTAGTTATAATTTGGTACTTATTCAATACTTGATGCACGACTTCATCTTCACACGACTGTGCTATACAACTAGATATAAAAGTCTGTATTTGTTCTTCTACTTTCGATCATGACGAAGATGTTTATAAGTTTATGAAGAATGGAGCTGCAACTTCAACCTGCAGGCGTCTGAGTCAAATACAAATTCAAAGCTAGACATCGTAAAGCCTTACCGTGTTCTTCTCCTTCTCCTTTCCCTCTTCTGAGATCACATTCCAGCGCTTTTTCCATGCCTCAATGAGTCGCTGCAACCGTTCGTCCGTGAGCTTATTTGACTCTACTGCCAAATGTCCAGCACCGGAAATCTGCAGGGTTCTATCTGGCATAACCTGCAGATCTGGTAGCCTTGGCCCGTCTGCGGGCCCCCGCTCGTTGCGCAGCATCCTGGGCGATCTTCTTCAGGTCTCCGTTACACCGGACTTGCTAGGTTCTTCAACAGTTCAAGCAGGGTCTGGGTCGGGTTAGGACTTATAGGCTCTTCAAGTCAGCTTCAGTATCCGTTGTATCGAGCTGCTTTGGCTCGGGCTCTGGGGTAGGAGCAAGAAAGAGTAAGACAAGCGAACCGTACACAAGAAAGGAAAGAATCCTCAACAAATCGACTCCAGCAAAGAAGCCGTGAACCGATAGAACCGCAGAAACATGTTGTTAATTTGATGTGAGTGTGAATGGATATCAAATCGAGGAAGGTAATTATACACCAAAAACGGAGTAAATCTCGATGGAGATGTAGTGCCTCTCAAATAAAACTATTTGAATCGCGATTGCTCGTACTTTAATATCGTAATATTCGTTATCCTCAGTAGGGCGAGGGACACAAGAAGAAGTAACTGCAACAATAGAAAAAAATGATATGAACTTTGAAGAAAGACACTTGCTTCTCTCCCGCTCTCGGATCTCTTCGTGCTTATGAGATTGACAAGAACTACAAGAACTATGACCTCGATCTCGAAGACGCAATTCTACCAGTGCATATTGAACTACTTGGATGACCGTACTTGAACAAGTAGTGGACCTGACAGGCTTGGTAAAATACTTAGCGCCTCCTGTTAGAGGTAGCAGGCAATTCCAAAGCAAGAATTATCTTTATCAGAATTGCTGTTGGTCTCTCGTGATTCCGACTCAGAACTTCTCACTCACACGACGTATCTTCATAATCACTAGTGTGATACCAACATCGTCGAGCATGCACTACTGCTTCCACCATGACTTGACGATATGCAGCTAAAAGAACACCGAGCGTTTCGTCCGCGAAGTGGACGAATCGAATGCCAATGTGCACAAGAGGAGCATACTTCTAGTTCTGTAATTTCGAAGGATGTTGCCAGAGGGAAATCGGGGATTGATGTTCACATGAGGGGTCTTCATTTTTCAAGAATGGCGTAGCAGCAGGGTCGTGATGAACTTCACACATATTCGAATGAGATTTTCTTCTATCGAGTCGCGCAGTCCGCCCTCGTAAGACGCAATTGTCCATGACATAAAGCTGCGCAGTTGTGCTTCTCGGAGATGTTGTCATGTTCCGACACTGTGCTTCTCCATTAAATAGAGCGGGTTTAAAGCGTTATATTTGTTCGTGTCAACGATGCAACCGTTGAGGACCATCTCGTCCAAGATAAAATGCGCTTTTTCGAGATCGGATTAGAAGATGTGAAGGGACTACATTTTTCACTGTTGTAAAGGACAGTGGGATACTTTTTCACCACGACTACCAAGCACTAGTAGTGGCGCAAAAAATTCTAGTTATTTTTGTTGTTCTGGTACAACTGGTACTATTAGTAGTGCGTTCTTTGAGCTCTACTACAGACTAGTAGTACAACCAGTAGGTCTCATACTAACTACCGCTATGCTTCAATCATTTGTAACCCTTTCTCGTAATTGAACATGATATCCAGCTCGCAGACGTTTTCGAAGTACTTGTCCAACGTCTCCACCAACGTGTGGATGAACTCGAGGTATCCCAATTCGTTTTCCTCGTGGTCACACCCAATAATGAAGTACCTGAAGAAGCATGTACATGTACCAGTGCTGGGACTATGTGAGTATCTTCGCTATCGGCTATCCCATTTTGAAACAAAAGCTGGAATCGCCATCGTGACAAAGACAATGATGTTGGTGGAGCATATCTAACTAGAAAAAACAAAAACCGAAAAAAGAAAAGTAAAAGTAAAACTCTAGTACAACGAAGCATATCCATATCGTCTGTAGAAGTAAAACTCTAGTACAACGAAGCATATCGTCTGTAGACCACTTTGTAGTTCCGGTACTCCAGAAAGGAACACTGGTTCTCATGCCTGGATAGGCATTTCCGTATGAGTTCTCCCTCTAGCTGCGCGCGCTCCCTTATTGACAGGAATTCGTAATATTGACTCAACCTCGTTTGCCCTTGCTTGTTCACCATAAGGACAAAGTGAATCATCTTGTCGTAGCGCTCGTGCTCGCAGAAACTGCGCTCTTAGCGTCGCAGGGACGGTCGGAACTCGGACCCCGAAACCTGTGGTGACAGTAGAAAGAAAGGACTTGCTGCAGCGTCTGGACAGGAATGAATGCGGAGTTTCCTAGCGTCGCAAGCCTGGCAAAGCTCTTGTTCGCGTCAAAGATGAGGATCGCACCTAACAGCTGCCTCCTTCATTCTTGTTGTAGTTGTACGATTGAGAAGTTAGTACAAAAAATCAAAATTCATAACTTCATCAATGATCTACAGGGAAAATTATGCCATGCATAGAGTACCACTGCGACTGCGTTAAAAAAACAAATACTCAACCTTTATACTTCAACGCGCAAAAATAACTACTTCTCTCACTGCTTGTATGTAAGTGGTGCAGTTTTGGATGAGAGAATGAGTGATGTTTTCCTCAGGAAACTACACCCAAAGCGGAGAGATGAATCTATCTTATTCGATAAGGATCGTGGCACGTACACGCTCTGCCTTCGCCTTGATAGAAATGGACCTAACACGAAGTGGAAGGCGGGCCATAATTTCTCTCTGTGGCTCGAATACTGCTTCAAGGTTCTGGGGGTTCTGGTTTTCCCTGTACAACTACAAATGGAGAAACAGACTCACGGGCATTCGCGTCGAACGATCCAATGTGCTGTCGTCGTCGTTCGTCAACACACTGATATTCATTTGATTTTTGAGTCAGAGCGCAAAGAAGGCTCCAACAGATTTGAGACGAGAGACCTGATCATACACAACCACCACACTGACAGCGTAACGCAGACACTGTATTTCTTATACCATACAATTACGAGTTAGTTGAGGAATGAAGAGGATATCTTTTCTTATCTTTGATGCCTTTCATCTCCTGTGCGGCCTCCTTGTGAGAATTCCCTAGTTATAGAGATTCGGCTTCGATCTTGACATCATCTACATCTACATCTACTTCAATCAATCAATCAATCTTACATCGCCACTTGTTGATATCTTTCAATATCGCAAGCTATGAATGGTGAAGCTCGATGAGGAACAAAAATCGAGTCCCACCAGGAACAGAATCATACACGCGTGACTCCTCTTCCTGTATGTTGCGACACGAGGACATCAGCTTGGCTTGATCCACGTGAACTTGTTGCCTTCGACGCGTTTCTAAAAACCAAAACGTCTAAGAAAGTAACTCTATCTCCGTCGATGCTAACTCGTCCGAAGAAAACTGCTGTTGTAGAGGTTGTAAATGATGCTCTTCCTTGACAAAGGGTGGTCAGATCATTCATCTGACTTGTATTAAATTTGTTTCCTAGAAAATATGGCCACGACTGTCTCTCTATACTTCTCTCTATTTGTTTATTATTTCAATACCCGATCAAATTTTTACATGCTAAAATGTGATTTCAACATGTGTTTTACTAGTAAATGTAATCCTATTCGTAGGTGTCGTTAAAAATATTACCCAGGGGAGGAGGTGAATATAACCGGGGGTGTCTGTGACGTTTCAACATGTTATCATGTATCTATGTGAATGAGCAGCACATTATGCGCTTCTGCTTCTGTTTCCGTATAATCATACATGGTGTTGTATTTTATGTATGGCCCTCTTTTGAAGGTGGCAACGCTAGTTACCATCCTCGTGAGACCTACCATGGAAACGATGAAAATGGTCCTCCTGGTGCCCGTCTAGTTAGGTAGATGGGTCAGTTTAGATGAAGACTTAATAAGCAGATGCGCCTGCTGAAAATTGTGGGCCAATCTCCAGCATGTTCGTGGTCTGTTGCGACTTCTTAAATGCGTATCGCTGTGGTCTATTTTTTCGTGTTTCATTCCTAGTACCCCTCGGATACAGAAGAAGAGAAATTTTCAGTTTCGAAGTAGAGGACACCGTAGGTACTGATACACGACCTTGTTGACTTTGTCGTAGAAGTCAAACATAATGACTGACTACTCATTCCCATACTCTTCGTCAGACATACTCTCTCCTAACTACTCTAACGTCTAACGACACTAAGTCCTACAACTCTTAACTTCGAAATGAACGCTTCGTCGTTTAATAGTATCCGTAGCTACCCTTTTTTCCACTACCCTTCTTCCCGCTTGAGTAGCTGTCTATGGATGCGCCTTTTGGCTTGCCTGAAGGGCCTTTTTTGCCATCGAGTACGCTGCTTTTGCCGCCACCATATCCTCCACCCTTTCTGCCACCGTAACCTTCATCGTCAGAGCTCTCGTAGCCACCCTTTCCTCCATACCTACCACCCGAAGACTTGCCGCCGCCATAGCTTAGATAGCCAGGAGAGCTGCTAGACCCATGCTTTAGAAAATAGCAATTGCTTTACAGGAAATTCAAATAGCAGCACCACCAGCACATCATTTACATCGAAGTTTAAATCTAAAAAGCTCTTATGCTTGTTATCATGATCATCGTCAGTCTGCTTACATGCAAATCCAAATCATTTGTCCAAATTTAAACACGAACTACTCCCGTAGCCATAATTTTTCTCCGCCTTTACCGTAGTCGGAGTCTTTGCTGGCATAGCCCTTCTTGCCCTTACCTTTTCCATACTCGTCATCGCTGTCGCTATCCGAATGGTAGCCCATTTTTTTGCCTTTCTTGCCTTTGGATTTGGACTTGCCCTTCTTTCCATATAGCGAGTCATCGCTGTCGCTATCGTCAAAGGCTTTACCCTTCTTGCCTTTACCCTTCTTCCCTTTTCGACCATGATAGTACGACTCCACGCTCGACTCGCTTAATCTGGTTATGATTGTGGGGGACGAGGTTCAGCTTCAGGATCAGCATTCCAAATTCCAAATTCCAAATGATTCAAATCCAAATTCTACGTCTTCAGTCTCGCAATTACAAGAATCTACTTCGTAGAACAAGACAACACGATATCTGCTTACGTGGACGGATCACTCTAGGTAGCTGCAGCAGTAACCTAGGTAGCTGCAGCAGTAACTACAACTGCTCCAATGTTTTACACTCCAGCCACCTAAAAGCAGGTGGTAACCAGAAAGTTCCCAAATATACTACTTGTCGTCGAAGTGATTGTTGTAGTACCTGCTGCTGTCTCTTCGCTTTCCCTTCTTGCCCTTGCCTTTGCCCTTGTCGTCTTCTGACGAGAATCGGGCTCCTTTTTTGCCTTTCTTACCGTCTCCCTTCTTCGCGGATTTTCCTTTCTTTCCGCCTTTCCCGATTGACGAGGAGTCGCTATCCCGGCGCCCTTTACCCTTCTTTCCTTTAGTACCCTTCTTTCCGTCTTTGGTACGTCCGCGTGGAGGCGAACTGTCATCGCGACTCTTCTTACCTAGAAGTCGTAGTTGGAGATCATGTAGGGATTTGCAATTTGGAAAAAATAACTACAGCAATCAATCAACAGATAAGTTACGGCAATGCCCTTTTTAGTACTAGTTGCTGTCGTAGTATTTCAAGGACTTCTTATGAAAATATCATTCATAAAATGGAGAAGATGAACCACCACGAAAAGTTTATACCTTTCTTTCCTTTTCCTTTGTCTTTTTCTGCTTTGCTAGACGATCGACCCCTTTCTTTTTCTGCTGGTTTGTCGCTCTTGCCTTTTCCTTTTTTGCCCTTCTTGCTCTTTTCTTCCTTTTCTACTGGCTTCTCCTTATCCGCCTTCGACTTTCCTTTGCCTGTCTTCTCTTCTTTTTCTTAGAGCTTACTACATTCCATCTTTACAACTCCCACCTTCTGTGGCCATTTTCCTATTTGAAAACAGCTTGTTAGTACGCTTAGTTACAGTTACAGATGAACTAAGCTTACGCTTAGTTACAGATGATCTAAGAGAGGGATTAGGATGAAGTGAGGTCTTAATTTTCAGCTGCAGCTTCCTTTTTGGCCTTGTCTTTTTTTTTCTCTCTCTCTCGACGGCTCGGCCTCTTCTCTTCCGGCTCCTTCTCGGCGCTTTCTGCGGCGGCCTTTTTTTCCGCATTCTCGGCTTTTCCGCGGGCCTTCCGTGCGCGTCGAGACTCCTTTTCCGGGGCTGAAGAATCGCCAGCCTTGGTAGAGGATGTCGAGGAATTCTTCTCTACTCCGTCTTTTTCAGCAGCCGCTTAGTCTTAGATGAGCTTGAGGCGTGCACTTCATCTGCTCGTCAGAAATTCTGCTTCATCATCTCAACACTTCTATAGAAATATCATAATGTTCTTGATAAAGATAAAATAAAAATCTTAGATAAAGGTAGTAGTTACAACATCTTTTCTAAGCAGTTGTGCCTCCTCCGAGGGCGATTGCAGATGGTATCTAGATGGTTGAATGAATGGGTTGTCTAACACGTATTTATATGCTCAATCATTGAATTTGAATCGAGAGCCTTAATTCTTGGCCTTTCTTCCTTTCCCCTTCTTGCTTTCTTCGGTTTTTTCAGTGTTCTCTTTTTCTTCTTCTTTTTCTCCAGCTTCTTTGCCTTTCTTACCTCTGCCCTTACGGCTGCGCCTGCGCTTAGAAGTGCCTTCGGCTGCCTCGGCATCTTCGGTTTTTGCATCCTCTTTCTTGTTCTCGCCCTTCTTTCCCTTTTTACCTGGAAGAGAAGAGCGATGATAAACCTTTTCATTTTGGACGCGTGTCCATCTCTATGATAATGATGAACGCTGGCAAGCAGCTACGCTCGCGTCCTCCTCCTCTTCCTTGTTTACGAGGTGGAGACAAAGGTTCTGAAAACCAGAAAAGTTCTAGTTTCGTATACATGGTAAGGCCGTCCTGTAGTTAAGAAGTAGAACTGCCTCCCCCACCTGCGTCCTTCCTGCCGTTGATTCTTCAAAATAATTATCCATCTTCCAGCAGCCAAGTGGCAGACCAATCATGCGGCGCCAGACCAAACAAAGCACCCGAGCTCCGCATGAATCTTCTAGAATAAAAGCAAGCAAGCGCAGACAAGCTGCGACGCCAAGCAAAGGAAAGAGGCACACGACGCCAAAGCAGCGCCAAGGCTGGCTGGGAGACTCCTCAAGAGGCGACACCAACCCAAGGCGCGACCAGCCAGGTCCCGCCCCCCCATCTCATTTCTATGCCGCGCAGATACACACACACGAGCGAGAGAGCAGCACAAACCAGAGAGACAAACCCAGAGTCTCACACTCGCTCTCCCTCGCATGCGCTTCACTGTCTTCCCCTTTCTCCACGCTCCCGCACGCGCACAACGAAGCACACCCGCACGCAAGGCAAGGCGCGCCTCAAAAAACAAACTGGCAAGGATACACCAAGCCAGCCCCTTCCCCCCGCGAACTTTTTAGCTTTTGCAAGGTGCAGCGTATTTCTTGGCCTTGGAGCCTTGAATCTCTCACCGCTTAGCCCTCCCACTCTAGAGCATGCAAACGCACTCGCCTAGAACGCAACACGAGCCAAGCCCGCCCATCTTCCTGCCTGTGAATGTGTCCGCTCTTTGTCTCGCGGGCGCGCTTTGGCTCAGTCATGCCTCCCGCGGCCACATATTTATAGAGAGGCACCATCCCCCCAAAGGAGAGACATAGCTGCACAGCCCAGGCGCTAGCCTCACGACCTTACCACAGACGCCGGCGCAGCCCCTGCGTGCTCGCTCCACCCAGCCACGCCACGAGCTAGGCGCGCCCACGCGCGTCCTTGCTTCACCCGCGGGCAGTTGCCACGCGTTCCGATCATGCAGCACGCCAAGGCCCCCACTATTGTCGTCGCGTGTTGTCTCGATGAGCGCGCGCGGCGCCTACTTGCGTAGCTCCTCCCCGTGCATTACTAGGCCCACTGACTCCGTGGCGCAGCCAGCCGCCCAGCGTTGGGGCTTCGCCTCTGTGTATGTGCGGCAAATGGTTCCCGAACTACATCGAAGACCGAAAGCCGCCTCCTGCTAACAGGCATCGACGTGCAGAGGAAGACAGAAAGACGCCGAGCACCTTAAACCTTGCCGGACTTCCCGTCCGCGTGGATCTTTCAAGGCGCCACCTTGTCCCACTTCGCAGCCACCTCCTGGACACCTTCCGCCGCGCCGCCTCTCTTCCAAGTCAGCAGCTTTCTCCTCCAAGTCAGCCGCTTCCTTCACGCTATCGCCATCCTTCCCCTTCAGGCTCTCCCTCGTTCACCTCCAAAGTTTTCGCCTCACTTTTCTCCACATTCACGCGCCGGCCTCCCTTCAAAGCTTTCGCCTTTTTAGACGGGCGCCGTTTCTTGTTCTTCTTACTTTTCGTCACCCCTGCTGTCTTGGGCGCTTGGTTGACTTTTTCCGGGTAGCCAGCAGCCTACGAATCTGAACCGGCACGCGCGTGACCATGACAGGCCCAGGCTCACCATCCCCACCCGCTGGCACTGGATGGCGCACAACGTCGGAGCCATATTTCTCCGCGTCGGTCGCTCACCGATCACGCTGGCGGGCAGATCTTTGCGCCTGGCGACACTCGTGGACGCAGACCCGCCCCCGCTTGCTTCGTGACCGCGTTGCAAGCATGGACGCCGTGCCCACGCGGCGGGCGCCCAAGTCTGCGACGGTCTTGCTGCTTGCAGGGTCCCTCCAGTTGGCCCACTTCTTACCAGCGACCCCCAATCTGTTGCGACAACCTTACGCAACACGTGCGAGCTCTTGCACGCTCCAGGTAGCTGCTCGCAGAAGTTCGCCAGCTAGTCAATCTTCAGCGCAGCCACCAAATGAATGCAGTGCCAGGCAAGCCGGGCGCGCTGGACACCACCCAAAGGCTGACGGATTGCCGCAAAGGTTCGCCGTGGCTACATATTGCCGAGCATCGTCGGGCCGTGGCGGATAGCCAGCACCAAGCCAGGCGACGGCGGCGAGACTACGCACGCCCCCCGCTGTTCTGCGGGGCGGTCGCGTATCCATCGCATGCCCGCGCTCTCACGTCTCCAGTCAGCCCTGTTGCTTTTCCTTTTGCTTGCAGGGGTTCGCCAGTTGCTCAAAATAAATGCTAGCCACCTTCAAACGGCGGCAGCCAGGTGGGCGCGTCCGTAGCGGTCTCGTTGCTTTTGCCAATATCCACGACTTTGCTAAGTTCGCGCCCCTGACGTCGTTCCTTGTAGGTGAAACCAGCCGAAGCCGCCGGCGTAACCGAACGGCCGCCCCCCTTTCCTTGCCTGTAGTTGCGGGAATGCCGCCGGGCATTATCCTAGTGGCGATGCTAGCTGTTCTGTAGTCCGCGTAGAGCCACTCGCTGGCCGCCACTCAGACGCAACCCCCAGCGTCCAGGCACTAGAGCAGACAAGCTCCAGACCTCGCAGCGACTGGACTCCGCCAAGGCAGTTGGGGCGCTGAGAGGAGAGAGGCTCGGGAGGCGGTTGGCTCGCTCTTTCGTTTCCCGGCTACCAAGCACAGACTAAACCGCAAAGCCCCCGCCTCTTCTGCCCTGCTTCGCAATGCTTTTCATGTTGTTCACCCTCGCCATCGAGTTGCCAGAGTTTCATAGGCACGCAAACAGTGCCACTTTCGTCTACTCTTGAAATCAGCGTAAGCTTGTTAAGAAGGCAAACAGTCTTACCACTTCCTTTCTTTTTCTGCGTCTCGGCTTTGAAAACGTACTTGTCTTTCGAAATGTTGTTGTCTTCCTTTACTTCTTCCTCGGATGCAGTTTCAGAGGTAGAAACCTTGCCCCATTGGTTCGTTATCAAATGCAGAAATCCTTCCCGGGTCATGCGAACCTGATGGAGTACGAGGATGTCGCATAATTTGATATGAGGATCTTTCTACATCACACAGAGATGCAGTAGTGGCAAGTTCTTGGCACTTCATCTTTTGCTGGGGAACTCCAAGATGACTTAGATCTTATTTATCCAAGCGAAATTTGATCGACGAAATCAAATCATCTGCTTAGAAGGGCTACCGTCGCGTTTCGCAACTCCAGAGACTCTCCTGCTTTTACGCAGTCCGCATTGGTCGTGGGAATTTCGTAAACACAACAGGCACTGGCGTCACCAATAATTGCCTCTTTTTCCGACACAGATACGACTTTCACTTTCTGTTAGGAGTTGAACGGAGCAAGTTGTAATTGATTGATACGAGGTTCAGGTAGGGAAAAAGCAAGTAACTTAAGGATAAGAATTCCCATCACGACGTAGGACTACGAGCTAAAGTATAGAATGAGCAGAAAAAAAGTTGATTTAATAGTCACCCTACCCGTAGTACCTATCGCTGCTTCGAAGAACAGAACAATAACCAAAAGCACGAGACAAAGACACTGCAAAATAAAATATTTTCAAGCGTACCAAATTCACTGTTTTTCCGTCCATTCCTGGATTGAGTTTGGAAATAGTTGTAAAGGACGCTTGCTGCAGACGAATCTTCTCCAGTCTTGGGATCAGGGCTTCTTTCTCATCGTAATACTTGCACGTTTCCGGAGGGTCCACCCTCGCAATATTGTGTGACCTGACAATGTAGCCCAAGACTTTTTGCAAAGCTGGCACCTCACGTTTCTTCCAAAGGATATCCCACTTGGTTACTTCTCGCTTCAATTCCCCATGCCGCCGAAGGTTGCAGAAAGTAACGGAACATCCGGGCTTCAACTGTTCAAGTTGTGTTGATTGTCGTGTGCGTGTACTTATGTGATTGGCATTGGGTTTGGGTTTGGAAGAGGATTTCAAAATACAGCATGGAGGAGTGATCGGTCGTGACAAAATTGTTCAAACAACAATTGCAACATCACCACAAAGTTGCAGTTACAGTTAGGAGTTCTTCGACGTATACTTTATAGTTACTAAGGAGTTAAACGGCTAACAAGAGCTGTACAATTTTTCTAGTTGCTTTAACAACAGGGATCGACTTAAGTACCTTCGTTTTCAATGTAGTGAGGGTCTGCGCCGCATCGAAAGTCGAGGCATCAAAGACAAAGCCATCAAGAGAAGCGTCCTCCAGTTTCTCAAGTTCTTCACCACTTTTGAGAAGCACAAACTCCGTCACCTTGCCACCCTTGGCGAAGGCAAAAGTACTGGTGTGAGGAAGGGTGACAGGATCTGATGTTACGACGTCACTAGATGGTGTTCTGATCTAAGGTTACGACGTCGCTAGATGGTAATGTTACGACGTCACTAGATGGTAATGGGATCGAAAAAATTGAAGTCAAATTCTTCCTCTTCGAGAAGTAGATACATGATGGGTCCAGAACAGCACCAAAAACTACAACGAACCACGTCGACACTGTAAAATTACTCTGCTTCAAATCCAAGTTGGCCAACTTTTGCGAGGGATGGGACGCGTGGAGGCAGCAGAGTTCCGATTAACTTTTCGAGATACGGTTTCTCCCATTCTTCGACTTTGCGCGGGCCCTGGGAGAAGTGACAAAGAACAAAGAGAAGACTGTAGTTATAATTTCAAGTAGTAGAAGGCGGAGGACGCGGAGAAGTCGGAGAGTTGTACCACAATGGATCGGGATTCTATTTGAAATGTGCTACTTACTTCCTCTGGATAGGTGGACTGTCCAAGAACATAATGCATCACCACGTAAAAAAATAGTAGTCAGTAATACGCTTGTGTCGAGGGGTCGTCGATCCTTTTTGGCGGGAGCTTCAGTATTCTTCGGAGTTTTCTTCGCCTCTTCTACAACTGGGTCGGCTTCTTGACTTAGAGCTCATTCAATCAACAAGGCGGAACCTCAGGAGCAGAGGTAGTACGCTTGAAATGTCGAGATTTTCTACCAAATTTAGATACACAAACTTCTTCAATCATAAGCTCCAACTTGGGCATAAAAAGATGTACATGACGGAGTTGAAGTTGATACTTTTTTCTACGTACACTGTATCAATTTTGAAAGCTATCTAAGCTGCAAAGCCAAACATCACTTATCGTCCTAGGTAGTGCCTTAACTTTGTGACCTTCAGTGACTCTACACCATTTGCGACGCCGTTCGCCTTTGCCTTTGGTGATGATGGTGCGGATGCCTTGCTCTTTGAGCCGCCACCAAAGAGAGCGCTCAACATGGTGTCGACTTTCTTGATGGACTTGGAATCCGGGACGATTTAAGGTGACGATCTCAATAATTTCGTCAACGCCCCCACGAGGACGAGAAGAACCTACCAAACAAAAACGAGTGGTCGGTTTCTGAAGTAGACTCTTCTAACAGGTGGATCAAGTCAATGTGGAGAAGATCTGTGAACTATTAAATAGTCTCTAACTCAGTTTTCACTGGTGGTAATCACAACCACACCAGCTTGATATGAATTATCTTAGCGGATATCGATGTCCAACATAGATTTCCACTCTCGGTATTAGACGATTATAGACCATGAAAATCTTCCTAAATGTTGTACCCTGAATATTATTGAAATAGACAGACGAAGAAGTTCGAATTAGAGTCATTCAACTGCTAACTTATCAATCGTTTTAACCGGTCGATGAAGCAGCACCTTACTCGTCTGATAAATCAAGCGAATGCAGATGAGCATGACCATGAGAAAAAGAAGAAAATAAAACAAGTAGTTCCGTTTCGGTGATATCAGAATTAAAGAATAGATACGGATTTCGCACTAGCTTTCACTACAACAACCGCAAAGTCGAGATAACCCGCATATGATCACGGATTAATCATAAAAATATACCTCCTGGAGAACAAAGAAATTCATATTAAAGTCAGCGTTACTACACTATCAAATAGTGACTATTTTCGGAAGACTCTTTCATCTAAAAACAAAAAGATATGATCACAATGTATAATAATGCAACATTATGAACAGCAACAGGCAAACTTGTCACAGAACATGATCAATACGGCATTCAGTCTGAATCAATGAGAATATTAGGTTAACTGAAGTGAGCAAGAACATCACCATGGCGTGAAGATTTTTCTTATCTTGATCCACAGCGTTTCTGCGGCATGTGATTTGATGATTTCTGCATTAGAACTTGTTACGATTTTCACCGATGAAAGATTTTCACATTGACAGCTGTCACCAATCACATCGCATCATCATCGTTGGATCGCACCAGGCTGAGACACCAGGCTGAGAGTCATAAGTACGATCCCCGTAGTTAACTGTCTTCATATAATTCACCAAATATAACAACTTCTGCATAGAACGGCCCAACACACATCATCACGACCACGTCCGGACTGCAATTCTTTCACTTCTTGAATCTTTTTGATTTTTGAGGTTCCTTACAGGAGAAAGGACTACTTGGTACAACAACATGTCATCAGCATTTCGAATTCGAAGACAAACTAATATGTTGAAGGTGAACAAAGGAAGACAGACATGACGACAAACATGCTTAGGGTGGCCCTCTCGGTGTAAGCATGTAGACGTCCCCAGTTCGCAGATTAGAGCAGCTCAGAAAATTCAAATTCAAATTGCTAAGGAGAAGAAGTACCAGAAGTACTATTGCACTTCTTCTATGATCGTCCCCTACGACGTTTACGTTCTTAGAAGTTACGGTTTGCCACGTGAGGACAAACCCGCTCCTACTAGTAGTACTTATCATGCAAAATAGAGGGCCATAACATGTGGATCGGGTATGCGAGTAAAGTCGTTTGACATCGCGCCCATTGACTTGTGACCTTGGGTGCTTTCGAGTCCTGGGTTATACTGTTTCGGGCCCAATGGTCTAGCGAAAAAATCTGACCTCTTAAGTCCACTCTGAACGTTACTGCCCGTTTTAGATGCGGCGAGCTTCGCCGACGTTTGTGAATCAGAAGTGGCCCCGGCAGGTAGTCTGAAAATTTGAAATTTTCGAACTCCGGAGGAGTAGGAGAAGTGGTGATACTAAATTCTAGGAGAAGATCTTGGTCTTGAAACACTGCTTCTATCACCATGATACAGATGGACTTCGAGTTTTGATGATTTGAATATCTTCGTAAAAATCTCCCAGATATATTCCCTGAAACCCTAGTAATAGAAGTAGAGTGCCCAGTGTTTATACTGCTACAACTAACACAGCAAGGAAAAGCAAAAAGAAAATGTAATGTTCAGTACTACCGCGTTGTTGCAAGCTGCGGCACCGTCGCAACTCTCTCCATGACCAGTTCTGTCTGTTGTGACGCAACCGGTCTCGCGTTTGCCGCCAGAGGGGGTCCCTCGTTCGTTGGTATTAGCCGACTTGCAAGCTAGTAGATGATGAAAGGGTTGTACAGTGGCAAGAAGCTGATGGATCAGTAGGCTTCCCTGTCTCAGTCTGAGGAAAGCAAATCTATCATCTTATTCTCATTGAGTCATCGTTTGATTGGCCTCAGATGCAAGCAAATCTATCATCTTATAGTCATCATTTGATTTGCCTCAGATGCAACAAGCAAATCTAAATCGATTGATTGATTGATTGACTGACTGATTGATTGATGTGCTTGTTTGGAATAATAGTAATATTTCTTCTTTTCTTCCTTATTTATATTCTCCTTCGTATGTGGTGTAGCTTGGCAAGCTTGCTAGAGCATCTCTGTGGTCTAGCTGAAGCAAGCTTGGCGCTCGGGTTTGCTATTAGTATCATATTTTGTGGTGGAGCCAACCTACCTAGGAAAGATAGAAAAAGGATTACATTCATAGGAAATAAAAAAATGGAAATACCACTATCCCCTCCAGCTTAAGCATTCGATTTCTGAGGTCATCAAGTATTTTCAGTTTTCGATCCCTTTCTGCTTTGCATTTAGCTCGCAACTCCACTATCCGTGAGTCCTGACCATGAATTTTTAGTAGCAAATCCTGCCTTTCTTGCTCTTCCCTCGATGCTTGTAAAGCGCTGTCGCCTCCACCTGGTGTGGTACAACTTGTTATAATTTGTTTATGATCCTCGTCGAATTCATCGTCGAATTACAGAAGCAGCATCTTTACCAGACTGGGATCATGTCGTCCATGATGTCCAGAAATCCCAACATTCTGTATGGATATGGTTCCAAACACAAACAATAATATCTTGAGGTATATATACCATCAGCTCTGCGCACTCCGATAATCTCACCCGGGTGTAGCGCGTCGCCTTCTTTATACCGCGATCCCAGCACATGTTCCTGGACAGGCACCGCGTGATGCTCTACTGTCGCCACATCCCGCACTACTGGACCGAGAGTTGCCACCTAGAATATGTACTATTGAACTTGACGAACTTGATAGGATACTGAAAATGAAATACAAATAACCGAGTCTTAACTATTGAAAATCAGGGAGATAAAAAACTTCAACAAGCCTGTTTCTAGGAAGCGCGCAACTAGATGTTCGATAAACTACTCTCTTATTTCAGTCAGTAACTCGCACATTTTGAGTTTTCGAATTAGCAATACAGAGAGACGGAGAAGGATAGAGCACTTCCACTTCCTCCAGGTTATTGATTTATAACTATTTCTTTCGACGACAGATAAGTCAAAGTGAAAGTCTTTCTAGTTGTAAGTGGTCTATTCACTCACAGTCTTCAGAGGTGGAGGTATGCACAGACACTATCTCAGGTAGTTGAAGAGGGAAATGTATGATTACCGACGAAACCGTCTCGACTGCATGTATTCCCGGTGCGTGCTGGTTTGGATCTGCCATATCGAACAACGCGGCAACAGCAAGCGTGCCGTTGCTTCGCTGGTTGCCGTTCTTTGGCTTCGATCTGCAATTCACTCGTGAAGCAACGACGTACGTCGTTCCGCGTCCGAACGTCAAAGACAAAGTCTACTCGTCCAACTATTGTTCGTGGAGCAAACCTAACCCCCAATATCCATAGGAGGAGGCGTGATATTATCCTATCGAAACCGGCAACAGCAATACCCGACGGGGGTATATCACCGCTTCGCTCGTTGCTATTCTTCAGGTTCGATGCCGATATGTAGCATGTACTTGTATTTCTGTGATGAATTTCCTCCGAAAGTAGAACGCTTATGCGAATGCGAGAGCGATGGTAAGAACACTCAACACGGAACTTCCTTCTACTAGTAAGTAAAATTACCTCCTTTCTTGTCCTTTTCACCCTAAGCAATGTGCTTTTCGTAGTACCATTTTTGTGTTGAGTAAGAGAGGAAACATCGCTATCTTTTGGAAAGTTATAAACATCGGTTTTGGGGATCGGGGTTCCGCTTTTTAGGTGGTTCCGGGATACAGCCTGGTACGTACGCTGTGTCTACGACGCTTCTTGCGGCGATACTCTTATTCGCGAAGATCGACCACGTGAGTACATGAGCAACGAGGTCCCTCTTGCTCGCCACCTGCTGACCTCGCTTGTTATCGTGGTGCACCGCACAAGCAGAGCGATGATTCATCGCTGTGCAGGGTGTGAGTATTTTGTGAGGGAAAAAAAAGTGTCCTCGGTCAGGAATCCTCCATCTGATGAATCCATCGGAAAAAAATTGTCTAAATCAAATAAGGTCTTTCTAATCTTAACTAGAACTCCTGAGTCAGAGTCATTTTGTTGTTGTTGTGTTCCAAGTCCAAAGTCCAAGCCCGGCCCAGCACCTCCAATGAGAATGACACAAGGTCAGAATGTCTTCACGATGAACCTGAATTTCTTGAAGAAGCTGAATCTTTTACTTCGCATCTATTGCGACCCCGACCCGATACTGCCTGGCGCGCTTCCGCTACCGGCTTGCATTTCGTCCTCGACTATATCGCGAATCGCTTGATGCATCTTTCGTTGCTGCAACAGATTAAACACCTGTCCACAGTACGCTTCCGCAGGTGACAAAGCCGGCGGTTATGAAAGAGCAAAAATACACTCGAAGATACACTCCGAATTTCTAGTCTTAAACTCTTTTTCTTATCCTCAAAAATGAGCACTATGTATTTCGAGTGTGAGTGTACCTTTTTCTCTTCATAGCGGTTGCGGAGCTAACATTTCTACTGGAAGCAACGGACTACTTCCTGCCTCAAGCGAGCCCACGGCTCCAGCTGCAGGTTGTTTGGACGCAGAAGTCTCGATGAACGCGGAGATCGAACCAGCAGCACTAGCACTACTACCTGGAGAAGGTGCTGATCCACCACTACCAGCAGCAGAACCAACATAGAAAGAAGCGACTACTTGCTTCAACTTCTCGAGGAGGAAACCACACAGCTCCGGACCCCAGGTACACGCAGGTAGAGAGAATTAGATATACATTAACGTAGGTCGCATCGGCTGGCTGCATAAAAGACTTTTACTCTACTTTTAATATAATCTTTCCGACTAAATCTTCAGACCCACACGACCCGTGAATGGTTCTGGTATAATTTGGTAGCCTGATTTTGATCATAAGGAAAACAAGAAGGCAATCCTTGTGATCAAATTCAGGTTACCAAGTACCAGAGCCATACAACCCGAAATTCGCTTACTTCCCCCATTTCTAAATCTAAATGTCTAAATCAATTCAAGCTCCACAAATTTGAGCTCCACTTCTAAATGTCAAGCCTAAACAAAATTGAGGGAAGTTCATCTCCAGAAAGTTCATCTCCATAAAAGTAGTGCAAGCGATCCGGGTTATAGCCACACTTTTCGGCCTTGTCCTCGACGAAGCTCAGACAGGACGACTTAAACATTTGGTAGGGTTCCCCTCGTGGCCGCACCGCCAAGCTATTGCCGAAGGTTGCGAGCTCTGGTAGAATTGAAAAATGAGAAATCCACCAGGCAGGGAGACCAACGTTCTTTGTGGTCTCTCCTGTCAAAACAAAAGGGATCTCTCTAATAGATAAACATGTTAAAAATGTTATTTGCATGCACACTACAAATCGCGCTCCTATTTTTCGCGATGTCTGTCTTCGAACTTGCGCAACTTACAACCAGCGAAAGCAAGTAGTTGTACAGTACCAACTGATCTATTGATGCACTTCTTGTTACACCTTCTAGTTCTAAGAGTACGATTGCTTCTTGAGGTAGTTTTTACAGCCACCGTTCTAACTGGCATAACACACTGTCTACTTCTTATCACAAGTAAAAATTGACTCAGACTCAGAAAATCAAAAATTGGCAGGTACGCTTAAAATAGGTAGTTAACTAGGTAGTTAAATAGTTAGATTTCAAGAGACGTGGATCCACGGAGCCACTGTTGGGCAAATTTCTACTAGATCCGCCTTGTTCCACGAGTTTGCGCATGGATGGTGTATGCCGTCCTTTCACTTGCCACGCCAGTTGGACCACAATGCACCAGGATCGCCTGCCTTTCCTGGACCAGTCTCTTGAAATCTAACTATTTAACTACCTAGTTAACTACCTATTTTAAGCGTACCTGCCAATTTTTGATTTTCTGAGTCTGAGTCAATTTTTACTTGTGATACTTCTGGTACTGAGTTCATCTAAACCAGAAGTGTGATGTAAATCTCGACTTCTACCCTTCTCCCTAGCTGCAGCAGCATCAGCTACCATCTTCTCATGGTCTACAGAGGGCGGAGGGCCTCCCGCAAGTGCTGCGAGTTGCGCATCCTGATCTTCCGGAGGAAATTTCAGCGCTGCACCGCCAGAGATGAGGCAAAATGTAAGACTTGTCCCGGCACAGAGGTGGAGCCACCCGCCCCTTCTTGAAAACGCCATGTTGATAGTGCCGCGTCTGTGTTGTCAAATCTTTACGCATAGTACATATACAACGACATCATCATGACTAAACTACTTTTACCTACTTTCACTGAACTTTTCTTTGTACTACCACTTGCTTGTATGTAGAGCTGGGGCAGCACGGAGTTTTACCACGCATGTGTGTGTCTGCCAACCTCCTTGTCGTACAAGTCACGTGGAAACTGTCAGTCTCTCCCGTCTCTCTCTCTCTCCATCGGATCGGTGGTGTCAGGTGAGACGGAGACCGACAAAAGTTGAATATTGTTCTATACCACGACCAGTTGAAATTGCGTATGATTAGTACTCTGTTCCTGGCTACACCGACTCGGGTCCTCTCCTTCTATCCCTACAACGTACAAGTACAACTACAAGTGCGAACCGATAATTATGGAAGAAGGTCTGTAATTGAGATTGTGATGAACGAACCATTATAACTTCTCTCCTGAACATTATCTTCAGGCCGCCTCAATAGGCTAGATGAGTGACATCAACTTCGTTCCGATGGTGGTACAGCGCATTTTGAAATTGAAATATGAGTTGCGAGAAGAACGTGGTTGCCAGCAAGGGGTATATCGGTTTTGACCTACAGGGTTGAGGTCAAGACGTGCTGGTGTTCTGTCTGAGGATGAAACAATAGAAAGCTAGCGGGGTCTTTGTTGGACTTTTGAGTCATGAGCATGATGACGACAGTGACAAAGTTGTCCCATGATCATAATCATATACAATTCTTGTTACTTCAGCAGCTGGCCAGCTGCAACTACAATACCAAGAGTGCTACCTAAGCAGTTTCTTTCCCCACTTGGACCTTGGCCTGCTTCAGTATTGTCGCCGCATAGGGGCCCTTGTCTGCATACTCCGCAAGTGTTGCATAAGCTTTTTCGTCCAGGACTCTACTAGCGACGTCTTGATCGTGCTGTAAGGCTTCCTGAGCATTGCCATCTGGCCTGCCGGATATTAGAGATGATGCTGATCTAATATTCTTCACTTATCAACACCGAATGAGATGTTTCTGTTTGAACAAGAAGTACTACAACATCAACTAGTAGTACGACACAGTGGCTTTGGATTCTACTTCTACATCTACTAGTAGGTTGATGTGATTGATTATCGAGTTGAGACGATAACGATTAAGAAATTTCCTTCTATTTTTGCAGATGAGTTTATAGATTTCCCGCCTCCATAACAGCAAAGCCCGCACAAAACCGTGCTTTTCCATGCGCGCATCGTGCGTGGTCTCGGATCCGAAATCGAGCAAAAGAGCGCGAACAGACTCGGCTTGTAGCAGTTGCAAAGCCAGGTTCGAGTCCCTGCTCATTCGCGCCAAAAGCTGGTAAGCAAAGGGCCTTAGGTCAGTCTTTTCGGGAAGGACATGACTGACAAGTGGCTCCAGCACGTGCCTTGCACGAGAAGGAAACCTACTTGCGATCGCAATCCATTGCACGAGCGCGAGCTTGCAGCGTTCCATGTTAGTACCGAGCAAGGCATCCTGCGCCGCCAGCCGCCAGAGTGGCGCGAAGGACGTCTGCAGTTCCTGCTCGAAGAAAGTTTCGTCGGCAACTGAAGCAGCAAGCTGTCCGAACACTCGCAAAGCCACTAGTTTTGGGACTTCCCCAGCCGAAGCTGGTGCCTCTAGAAAGCGCTCTACCCAAGGCTTCAATACCGGGTGAAAGTAACGCTTCAGCATAGATGAGGATTGTTTCATTGTCGTTGTCGAGCCAGCAGCAGCACCTGTCGTCGTGGTCGTCGACGGCGCACCTCCAGTCGCTTGTTGTTCTACGAGTAGCTTGTCTTCATTTTGCGCCACGATGAAGGCTAAGTAGAGCACACAGGTAGGAGCGACGCGGTCATCTAGGGAAAGCGTAGCGTCGTCCGCGAGCTCTGCTGCTATGCGATCAGGAAGACCATTCGTCAGAAGAAATGCGCGACCAACTGCACTCTCGCCTAACTGGTTCCAGAATTCAACCGCATTCAGCTTTAGGAATGCATTAGAAAAGGACGTACTATCGTTTTTCTACAAGCTTCGAAGATGTTGTTGACCCTAAACTTGACGAGCACGAGCACTGTGAAAATTTGAGAAATAAAAACGACAATGCAACAATCTCAATCAAGTAATTGCGTTATTTCTTATAATATCAATGACCTTGACCACGTTCGCATTAGCATTCGTGATCATGACTATGGAAACATGAGACATTAATAAGATAAAGAGAAAGACAACGAACTACAAAATATCGACGTTCTACTTTCTGTCGTAAGGATATCTTCGGTGAAGTATGCAGCGGCGACTGCCTCGAGTCCTCCTGGGATCGCGACATTTCGCGTACGCGCCAAGTCGGCTGCTAATTGTAAAAACCGGAACCAAATCACGTCCTCATTCTCCTTGTCTTCCCCGTCTTGTCCCTCTACTAGTCCTAGTGAAAGCTCAGGAGAGGACATATCAACGTCCTCTTGAGGAGGCGCAGAGTAGGTTTTGCTAAAGATTTGCGCGCCGATATCGTTCACCGGTATCCGATCCCAAACGCCCTCTGCACAGAGCAACGCGGTCATCAACTGCGCGACTTTGATGCTGCTGCCGCGCATCAGCCAGGACCAAGCCTTAGGCGCCAATAGTTCGGAAGTCAGCAAGCTTGCTCGTGCAGAGCCGGTTAGTTTCAAGAAGAGCTCCAGCGGCCCTTCCATGTACTCAGTGGTCGAAGATGAACCTGCACGCTCGAAGAAGAGGGAACGGACCAGAGGTCGAAACTGCTCGTGCAGTTCCGTGTACTGCAGTAGGCGTTCGAGGCATGTCATCTTCTGCATGTCGGCGAGGACGTCCTTGCCAGCCTCAATCTTGGTCAAATGCCCCATCACGTCCACCCCACCAGAGGCAGCCTCTCTGGCAGCTGAGGCTAAGAAAGTCTGTGCACTATCCAGCGTGTCAGGCGAGCGCAGGTACTGCGCGATCACGCTTTCTCGCGGGCTCAATTCTGCCATTTTGGAAGACCTACAAGTACAACTAATACTAATATATAAGTTCAAAGAAATCCGAGTAGGCTAGTTGTACATGTGATACTAGAGAAAGACAAAGAGAATGCTTAAAACTGGTACTAAAAGAAGCAAGAAACAAGGGATAGGTTTTCGAATATGAAGGCGGAACAAGTAGGATGCTAGTACCTGTCACCTTCTAATTAGCCGAAACAGGAAAAATTTTTTGGCAAGAATGTTGTTAGGTAAAGTAGACGAAACTAGCAAAACATTACCATCGGGGTTACAGTCGTTGTCGTTCTAAATTGCTACGCTAAAAACTACCGCCAAGGGAAGTCGGGAGACATGTGCATGACCCTGTGTTGTTTCTTACTGCGATGCTCTAATTTGAACACGAAGAGCCCGAGCCAGAGCCAGATGGTGTTAGTTTTCACACAGTTGTCGTTCATCTTCATATCATTGTTCATCTTCGCCACTCCAGCGGAAACTACAATTCCATTGGGTCGGGTCAGAGATCAGTGCAAACGAACACGAAAGCGGATATCTGGGTCTGTCGTGTCGTTTGGAACGCTTCCCAGGCGATTACAGCCACTGCGCACAGGAAGAGGATGTAGAAGATTCTTGATTGGAATTCAAAAAATTGAGGCTCGTCAACGTGTTGATGCAGCATGCAACATTTACATTTGGCGAGGAATTGATTCAATTCACAGAGAGGACGATTCATCTTTTATGCGTCTGGAGAAGACGAAGACTTTGACAGCGTAGATGAAGTAGTAGTTCTTCATTTCACAGGTGAATACCCAAAAAATGAAAGAAAAAAGTTGCATCTTCTGCGCGATCTCCTCGTTCTCACCTCGGCGCTTCCTGAAAGTTGAAGTGACCTGTTTCTTTCGCGTGCTGCTGCGCGTCCTTCTCGCCTTTCAGCAATTTGAAACAGTGTTGGCATTGTAGTGTAAAATTCGCTGTATCCGTAAACTGCTTATTCTCCTTCAATTCAATTGCCACAGCCATCACCTCATTCAGCACCGCCTCATCGTTCACCGAGAACACGGACATGCCTCCTTTGCGACATGCGTCGTAGTGTATGCCATCGAAGAAGACGAAGATGCGATGGCTCAAACTCCCGCTGTCATGCGGGAAGTACTCCATGCGCGTGGAGATGACGTCGACGGCGACAATTTGGATACCGAAGGCGGTACTCAAGATGCTAAGCTCCATAAAGCCTCCCCAGGAATCCTTCTTCGTAATCCAATCTGCATACTCTAAGCTAGTTCGTCCGGACTCTGCGAGTGTCAACGGGTCGTAGGTATGTAATGAAAGTAGCACGGGTTGTATAATCTTGATCACGTTGGCAATGGTAATGAGGGTGTGTGTACTTCGAGGTCTAGGACTAGTAGTGAGGGTGCGTGTACTTCTAGGTCTAGGACTAGGTTCTTGATAAAAAATATCAATGCGGCTGCAACAGTATCACTGCTGGGCGTGGGCGTGTATCCGGTACTATTTGGCTCGTTCCAGCGTCGCAAGTAAGTACTAGCGAAGTCACGCGCTCACTAGGACACACGGACGGCAGTGCGGTATGCGCTCGCGCGTCTGCCGGCGAGCACAGGGCACTGAAGGAGCCGTAAAATTAGGAGGTTGGGCAGCTTGGGCAAGAATAGCTCATCCAAAACGCAGTGCCAGTAGAGGTAGGCTTTGGAACAGCATCAGCAATGAACAAAAACGAGTCCGGTAAAATCTGTCAACACATGCAGTGATCACCTTCATTCATAAGCATGGATCACCCCGAACTGTGTCCGCACAGAATTTCCGCAAAGTTTCCGCGTTCAATGCGCCTGCAGATGGCGCAGACGCAATGCCTTTGGTGTCGAACAGGATGGCGTTGAAGAGACAACTATTGTCTGCCGCGATTACATTTAGAGGTCTATAGGCAATCCATCTCAGGAATCGTCTGGCTCTCTTTTTGTTCTTTGTTTTCTTCTTCCAGCTGACTTTGTATGGTTCTGGTATTTAGTAACCTGAGTTTGATCCTAATGGTTCTCTTCTTGTTTTCCCTTATGATCAAATTCAGGTTACCAAATAATACCGGAACCATTCAGACTTTGGAGATGAAAGAATTCCCTACACACATAATACATGGCGCTCCGCAAAACTCCCGCTAGATCCTGCTACATCATTAGCCGAAGGAACTTTGTAACGATAAGTCGTTGTGCTTTTGCCATGCGTAGTTGCGGCAGATGTTGAGGACGCTTCTTCTTGTTGCTGTTGTTTACCTCCTGTTGGCGCTGCAGATGAGGCCGCTACGGAAGATGCTCCAGTGGTGGCAGAAGAACCTGTTGGCATTGCAGATGAGGCCGCTACTGAAGATGCTCCAGTGCTTCTTGCAGCATTCTCGCTCAGCCCCTTGTAGCCACTTACATCTATCTCTCGCACAGGCGTGGGGCTTTCTTCGACCGTAATCAGATCTCTGCTCTGGATTCCGGCTTCTTTTGCTGTTATTAGAACTAAGAGAAATTCATCTTCAGCAGCCTCTTGGGTCTCCTTTTTCCTCTAACAATGGGACCAAGATGCTGAGCGAATGCTTTCACTCATGATTGAGAATGTCGATAGGGAAATGTCGTTCCCTCTTTGCCTTCTTACTTCGGAACGACATTTTTCCCATATGATCTTCGTTCTCAAGGAAGATGGATTTGTCTGCTCCCACAGCACTCTTAACGTTAGGGCTGCGACACCTACTTGCGAGTCTGGAAGGTCGATCTTCTTAGGAGGAAACCCACCTCGCCAAACCTGATTTGCCGCAGGTATGCCAACCGACTCCTCAACTGCGGCTAGAATCTCCACAACAAGTGTTAGAGGTTGCGACATTTTTACATTCCTCACCACGTCCTACTTGACTTCTTTCCTACTGGAAAACAAGTCAAGGACGACGACGATGGTAGTGGGGAATATAATGTGGAAACTACACTTAAAAGTGGATCTGCACTCGGAAGCGTAAGCTTCACATTGCGTCCACTTGCGCGGACGGAGAATAAAAACGACATAGTTTGTTCTGGGTGGTCCTTCTGTGCTGGCCTCTTTCTGTCATCTAAGTCTATCTCTACCATCGATCATTTTTCTACACGCAGCTGGCACAGCATAAAATATCCAAAACCGATAAATCCATGAAGATTCATAATTTTTAGATCGCAAACAGCCATCATCAAGAAGAGCAAAAGACACGACTTGGTTGTCCCGAAGAAGCAAATAAAAAGCAAATTTTACAACATCCTGGAAAAAAATGGGAACCAAGGCATTAACATAATTACGAGAAACAGGACATTGGGAACAAGTAGACGAAACATCAAATATGCGAAGCCTTTTTAGTGTTTCAGAAACGAATTACTGCCTCAATTCGTGTATCGTCTGCTCTCCGAACAGAAATTTTTGACACTCGTGCCAAATCCTAGCATGCGCATATTAACGAGCATGGAATTAGAGAAGGAGAACTTCTACAATATGAAGACATAACGTCGAAGAACCAAAGACCAGCACAAGAATTATCCGTCTTCTCTACCGGCAGATCAGAGACAATTCAGACGCGTTCACGCTAACCTTTTATTCTTCAATATAATGCAGGATTCTGCGAGAGGGAGCACTATCAACACCAGAACCTATCAGTAACGCATCTACAACGGTTTGTGTGTCTCTTGCAGCTCGTGCTGTCACTCCTGCAATAGGCGTGGCCCTCTGAATCGCGCTTACTAGATCCAGGACGCATTCCGCTCGTCCGTACCCTTCATTTGAACAAAGCTGTTCTTCTACTTCTATCTCACGGCCTTCTCCAATTGTTTCTCCTTGTTCAAGATGTTCGTATTTCCTCAAACTGGTAAAGTCATGCAAAACAAATCGAGTGCCGGACTTTAGCTTTATTTCCATCTCGTACATGTCATCTTCACGGGCGCTTTCATTCGTTCGGATGTCCAAGTCGCAAAAGAAATGATTTTCTTGATGGTGATTCTTGTCCTCCGCGATCCCAGAAAAAATAACATCGCCTGTGGTCGTCGTGGTTGTGGTTGGCACAACTTTCATCGTAGCGCGCACACTGGTTTCGGACAAAGTAGAGTGTTCAGCGTTGTTGTACCCCACACTCACATTCGAGATTTCGCGTATTGACCTGGACCCGAAAAGTTTCTGAAACCCAAACAAATAGTGCGTTCCTACTTCCCGAAGAGGTCCTCCCTCAGCTTTTTCGCCAACCCATTTCGCGCCTGTCTGCCAGTCACGTGGCCATTGCCGGAACCACAAACGGATTGCTGCAGATTCGACGACATTACTTCCAGCCTGAATCGCGGCAATCTGAATCTCCCCACACAATTTCAGCAATGCTTTGTTGTACTGCATACCGATATTCACATTGAGAAAAAGGCTCTTCCCTGGAGGTTGTGTCGATTAAACGCCAGCAGTCATTGGTCACTGATTCTGAAGGGACTCGACAACCTAGTACATGGCTCTCACATTTTCCCTTGATGTTTGTCCCTGGTCTCTCGAAGTGCCTTCGTTTTGACGTCAGAGACCAACCTCGTTCACCAATGAAGTCTCAGCCTTAAGTTGAAGAAGCGGATTCAGCGACCTTTACGATCCCATCTCCATCTTCAGGTGATGCGGCAATCGGCTTCTCTAGCAAAACGTGCTTTCCAAGCGAGAAGGCCTCTCGAACGAGTGGCGCATGACTCCCAGGCGGCGTTCCTACGTAGACAGCCGCGAAGGGGATCGATAAATCGTTTGGATTGGACGCTAGTGCCGTGTTTGCCTCTTTTATGGAAGCAAAGTCGGGACATGGAGGATGTTTCTTCATCTTGTGAAGATCATTGCTGTCATCTCCCATGTCGATGTCGACACTTTCTTGGTACTTTCGTCCGGTTACGACACCACCAGCCTGCTGCCGGGTCACGAGGCCTGCGAGCGCTTTTCGCGCAGAAGCGTCCCTGTCTACGATGCCTGCCACAAAGGCGCCATTTGCTGGCACCAAATGCCGCAATGCATACTCCCGCCCGATGCTACCAGCGCCGCAGACTAAAAACCGGACCGGCATGGACCTCTCGGTGGAAGCAGGGGTAGGACTGCTCGGTTGCATTTTCCTTGTAAAGGCGAATGATATGCTCACTGTGTCAGTGTCTTTTGCACTTTTTATTAAACATCACACGAAAAGAAGTTCTACTGCGGACGAATGCCAATACCGCCTACTTGTGACGGAACGCAGATCGTTGGGCGTGCCAGCCCCGACTTCGAATCGAGATCAGATGTACTTAGTTGTAGAACAACATGGTTGACACTCATCGTCATCGTTATCGTTCTTGATATGAGCGAGCTAGAACATCAAGAAGAAGACTGTGTTTGGATACACAGTCAAGCAATGCGCGTGAGGTGAAGGAAATTTTTATATCTGTCATCGTAATACAACTGAACAAGAGGGCGTGGTCGAGTACAACACCGGAAATAAATCGACATTTGTTCGTACAAAAATGTAATTACAGGTCTGCGAGGTGTTTTCTGAGATGTGCTAGTAGGTCCTGTCCTTCGTCATCCCGTACTCCCTTTGCTTCCAGGTAGGAGCAGGAGGAGGGATTGTTGTACAACTCTAGAGTATATCTCCCCTCTGCTTCGCCAAGCTGAAGATGATCAGTTCTTCCTGGTCCTGGTTGATGTTGGTGGTCGAGCGTTAACATGTTATCAATATCAACATTCCTTATCAGACAGGCACTGGAGGTTCTCGCCTCCTGTGGTTGCTCCTGAGCGGATTGCACGACATCATGGATGCTCGTCCCCGCGTGGGGCTGGCCGTCCGTGGACCGGTTGGAAAACTGATTTTCAGAGGTGGCGCCAGCCAGTAAGTCACTTACAGGATGTAGTATTTCGATTGGTGCAGGTGGCACGTAAGTATTCGGATGCAGTCGCTCGTGCGCTGTGGAAGCTAGGGACTCACGGCAGGAGCTCGATGCGCTTGCGCAGTTGACACTGGCGCTTGCGCAGTTGACGCTGTCCATAAACCCAACCTCTCCTGGAAAAAGAGTTCTACTTCTAGACTGTTCTGGAAATTGATTTTGATCTCTTGTTGCTGTGGATGTGGAAGCTCGGCAACCCCCTTGTTGAGCAATGATGTGATTGTCTCTATTTTGCTCACTGATTTCTGGATAAGAGTAATAAGATGCACTGACCTCATCTGCTTCATTATTTGTTTGATTTTTTAATCTGCTACTGGTACTGCTAGAAATGCCATCAGGTGGAAATATTTGCTCTTGCTGCTGAAGTCTCGTGATGCTTCCGCACACGCCGTCTACTTGTTCAGCGTTTCGACCTTTGCTACTACTAGTGCTGCTGATCTCGACGCTCGCCCTGGCGCTCGTCTCACTATTATACGTGCCGCCCAACATCATTACTCTACCGCCCCTACTCTGTGGTCTCGTGCTGCTTCGTTCTGGAGCAGGAACGAAACCTCCTATTATGGCGCTCTTCTCAGACTCAGCAACAGAAACAGGTATGGGCGTACGACTCCTACCGATCATTGATGCTGCCTCGTTAGATTTCATCGTCTTGCCGGTTCCCTTGTAGTTGAGCACTACTCTATTTACCTTGTCTACTTTGTTTGTAGGTGTACTGGTGCTTCCTCCAGCACCTGTTACTTGTGTTCTAGATGTAGAAGCGCGAGTGGACGAACTTGTCTTAGAAGCCGAAGCCGTCTTCTGAGGACCACCCCTCACTAAACGGTCTAACTCAAGCAGCTCCTGCAATATGCGAGGATGCTTCTTCTCATTCGCAAGCATTTGCCTCCAGTATTTGCGCTTTTCCGGGACATCACCGCTCTCGAAGACAAGCGTGCGCTCACGCTCTCGCTCCACATGCATCTCCAACAGCATCCGATCTCCTTCTAGTTGCTGCTTCACGATCTCGAGCTCGCGTGGATATTAGAAATGAAATCGCGAATGCAAAAATGATGACTTTAGGCTACGTAGCGACAGCCGAAAGCTTCCTACATCAACAACTACAGCCAGCCCACGCGTGGTGGAGAAGGGTAGAAAAAGAAAACTCAAAATAACCGAGTTACTGACTGAAATATTAAGGGTGGAGGTAGCTTAACATCAAGGCTACCGCTACTCTTTCTTCTCATCAGTATCGCGCTCATTCTGATCAGTTACTTGCTTATTTCAGTTTTTCGAATAACACTTCGCGTTCATAATCTTGGGCTTCCGCTCGTGCGAGGAGTGCCGACTCTCGTTGTCGTGCCTGCTCTCGCTCGAACGCGGCCTGAGCCTCCGTTTCTGCCCTTTCGGTACAGTGGTTCTCGTCTCGCCGATCCAAGGCTTCTATCTGGTCCGCCTCGATCGTTCGTATTTCTTCCAGATGCTTGCGTTCCTGTTCGCGCAACTCCATCTTGTACTTGGCTTCTACCTTAGAGCGCTTACAATCTAATTCTTTGCGCAACTCCATCTTGTACTTGGCTTCATCTACTTTAGAGTGCTTAAGAACATGAATTATCACGAGCAGCCTTAACTAGCTCTGCCACAGCGATGCCATGCTTCGCTTCCAGTTCGCTGCATGTGTTCGCATGGAGCTCGCGCATCGCCTCCGCATGCCTCGACTGCAGGTCGCGGATCGCCTCTCCGTGCTTGCCCTCGAGCTCAATCCGTAGCTGTTCGCGCTGTGCGCGCAGGTCCGCAAGCGTCTGTACCCAGTCGCTTTCGCGCGACTCGAGACGAGAGACGACATCGTCCTTTTCCTGTCTCAATCTGCGGTCTAGCTCCGCCTTCTGCAACCGCAAGGCCGCGTTCTCGGCCACTAGGTCCTCCACGCGACGTTCTAGCTCGCCCTCGATCGCCGCTCGCTCTCGAGCTATGGCAGCCTCTAGCTCTAGGGACGTTGAACAAGAACCACTTGATGTATCTCCTGTGTTGAGGCCTGTGGCTGTGCAAGTACTATGATCCTGGTCGTGCGCGACTTCTCGCTCCTGCTGCCTCTTCTCCACTTCGACCCTCTCTTTGAACGCCACAAATTCTTTGTAGAGCTTGTCCCACTGATCATCCTTCTGCTGGAGTAGAGTGGTCAGTTCCGCGATCTCGAGCTCATGTTGAGCCTGAAATTCGACAAAAGCTGCCTCGACCTCTGCCTCAGACACACTGCCTCCAGGACTGCAAGCCGCAAGAGGAGGAGCATCGTGGTCGTTACTAATCATGGTCGCGCTAGAAGAGGACGCAGAAGTTCTTGGTGGGTATTGCAGCCCATCTACTGGAACACGTTCCTCACCTTCGGCAAGAGCCAGTTCATGTTGGTCAAGAGCCAGTTCATCTTGGTCAAGAGCCAGTTCATCTTGGTCAAGAGCCAGTTCATGTTGGTCCAGTGCATGAAGATTTTCTTGTTGTTCACGAGCGGACATTTCTTGAGCCTGCTCTTTCTCTGCGAATGTCCTCGCTCGGGGTTGATGTTCATCACCTAGTGTTCCTACAGCTGCAAGAGCCGGAGACTTCATCGATGACGTTGATGTAACAGCCGATGAAGACTTTGACGCTCTTTGGCCTCCTGCAGTTGTTGAGCTATGATTCGCACCGTTCGGAAGTGTCCGGAAACTGGAGACGCTCGCTGCGGCACCGCGCGCAGCACCCGAGGCTTCTACAGAGACCATCGCTTCTTGTTGCCGTTGGTTGTTGCGTCAACCGGAACAGGAGTGATTTGAAGATAAAGATATCACGACGCAACGAACTATTTATACCGTCAAAAGCAAAACAAAATCAAAAATGCGCACTATCAAATAGAATGAATTTGAATCCCCCGAACAAGAATAAGAAAGCCCTAGTACTACAAGAACTTTGGCATATTCCAGTTGATGATGTAGAGGCAGTGTTATCTCGCTTCTTGCGTTGTAGCAGGTTGTTGCTGCCGTTGACAAAAAGTCGATTCCCATGCCTATCATCCGAGTGCGAATACAAATTATGCAACTATTCAACGATTACTGCCGCCCACAGAAGAACCGAGCTTCTTACAATGAGCAAGTAAGTACGTCTGACCGATGCATGTCCTCTTCGGCACGATCAAAGGGGTCACTCCTCTAACGAAGCTGCCGATGCGACAGCGACCCCAAGCATGCGACCCCAAGCTCAAGCAATGTCGCGATCATAATGCTAGTGCCTAGCAAGCTGCCTTTTCCTCTTTTTAGCAATGGTATTTACTTTATCAAAGTTTCAATGACGAATCCCACTTGCTCATTTTTTTCTATCTTGTCTACCTGCAAGCTTTCGCGTGAAGGAAATTGCCAGGTTATCGATCTCTAATATCCCTGAGTAACTAAGGAACGAAAACTACACGAAGTCATCGAAGATCAAACGCCACGAATGTAGAAAACAACAAAACAACAGCGACAGCCCTAGAAAGCCCTTTGGGTTTCGGTGATTGCGTATAAGAAAAACCAACGTTTGGATGAAAAAAGGGTAAAAGAACAGATTAAGATTATGGCCCAAAAAAATGCTAATTAAATTCCTTCTTCTAACACGTTTGTTCACTGGATTTCTTCTAAAGTCTCGCAGCAATTTGCTGCTCGAGATACTCCAGCAAGCAGCTAGCTTCATCTTCGCGTAGGCTTTTGGATTGGATAATCCGCTCTACAACTGCTGCAGCCGTCTCCCCACGTCTGATTCTGATCAACTGCATGCCTCTTCCACGCCCCAAGTCGACTTCGACCTCGAAAACGGTATCAGTTGTTCCCTCATTGCCCCTTGCAGACCTCGTTTCATGATCGTAATTGTCTACCCTCTGCTTAGGCATCCTCCCAGCCATCGGTCTTCTTGCCGGAGGATGGCCTTCTTGGTTCCCGTACGCGTACCCGTTTCCGTTCGACGTCGATGCAGAAGCACCATGATCGGAGAAAAATCCGTGAAGTAGTCGGCCTACTAGAGAAGTGGTTGCGGTCGGAACACTAGTTGCACTAGTGGCAGAGTGAAGCAAAGTATTGGCATCCGTTGCCGCGGAAGCATCATTAACCGATGGGCACTCAGCTTCGTCAGGCGTCGGCGAAACCGGTGACGAGAAAGGTAGAGGACCTGGTATGATGGCTCAGCGTACTGGTACGATGGTACAGCTTGCAACAACTGTACTACGTCGTAATAATTCTTACAAGTTGATAGATAAAAAACATAACAAAAAAATAACCTATATTATTAACCTAAATATTATTAACCTACAGGATCAACCTACAGGATCAACCTACAGGATCAACCTACAGTATTAATCTCCGCCGCCATAAAACTCCCCGCCTAACCCGACGAGAAAGGTAGAGGACCTGGTATGATGAACAGGAGTACAATCATGGAAAAGCAAATGGAATACCAAGATGGTCCTCTTACGTCGTACTGTCTTACGACGAGAAGTCACCAGTAGATTGTACCAGCCTCCCCCTCTTGTCTTCTCTTAGCAGGAAAATGCTCGCTTTGCAGTCCAGCTCCTACCGCTGTGGCCAACGAAGGGTTGACCGCCTTCATCCTTGTTTCGTCGATGGCTGAGTCGGTTGGGTCGTAGACAGCAGATGACGATGACAATCCTCCTGTTGATGTTGGTCTCGTTCCATTATAATTCTCGCTTCTGGTCGTGCTCCTATCTTGCAGGCGTGGTGCATGGGCGCTGTTGTAGTCACCAGGATGAAAGAGAGGATCGCTATTTCCTAGAGTAGGTGCCGGTTGTACGTCTACTCTAGCTCTACTAGCAGCGTTTGCGGTGCTTCGAAGATCTCTGGTGAATAGCCGGTCCCGGTCGTGCCCCAGAGGACTCGGAGCTCGAGTTTTGGGGCTCGACGATGGATCGATTGATGACCCCCAAGGTGGCGGCGCTGGTTTCGGTTTCTCTAGCGCCGCTGCCCCGCGCGCTAAATGGGGCACCACAGTCTGCAGATACTCTAGCAGGCAATCCGCTTCCTCGTGCGACAGATCTGGGTACTTCCTTCGCAATGCCCTCACTGTCGCACGCATGCTAGCCAAATCCCGACGAACTAGAATGAGCTCACTGCCACGGTTCCTGCCAAGATCCACTTCTAACTCGCAGAGGGCCTCTTCTCCACTCCTGACGCTGTGGAGGTCCTCTAGACCTGAAACGTCTACTCCTCCTCTTGATCCTCCATTGCTGTCGGACGGAGACGACAAAGCGACGAAATGGTCTATGATATCCTCCTGCTCGCGCGGGTCGTGGTCGAAAAAAAACCGCTCCTCCTGGTGCTGTTGGGTACCACTGCCACTTCTACCAGAAGACAAGTAACGACCGGTTTGGCTCTTCTTCGCGCTTGCAGCAAAGCCTGTTTCAGGAGGCATAGAGTCGCGATGTTCGCGAGCGCCCTCGTGGTCATGAAGATGTTGTGCACAAGAACTGGCTGCATTTCTACAATGTGATGAAGGCTGATGAAGAGCTGCGTTGTAATTGATATGCTGGCCGCCTTCCTGCACCACGTGTTCTCTTTCTTCAGTTAAATTATTGTCGTTGTGGAAGTACACCGACGATAACAGAGATGAAGCCGAGGTGGCTGCCGCAGGATTGATCTCCAGCGAATTCGTGTTACTTGGGTTTTGCGGCGCTGGCGGCTTCGGAAAGAGGTACTGCTGAGCTGGTATGGCGACCGGCGTAGGCGTGCTCCCACCCAGTGACGTCCCAGAAAAACTCAGAGATGCTCCTACATGCATCGCGGCCGTCGACTTGGAGTATTGCCCACGCGGAACTGTACCTGTACTCGCAACATGTCCCCCGTGTGATTGTTGCTCTGAGAAAAAAGAAAAGCCGGCTGACAACATTGGTGGCAGGGGGAGTGGCGGAAGCATCACTCTTCGATCAACTGCAGACAGCTCAGTCCCGTCCTCCGCCACTATCCTATGTTGAGCTTGAGGTTGTAGGTGCCCCTCCCCAGGTGCAGGTCGTGGTCCACGTCCATGAGGAACAGAGGAACCATTATCCTCGACGTCTGTGGCGGAAACGCTTCCGCTTGGAGCGGCCGTAGATTTTGACACGGGGAGGCCATTGGCATTGCCCTCATTGATCATGTTGTTTTTCTTGGCGCCATTTTTTTCGAGATCGAAAATACTGAACTTCGATTCTCGTGTCGCACCCGACCCCTTCGCCTGATCCTCCTCGTCAAATGGGCCGTCTTTAGGTTTCTTGTATCTGCCAACCTCTCGTTCTGCATCTGCCTGCTTTCGTCTTCCCGGACCAGCTCCAATGTCGTACCGCGGTTGTGGTGAAGACTTTCGCCTTTGTAACCGCGCCTGCTGCATGGCTCCTCTCTCAACGTGCCCCATTGGTCGCCGACTCCTCATTTGAGCTTGCTTTGTCGTGCTGGTTTTACTCGATGACGAGGTCGTGGCCCCGCCACCAGCAAGATGATAGTGATGCCGTGCTCTCCTGCCAATCGAGTGTGAAGCACCACCTACCGCTGGTGCTCCTCCTGTTTGAGCATCCTCCACACGGTCCAAACCTTTTGCAGGCACGTCGTCCAATGACGTTCTTGTCGCAGTCATATCCCGGACACGTCCTCGTGGAATAGAACTAGTGTCTATCCGAATTGCTCCGCTAGTTGTGCTCTGACGTCGCATTCCACCTTTCCGCACCGGTCTCTTCTTGGGCAGGGGAGACAAAGATGAACGCAAAACTTCTACGCCATCGTCGTCAACTTCAGCTTGCTTCGGCTTCGATGAAGCTTGCTCATCTCCTTCTTTTGCTGTTTTTTCATTTGCTGGCCTAGTATTTCTAATATTCGTTCTACTTTTGAAGATGTCGGCAGTAAGAGAAGGAGAAGCTTTTGGTCGAGGGCTGTAGACAATGACCTCACCAGTTGGGGACGACGACGATGAGGACATCAAACTCCCAACATTTTTTTGCGAATCCAGAAGCCTTTCTAGGTCAACTGCTTGCTGAGCGACTTTTCTCAAAAGGATTCGCGCCGCTGCGTCTGGAAGACCGTGCATGTGCGCGAATGTAGCGACCTCACGGACTATTTCTTGCCCTGGAGCGATTCGAAAAGTCTCACAGTGACCTGGACGTACTTCTACCTCAGCCACCAAACTTACTTTTGACACATGCTGCGTCTGGCTGGAGGTCCGGTTTTCCTTTACTGGATCATGATCAGGGTGTGCACTAGTAGACGAGGAAGAAGATGAAGAACCTCCGAGAACAGATGTTGATGGTCCGACTACGTTGCTCAGCACAGCCACCTGGTGAGACGACGCTGGCTGTCTTCTTGTTGTTTGGCCCGACGCAAAAACCGGCTGCGCATTTGGCGGAACGAAAAATGGAGGCGCTGGTGTTGGTCCTGTCGGAGGTGGTGGCACTGAACAAGACGCAATGCCCGACGAAGAAGCTGAAGCATAAAGCTGGGTGCTAGCATCACCATGACCAGCATGATGTGGTGCAGAAGAAGTTGCATGATCATTCATCTTTACAACTTCCTGACTCACTGTCAAAGCAGCAGGTGCTGGTCGTATGCGATTATCAGAAGTTTGTGTTTGACGAGGTTCTCCACCAGACACGTCCGGCTCTACTTCAGCGCGCGTCGATGTTGCCAGCTTTGTCGAAGGCGCGGGAGAAACACTTCTGGACGTTGTGTGGTAACCTGCCTTCCTCGGGCTTCTGCTTCTGGGGAGTACTCTGGCGAAATGTCGTCTCGACAATGTTGTAGGTACGACAGGCACTACCCGACGCACAGTAGATGATCCTGGATCAAGTGTCTCGCGACTCTTTTGAAGCACCTCTTTCGTTGCCGCAGCGTCATAGTTAGGCACACGACCGCGATCGAGCCGGCGGCGCGACGACGCAGTAGGTGCCGAGTAGCCTCGCTCCTGACTGCTCCCGCCTAAAAATAATTTTTCAGAATTACTCTTCGGCACCTTTGCGTGTGTTGCTGTAGTTAAGCCTGGCCCGCGCCCCTTCGTCCGTCTGTATTTCTCGTTCTGTGATTGCTGCTGGCTAATTGATGCAGTAAAGCTTCTTGAAGACGTCAGATTGTCTTCATCTTTAAGCCTGCTGTGACTGCTGTCCCGAAGAGATCCAGACAACAAACTACTAGGCTTGTTAATACCCGTCTGTGGCTTTGCAAAAGTTCGATGACCATTTTGATCAGAAGCATGTTCTTCTTCATAGGAGGTGGGTGTATGTTGTCGTAGTTCGAGTGCCTGTGATTGACCTACTTGACCCGCACCTGTTTGTATTTCAAGCGCCCTTACTTCTTCTTCACGACTCTTCCAGTCCTCAGGAGAACGGCCTGGATAAACGCTCGACGTGCAACTATCTGCGCGCGGCTTCATTCCAATGACTGGAGCTGTTTCCTCCACAAGTACATGTTCGTTTCTAGCTGCTTCAACAGGAGACATGCAGGAGGCCTGGTTGTGCTGGGAGAGCGCTGGAACATGCAGGTCGTCGGTTGATGCGCTTGCGACAGGTCCCGTAGGAGGGCCTACTCCTACTCCACCAGCAGGAAAAGGAAAAGTAGACGCATAACTTCCTCCTCGCCGACCATCCAGTAAATTGACGTGAGATTGTTCTGCGCGCCACCTATCGCCAGAAGCGAAGGTGCTAGTAATCGTGTGTTTCTCGTCTACCGTTGTTGTATTCATCTCGTTTACCGCACCTCGAGGTCCTCCTTGTTCCATTATGCCCTGCAGATTTTGAAGAGTAACACGCTGTGATGCTGTCTTACTCGTGGTTACCTCGACGTGGTCGTTATCATGCAGCTGCAAGCTGACGACTTTGTCGCTCTCAACACGACCACGGTCGCTTAGATTTATTCTCGAAGACACCGCATTCACAGCGTGCTGCGGTTTCGCTACGGGCTCAAGAAAAGGCGCTGAACTCTCAGAAACATTATAGCTCTTTTGCTGAAGTGAATGCTGTCCTTGTCGCTGCTCAACCGAAGGTGAACAAGGAGCAATTCCTGTATAAAAATGTTGATCTACTGGAGAAGCACTCCTCGAATTGGTTTTCGACTGAGAAGCGGAACCAATGATATCGAACAAGTCGCGCTGCGCTTTCTTCAGATCGCGCCGCTTCCGTTCCAGCTCTCGTTCCACCGAATGAGTTGAGCTCGACGCTGACGCATTCTGCAAAAACAACGGTCGCTCCTTGCTAGAGTAGTAATCTTCATACGATGGCGAGGACGGTACCCGACCACCTTGAGCAGCTGCCCTTGTTCTTGTTGCACTTGCTGTATTATTCTGCTGCTCTGCTGGCAGGTCCTGTAGTTGTTCGTGTTCTTGACGGAGCGGTCTACTATCTAAATCTACTTCATCATCGTGCTCATAATCATATGAACGTGCTGAATACAGTACAAGACGCGGCACTTCTAAACGAGCTGGGCCTAACAATTGCGAAGACGTTCCTCCACTCCGACTTAGTTTAGCGTCGCCTCCAAGTCGGGTGGATTGTGGATTGTGCAGTATTGGGTTGTCTGCCTGATGATCTTTTGATGCGTGATCTTTTGATGCCTGCCTAGAACTGCTGTCTCCTCTCAGAATGGCGCTGTGGTTCAGCAATGCGGATTGTTCACAGAGATTCAATGAGGGTGGCCGTAGCATCGCGTCATCGCACTGCAAAAGCGCACTATGCGAGTGACTTTGGCGTGGCGACACGAAGGCACCTCCGGACAAACCACGACCAGTGGGTGAAACAGAAAGCGAACTACCATTACTAACTCCACCAATTATAGGACCACTTGCGTTTGCGCTCATCGACATGCCAGCAGCACCACTTGCGCCGCTTTTCGATGACGAGGGTGGCACGACTACGTTCCGTACAGGGTAAAAAAGCGCCTCTTCTGCACTGCCCGACCGTGAAGACGACGATGAGTGCTGGCCACGCGGCTGACGCTCTGCGGCTCTGGAGCTGTGGGATTACAGATCAAATTGCGCTTATGGTATCATGTATCCAATGTCTTCTAAAAATCTGACCCTGTTCCTGACTTATTATTACGCTATAGGTTACACTTAGTCGGTTGAAGTCATCAAGAGCGATACTCGGAGTATTAGAACGATGAGTATCTTCAATAGCGTCAGCACACAAAGCAAGCCCAACTGAGGAGATTCCTCTTGATCATGATCAAGTCAAGACTTAGAAGTACCCGGACGCCCCACCATTCGTTGTGTCGCGTGGATGGCGCGCGTCTCTTGCTAGCGAAGATTCGACGCTGTGTAGCAAATGCACCGGAGAAACAGAGCCTGTTTGTAGTATGGGAAAGGGTAAGAAAGTCGTGGCTTGTTGTGCCTGACTGGCTTCGACAGGTCCCTTGATGGCGTCAGCTTCACTCGGACAACGTCCATCGTTCTGCTCAGCCGGCAAGAGGTCCTCGACCGAAACTGCGTTGCCAAGCTGCGGTGGCACACTCGGACTAGACGTGGTTGTGCCTATGCTTCTTTCTGCAGTATTCGCAGGGTGGTCAGCAGGTGGTCGGCGAGTTGCCCTTGGAGCAAACAACAACCCATAACCTTTAGAAGTCAGCCCAAATGATGTTGCCGAAGAACTGCACGACACATTTGATGTCGACATGGCGCTCGTCGTCTTGGTCGATGTCACTGTCTTAGTCGTTCGCGATCCATTCATCTGCGAATTTCGCGGTCCATTTTTCCCACTTCCAGGTGCGGCCGGACTAGCGAGCTGTGGCGATTCGTGGGTGGATTCCTGTGCTGGAGAGGCTGGACTTGCGGCGTTCGAGAAAATTCGGTCAGAGAACAGTTTCTTTGAAGAGACGCAAGAGGCGGGCAATGAAGAAGAACAAGAGGGAAGATGAACAGGAAGAGATGACGTTCCTGACTCTTCAGGAGCGAGAGAGTGTCCTTCTACTACTATTTCAGCTTCTCGTCGCATTCCTACATCTACTCTAGTACCCAATTCGTCTTCCTTTCGTTCCCCCTCCTGCTCCTGCGACGTCCGCATGTGCACAAACGAACTTCCTAGGTTGTCGCAATCCACTAGCTCTTTTTCAACATCCTGCTGCTTGCACTGCGTAACGCCTGCGAGAGCAGCGTCAACTCTCCGTTCGAGATCGTCCACACTTCGGAGAAAGCAATCTTCATTCATCTCCGACGTATGATCATCTTTGAGGTAGCGGCTGAGGCTGTCATCTTCGTGATCAAGAACATTTCGCATCCCTCTTTCGTGCTGCTGCGATGCGGATGTGCTCCCTGAAGAATGGTGTGCTCCTGTTGGGTCATTTCGCATGAGGACTACAGATGTGTCGGTAGGGCCCAACGCTTGCAAAACGTCTGCTCTTGGTGTCGAAGTCAGCTCCAAATGATCACTTCCTCGAGTATTAGTAATCGTCGTGTCGTGGTTGTGGACGCGGTCCTCCTCCTGACAACAAGAACTACTCCTAGTTTTACCATTGTTTCCGTCGTAGTCGTTCAGGAACAAGGTTGTCGCTTCGCCTTCGTGTTGCACCGCCCGCTCAGCCGCACACACTTCTTCCAAAGGCGATCCCGAGAGTAGTCTGCTATGCTGAGGAGGTGGCCTCTCTCCACCTGGGCGCAAGACGGATGTAGCTCGATGCTGCGCCGGCAATAGTGCTGAGAACCCCGCGTCAACATCGCCTTCAGGCGAATCCTGGCTTCGATTTGGTTCAGCGGCCTCACGATCATACGGTGCTCGATGTAAAACGATCTGTTCTCGTTTTACTAGTACTTCTCTCACGTGGTGATGCATCTCATCTAGTTTGGTTTCATCCTCCTCAGGTCTCCTGTCACCTCCTTCAGTCGTCTCCTGTGTAATATGCTGCTCGAAAACCACTGCAGTGGAAGCGGCCTGCGGGAGGTCACTTAGCTCTCCAAGTCCAACTACATCACCCGTCCCAAGCATTGAATTAGCATACCTCGACCCACTCGCGACCAATTCGGAATTCGAATTATCGCACGTGCTGTAGGTGTACGGATGCACAGGAGACGTTACGAGCAATGTCGGCGGGTCCTCGGAGGTCGCAGGTGGAGAGGCGCTGACTTGGCTGCGGACATCATCCGAATGCTTCGCACATGCATGGTTAACCAACGGCGCTCCGAAATCACCCAGAAGTAACGACACAACATCTCTGTACAGGGTTTCGCGTTCATCCCTGGTAGTTTGCGGAGAGGAAGACGCATTCCCATTATGCAACAGACCGAGACGAAGAGTTTGTAGAACTTTCTTCCGGATGCGTGCTGACAATTCCGCTTGCTGTTGCTCTGCAAGCGCCAATTCAGCGCGACTTCTTAACTCTAAATCGGATCCATATCGATCCCCTGGTGATGTCAAAGAAGCAGACGCAGGATGCGTCTTCGAAGCAGACGCAGAGTTAAAGGTTGAGACATTTCAACATTTCTACGTAGAAAAGCACGTAAGTTAAGAGAGAAAACTAGCTCTAGCACGTAGAAAAAGAAATGAACAAACAGAAATTATAATATTTGTATTTGATTTCAAACTTAATAGAAGGTGCTGCACCAATACCCAAATCTCTACAGAGGTCTCCAAACACTCTCTCAGGATCACGTAGAAACATCGGGATGTAAAGTCGGACCTGCTTTCTTCCGAAACGAGCACTCGCATAGCTGCACTCAGGACGCAGGCCACAAAAATTCCTCAAAGCTAGAAGCGTCTTCTCAGTGTGCTGCTCCTCGGCATCGCTGCGATCGTGATGGGCATCATGGACATGATTCTGCATCTGCTCTTTGCTGAGGACACGACCACTTGCATTTTTTACAGCATCTTGTACTAGTTCTTCCTGCGACGCGGATGAAAACGGAAGGATCTGCACTCTTTTACTTGCTTCTTGCTGCAAATAAGGTGCTGGATCCACGACATCCTCTGTGCGATAGTTTGCCTTTGCTGACTCCTGTGGTCTACGGTCATGATCTCCATCGTCGCACAGCATCATGCCATCCTCTACTCTCTGCGACTCTAGCAGCGCCAGACAAGACGATACCGTGGCTGCTGATGGTTCGCCGCGAGCTGCTGATGGTTCGCCGCGCACTCGAAGGAGATCTGCAGCGGAAAAAACACCCTCAGGTAGCAGCGACATGTTGTTACTGGAAGTACAGAGCGACGCATTCTCCTGCTGCGAAGCCATGTTTCGATTGTAACTGGAGGTACAGAGCGCCGAAGCATTGTGGTCCCCTTGATGTTGCGAAGTAGATGTCGTCATGTTGATTTTGATACAAGGTCGGTGGCTAGAGTTGGGCGAGTATTTCTGATGGAGATCCAACATCGTGTTCTTGAGCTAGCGAAGGAGAAGAAAATGCAATTCCAAAGCATCCATCTGTTCCTCCTCTCGAATTCCAAGAGACAATGTGTGTACTACATCATGATCCACCGCATCTGTTCCTCTTCTCGTCGGTCCTGCTCTCCAAGAAAGACGGACTATGGATGCCGCTGACACCCCCACAGACTGCAGTCTGGTACGAAGCTCTCTCCTTTCTGCAGCCTAGTGGTCGCCGCGCGTAAGACTGTTGCATGTCTTACTGATTCCATCCTGCTATCAAAGAAGACAAACTCAAGGGCGGAGACAATCTTTCGACATAATGCCCTCAACCTCAAAAATCTTGGCGCGCGCGATGCCCTTATGGCTGTCCTTATTTTTGACATCTAGTACAAGGCCGATTCCTAAGTAACTAAGTATCCTAGGACTTTTTTTCGTTTTAAACACCGACATGCTGGAAGTAGTGATACACCAATTTGATCAACGAGTGGCTTTGCTTCATTTTCTCTGTTTGCTTTGCGTGCACTCTGCTTTAATGTTGTCGTGGCTCGTACCATGAAGTTTGTGTTTAGACCACTCGATTTGATCGATGAGTTACACGGCGATGGTGAAAAGCGTGTGTCTATTTTTCAAGCCCTTTACCTTTCTTACCTCCAGGTGAAAATGCGTTTTCGTTTGTTGCATGCAAGACGCAAGAACCCGCTGTCAATCTCAAGGGAATTTATCTCACTCCACGTCCACCAAAAAGATGAAACTACTGTGCTTACAACAAAACAGCATCATACTTGTTTCACTCTCATCCACGTTTGTTGTCGACCCTTCCACGTCATCTGTTCATTGTCTCTTTGCTCTTTTTGCGACTACTTACGTGGGAGATGTGTCTTCGAAGCCCTCCCTCCTCAAGCACCCTGCAATCTTGGATCTGTCTTTGCGATCCAGTCGCTTGGAACCTTTGCTGCTGCTATCGGACCAGCGATCCACTCTCGGAAGGGGTAATCAGGATGGTTTGCCGTCTGCTGCCACAAGAGACCCCGCCAACCGCAATTCATTTTCGACAATGTGGCCATGTCTTCAGGAGGAGTGATGAAGGTGGAAACGGAAAGCTGAGGAAAGGGACGAGGGTCCTTGTTCTTTCATATGGAGGTTGTGGTTCGTTGTGCTGGATGACGAAATAAAATTAAGATTTCTCATAGGTCTGCGCACAATCACCACGACAAATCGAAGTAGGAGCTGATCCCTGTGGTCAACACACAGAGAGTACCGCATCACACATTATAAACACAACTAGTTGGGCGTGATATATCCCGATCCAATCCGAATCCATTGACCTCTACCATAAAAAGTATAAAATCGAAGATTTCGATATTCTGCTTGAGCCGATCGGGATTTGTGCTCTTTGCTACCACTGCGATTCCACGTTGAACCTGGTATCGGAGTGCTACCTGTGCCGCTGATTTGTCATACTTAGCACCGATCGCTGCGACCTCCGGATGCTCACGAATGGAGTACTTTGGCCTAAACATATTCGTGGAGATATCTCGATCGCCCGTTGGCGTATCGATCCCACCGAAAACGCTGCCGAGAGGACTGTACCTGTAGTGTGCGAAAGAGCGGCCGACTAAAGGTCGAAACAATTCATTTCATTCTCAGTGTCAAGGTCAACACGAACATGAAGTAGTGAAAAAGGCTTGTATAAAAAAAATGCTTCAACCCATAAACTATCACCGTGAAAGCGCTATTTGTGCTGTATTTACCCATACTTTCCATGATGCAGATTCAGATGTTGCCTGTTGCCATATTACACCCAAGGCCTCTACATCATCCTTGCAGGTTACACCGCCGACTACGTCGAGAACGATCAATATCGTGTAGAGGAACAAGATGGTGAGCAGCAACAATCTCACTGGCCTTAGAATTCAAGAAACTAAGCGGCCTCCCTAAGAGTTAGAAAACTATCTTGTATCATCATAAATCAATTTCAAATTCAAATATGTAGACAAGATATCCTAATCATACGCCTGCAACTGGATCCCCTGTGCTTGGCAGAAATCTAGCATGTCTTTCGATTGCAGGTAGAGGTGAACTTCGTTTTGCAAAACTGACGGCTTGTGCTTCGTGCATCCGTTTGCGAGTAGATCCATCACTTGGCCTAAGTTGAAATTCGATATCCCAATACTACGACAGAGACCGTCGTCCACCAGCTGCTCCATCGCTCCCCACGTATGCGTGTAGTGCACACTCGTGTCACAAGAATAGGTGCCTGGATATGCTGTCTTCATGAAGATTCGTGTGCATTCATTTGCTCACGGAACACGAGGCTCGATGAAGAATTTGTTTTTGAATCAGTGTCGTCACTCCTGGTATCAATGTGTGTAGTGGATTACCAAATCAAATGCATCTTGGTCTCTGTAGTGATGTTGTGGTGGTGGTGGTCGGCGTAATCGTAACACATTTAAATCGTAAGAATAAGGCACGTTCGCGCTTGTCAACATGATTCGCCTGAGGATGCCAGCATCAGCCAAAGCATAGTTGTACCATCTTCCTCCATCGGAAACATGGATCCATATTTTTTGTCGCACTGGACGTTGTTGGAGTGTGGCCTCGAATTGTCAAGGACTTTATCCAGCTCTTTCTCGACATCCTGGACGTCATCTATGTTCCACGCGAGCGCAGACTTCGTTGCCTTCGGGTCTGCGGGTGAGCACTGAGGCCAGTGGATTACGTTAGAGCTACGGCGTTTGCATCCCTGAGTGGGAGTGCAGACTTGGTTCGTAGTTTTTCCAGTAGAAAAAAGCCCACGGATGATGCGTGGCACTGAAGAATCTTCAGTAGTACTAGTAGCCTTAATTATGTAACTGTCGACGTAGTCCACTTGTAAATCGCGTAAAGTTGCAAGCAAATCGAGCTTTACAAGATCCGGACGCATATTGGCATTCCACAGTTTCGACTGAATGAAGAGGTCCTCTCGTTTCACAATGCCTTCGTCTAGACAATACCGGATCGCGGACCCCACCTCATGTTCATTCCCATAGTCGTTGGCAGTATCGATGAATCTGTACCCTGCGTCTCTTATCGCGGCAATCACAGCAGCACGCGTTTCGCCGGAAGACATGAACAACCACTAGTAGAGGACAAGATTTTGGCTTATTCTGTACGTGGGGAGGGCGCGCCAAGAACGAGAGGTGGGAGTAGAATTAGGAATTTACGCTATGATGTGATCTTCTGCACAATACTCGAAGAACAAACACAAACTTCTGTGCAGCCATAACTTTTGCTTGCCACGTGCCCATGCCCACAAGCGGTTGTCGTAAGCCGTTTCCCAATGTGACGCATTCTGCAGAACCACTCCTGTTTACATCAGCCATTTTGTTCCTGTTCCTATTGTTTCTTGTTGATGGTGCCCTAGACGTACTATGATTCTGGTGCTCGCGTTGGCGTTATTTTGTTGAGGTTGGCGACGTTGTTATGTAATTAACAGTTTCTTTGATGTGGATGTATTCAATAGTCTTAGACTCACTGGTAAGGTTACTGGGTATTTTTTGAACAAGCAGCTGTACTTTTTCGATAGCCAATTTAACAAGCGACACTATTTTCTCCTTACATTCCAGACAGCAACTTGTTAGCATAGAAAATGCTCTTCACAGCAACAGTGGTAGTGGCTAATGATGATCGTATCTTATTCTTATTGGTGCTACTTCCTGCACACGAACAGACTTGATACGCATCCAACACAGATAAGGATAACAACAAGTTCCCTCTTGACAGAGTAGAACCTTCAACAACAGAGGTCACCCTGAATAGTACCGAACACGGTGATTCGGAGGATATTACTGGATTTAGCTGTACTAGCGCATCCTCTTTCCTACTAGGTCTTTTCCTCATGGCAGAAGACGTCACCGATGTTGAAGATGTCATCGATGTTGATCAACAAGATCATGGTGGAACACTGGCGACAGCCTGGTGAAAAACCAGTATCCAATGGCCGTTGTTTAGATGACTTCTTAGCTATATGCGGATTGTGGACTGTTTGCTCATTCCTCGGTCGTCGGGGTGGAAGCCTTCAGTTCATAAGTAGTCTATATCTTGGGTATAAGCTAGCTATGGTCGAAGCTGCATGAGCAAATGCGTGATCATCTCGCTTTTCGACATACAAAATTGTAATCATGAAAAAGATGCGCATGTCTCTACGAAAGTAGAAGATTGGCAATTGATGATGAAATCATGCTGAAAGAGAAGACCAGCAGGTAGTTGCCTAGTAGCAAGGACTCAAGGTTAGCAGATTGCAGCGTCGATGAGTCAGTCTGCACCTGCTTGTCCGGGTCTCATATCATGAAAGGTCCCTAGCAACATGCATGAATGGAAGCGCGTGCCAACTGATTTGAGGTTAAGTTGCTCATTTGTGTGCAAAACAAGCTAGGAATGCAGTTCTCGCTGCGTCATGATGAATGGGGTACGGGTATCCAGCGTCTATTTCTTGTCTCCGGAGTAATATGGCGCAGAAACGCGCAGTTCTCCAGTCAAGCAAAGATGTTGACGTGGTGTCTTCAGTTATGTAGGGTTGCATCCTCCTGCTTCGGTTGAATGAAGATCTGTCATAATCTTAATCGTTAACGTATGAAGAAGAAGAACCATAGAAAACTCAAAATCAACGACATATCATTTTTTCAACAACAGAACAAATTGACAAAAGCGCCAAGATGTAGACAAAATACCATGGGTAACGCTTTTGAACCTAAGAACGTGGTGAATATAAATGTCCTCCTACCCATACAAGTTCACTTCCTCGTCAGGCAGGCCCTCGCCCTTCCCTCAACAATTCCTCTTCTATGCAGTTGCAGTCGGGCCTATCCCTAATTCTAATATGTCTTCAACAATAGATTTTATTCATATGTTGTATGACAAGAGTGTGTAGACTCGGGCCACTCGGTGAACGTGAAGTAAGTATTCATTTTGAACGTTAGGATGATGAGAATCGATATCGCGAACGACAACAACAATCCTGCCAGTAGCAGTAGTACTGTCATCTTTATGTTGCTGTCGTCCTACAAAAAATTCGAAAAACTGAAATAAGCAAGTAAAAAACTAGAATAACCCCAAGCGAAATACTGAAGAACAAAGAGTAGCCTTGAAAAGCTACCTCCCGCCTTATTTCAGTCAGTAAGTCACTTATTTTCGGTTTTCGATTATTCGACTTCAACTTCTTTCGAAGAGTAAGTATTCATCATCAACGACCTTGGTTCATCATCAACGACCTTGGTTCATCATCAACGACCTTGGTTCATCATCAACGACCTTGGTTCATCATCAACGACCTTGGTTCATCATCAACGACCTTGGTTCATCATCAACGACCTTGGTTCATCATCAACGACCTTGGTTCATCATCAACGACCTTGGTTCATCATCAAGAACGACCTTCGTTCGAAGAGTAAGTATTCACCACCAACGGCCTTTGTTTCTCCTAGCATCATCGAAGTCAACATTTTTCAACCAACAAATTCGTTCTAAATCCTTCCCCGCTAAGCGATGGAGTGGGAGCTTCGGACTAGGATTCGACCCGCCCTCCACAGTTTTACCTGCATACTCAAGCGGATATGCGCAGCCGCAGAAGGACTACCAACACTTAATAGTTATGCCGGTTTATAAAACAAAAATGATCTTAATGTAACGATCCTAGCCATGGCGCTTTTCTTTCGTCGGAGCGTAGTACTGCCGCAACTCTAAGGTGAATTGCCTGTACCAACATCATTTTTTTGGGATGACATACAGGCACCTTTTTTTTTCGATTCATAAATAATGGGAACGAGACTTTTGAGGTTGACAGTATTTCTGTTCTTTCGCATTGCATGCTCCTTCCACTTGTATGCTATTGCTTTCCTTATTGATCTTGCATGGCTGCGCCAAAGTACTTATTTTCAGGGAAGCGGTGGTCGGAACCAATTTTATAGTTCCGAAGCAACTGATACTGATTATTTAGAACAAGACTCATCAAATGGAAGGGCATCACAGTAAGCATCTTAAAATAAACTATTGATATAAAACCGGTAATCGACGGTATTCGTTGATACGCTGGGCGCTTTGTGTCCGCCGCAGAGCAAAACGAACGACAACGAATATCGACGAAGTGAGGAGCGAATCTTGAATTCCGGTAACGACAACTTCGTCTTCTTCTCCTTTACCCCCCGCAGAGTTTGCTACAAATCGTCAACAAAAAGAAAAACTACTGTAAAAAGCTACAACCATAGATGACAAACAATATCTTCCACGACCTCACCAGTAACATGATATATTTCCTTAAGTACACTAGTTATACTTCCAAAAAGTCGGAAGTTTTAAATTTCTACCAAGTTAAATTTCTATGACATCGACCTACATCAACGGGAATCCATGTTCGTCTAGTTATCAAGAACAGCGTATGTTAATTTCCTGCAGTATTACCCTCTACTGGTACGGTATCTCTCCGTCTCTCTGCTCCCCAAAAGTAGTCTTCTTCACCAGTTGTAGTCGGAGTAGTTGAAGTTAACCTGAGATGATCATGTTCATGATCACCAAGCAGTAGTAGTTGTACTACTGGAATTCTAGTCGTAGTGAACTCTGGTGCTCCTGATCATGGTTCGCCTTCGTGCTGCCTACTTCGTAGACATTGCAGTTCGTGGTTGTTCTGCTTCTTTCGTCCTGAGTCCTCCAACACCAGCACCGGTTCAATATGACAGAAAGAAGTACCACTAGTACTAGTACCACTGCAGCTAGTACAACATATGCAGTAGTTCTTTTTTGCATTCATCTACTACGACCACCGCTAATGCTACGACCTCCCTTTTCGGCGTCACCCCCTCGGGAGCACACCGTCACCAGTGTATCTTCCTTCTCCTCATGAGGGTTCTTTTACTTCGGGCTATCGCGCACCTTGTCGACGACGAGCTTGGCGCGATTGATACCGAAGTCGGCGATAGGGTCTTTGCTCAAGGCCTTACGAGACCGAACATCGTTCGCAAAGTTCTTCGTCAAGGCAATCATGTAGACCGTGCTGCTTCCTTGCATAGCGATCAGGTAAGACCTGGTGGTCGTGGTAGTAGAGGTTGAACATTTTCATTTATTACTGAGGAAAAAAAATGCTGGAACTACATCGACGTGAATATATTATCATGTTTATGATGGTCTATAAAAATTTCCCGTTCATCCCGTTGTACGAAAAAGTATGGACTGTGCGGACGCTGCTACTCCTGGTTTCACTTGGTAAACGGAGATCCCAAATCTAACCTCCTAGTCCTATCACGACCACCTGTCTGCAATCAACAAAAAGTAAGTGCTCAGCGAGGAAAAGCTCCTACGCCGAATTTAATGGACTTTGGATAATTGGATAATAAAGAGACTACTGACCCTGTAATTCTTGAAGTCTCGATGTAGTTCAACGACATGGTCTTCAGTTCCGACAAAAAATAAACAGAAATACCAAGTGAGGAAGATCGCCCAATTTCTCCACGACTTTTCACCGTATTTCGCCACAACCTTAGCCTTGTTGTGGAGCCAGTTCTTGTACCAAGCATAGATCGTCAAACCATAGTGGACTCCCTCATTCGCGATCGATCGTACCTCAAATCCTGCTCGCTCCACTTGCTCGACATCCCAGTACAGAGGACAGGAGGCATCAGCACCCGGGAAAACGTACCTTAATGTTGTCAAAGTAGTCGTTATTATTTGTATTTGATGCGTTTTCTATAATAAAAATAAATAACGGAATAACTTTCAAGGTTTCACAGCTCGCAGGCCACCGAGTGCATGGGTCGCATGGCGCTGCATGGAACTAAAGGGGGCGCCTCTTGCGTGCCTTTTGGGTCTGCGCCCCCACATGCTCTCCATGCTACTCCATGCGCCACGCGTGCTATAAACTACTCTGATTATACTTAAGTGAGAGACGAGAACGAGGTGGTGTCCGTGTCGAGCTATACCTATATATAATATCATAAGCATAAGCCTGCTGGTAGGTATCTATGTATTATAACATGGCACTAAGTGTTGGGTCTCATCAATTATACCTGTTCATGAAGAGTCCCCAAAGGAGATCCTCATACTGCCAGTTTCGACGAAGCCCCGCGATTTGCAAGTAGAAAACACCATCATCCTTCAAGACTGAGCGCACCTGATTTTGTTTTTGTAATGTGCAAAATCGATCATCCTACTTTAAGACTCCCTGAGCGCACCTGATGTTGTAATGTCGTGGAAGATCTTCCTTTAAGACTTCTGAGCGCACCTGAGGTCGCAATGTGTTGAAGGTCGGAAGTTCTTCTTGCTAGAGAAAAAAATCATCTTCCAACTTGTTCTACCGTAAAAATACAGATCAAGAAGTAAGATGAGACCCTGACGCTGACCCCAAACAAGAACTTAAAAAGTTGTTGTAGAAAACTCAAGTATTACGGCATGGCAGAATTTCTGGTAGTCTCGGACTCCAATGTGTTCGGACATTTCCAAGCAGGTGATAACATCGTATTTTGTTCCTTCTTTGATTTTCTCTTCGAGCCAAACCCAGGCATTGATGACTTTAACATCTGTCCTCTTATCCGTGTCTATTGACGCGATGTGGTTGGCCTGCTCTTGCGAGAGCGTGATTCCGGTTGATTCGACCTCAAATTATATTTGGACATGAACATGAAGATGAGGTGAAGAAAATGGTGCTGAGGAAGACTCAATGTACTACAGGTTCAACTACATTTTCGCAGTGACAAAAAAATCTTCGAGATAAACTTCTACTATCAAGCCGAGAATATGCGAAACTGCAAAAACTATCCATAGTTACCTTGTACTTCCCAGTGGCGTGCAGAATAAGAGCACCCCAGCCGCAGCCGAGATCCAAATGCTTCATGCCTGGCTTCATCATGCACAATTCGTTGCAGATTTTGTCAAGCTTTTTCGTCTGTGCCTCACTCATCAGCTCGTTCATTTTTTTGTTGTTGTCAAAGTTTTCTGGCGCACTGCTCGACCACAAACCCACAGAGTAGAGCATCTTATCGCAAAGAAACCACCCATAGAAGTCGTTGCCCCGATTGTAAACGTCGGAAACATCAGCCTTATCCGCATCAGCATCGTGCTTATACACGCGTCTGTTGTGGTTTTCATAAGGAGTTCGTTCGCGTCGTTCTTGTTTACATTTGAAGATGAAGCTGAAGCAGTTTCATCTGTGATATTAGATTACAAGTTCAAGTTCAAGTAATCTTCAGTTTTCATCTTTGATATTCGATTGCAGAAACGATTCATCAAGAAAGCAATTATTCTCGAACTCGAGGATCAGGAAGATCGCCGCATCGTATAATTAATGTAGAAGTACCGAAGCAAATCCTCGAAGATCGACATGATGTTTTCCCTTGTAACGCTGAACTTGAAAATTTCGTATCTGCTCATCATTGTATGCATGATGTCGTCCTTACCTGTAGAAGAATAGGAAATTTAACATCAGTTCTAGATAGTTGTGATGAGAAGTTACACGACGTCGTGTCTGAAAACCTGAATAATCGTGAAACTCCCAATCTTCTACCAGTCGGCCCTTTGAAGTCGATTTTCTGCTCTTGGTAGGCTTCAATCGCTGTTTCCACTGGAATTTTCTTTCCCAACCACTTCGCTTTGAATTCCTTGTCCTTGAAGACGAGGAGTTCTTCCTGCTTGGCTTTTATTTCCGAAGTAATACCGCTGGAAGCCTCACCATACTCTTGGGAGTGGAAAAAGAGTAGCGCGATGGTTGACAAAGCAAAGATCGGGTAAGCAAGCGAAAGCAGCAAGACCCAGATCATCGGCAAATCACACTGCCATCTGATTTAGTATAATTGGATTTTTTTTCTAGTTCTAGTACAACTTCTTGTACCAATTCCCAGCTCCTTCTGAAGTTCCACCTCTCACCGTATTTGTTCTTCATGATAGTACTCGTTCATCTACGTACTTCACCTTCTTGGCAACAAGTACTTGTTTAAGCGGAAGTACCTGAGCACAATTGCAGCGTAGAGTGGGGAGAGGAAGCAGGCCAAGGGTTTTTCCTGAAGAGCCAGGACTATCTGAAGTCCATATCCTTTGGCCTGCACCTCGATCGTCTTTGCTCCGACGCCAGCGGACTTCACGAAGGGTGATAGCAAGTTGCCACCTAGCAAATACACCAGTCCTGGCACTAACAGGACCAAAGCATTCAGAAAACCGAACATCTTTTTGATTGAGGTCTTGTTAGACAAGGACGGAGTAGTTATTGATTTTCTCTATTTTCTTGATTAGAAGGAGGAAAGTAAGGAACAATTGTGACGCTATTTACTGTAGCTATTGATGTAGTCAATTCAGTACGTTGTGGAGGAAACCGACATGATTTTCTGTTTGCATCAGAGTGATTCGATTTCGAGAACAACGCGGATGCGAATACTTGACGAGGAGGAGGAAGCAGTCAGAACTGCTTAATGTGAATAATGCTCACTGAGAACGAGCAGCCGGCACTGTTCTTCGTTCACGATCACTGTGCTTGTCACCATCAAACGCTACTTGAATGGTGTTTTTACTGACCTTGTGCCTCTGGTCGTCGTGATATAATTCACCTCCTGCTTCCTGCTCAACACGGCAAGCAGCTTGTGCCTGCTCTGGTGGTATAATTGACCTCCTGGTTAACGACACTTTTGTTTTTTGGCTAAATGTTGCTGCTTTTGTTGACCAATGCCAAGAATGTCTACCTTCTAGTAGTTCAGGAGCAAGCCTGTTCAATGAACACTTGTGTCAAGAACAAAAGATGTTCACGAAGGACAACCATCTTCACGACAATGTCGTCATCGCTATGTTCTTCAAACTGCATTTCCTCTACAACAAGAAGAATCTTTTCTCCCTGAATGAAAAGGAAAGAACGATGGTCTCGATCTCTGCTAGGATCAGGAACAACAATGGGAATCCCTACAACAGGAGATTAAGAACCTCTACAACGTCTACTACAGCACCATCACCACCAACGTCAACTACAGCACCATCACCACCTCAATTCCTAGTATAGAGCATCTCCCACACTAGTTTTCTTTTGATGCGTTCCGTCAAACGACGAAGAAGCAACGTTCTAAGCCTCTCATACATGCGACGTTCACCCCAGGTTTCCACCAGAGCTCGAAGAAAATCCATAAATTCCCCACGATCCATCTCGCCACGTCGATTGGAGCCTGAAAAAAGTCGCAGACGAAGTGTCAACCGTGGAGTTAATGATCATACATAATGTTGTTAAACTCAAAAAGGATGACTCAAAATAAAGTCGAGGACGTCGTTCGGGAAAGATGAAGGTCATGTTCATGTTCATGACTACTAAAAACTACAAGAACAAGAGCAAGACCAAGAAATATACCTCCAGCAAATGTAAGGTCGGAGAAGTTTCCTTCTTGTGTTCCTGGCCGCGCCTCATCACCGAGCTTCTTTCCACCTTTGAAGTGTTGTCCGCCTACGAACTCGCGCATGGTTACTCCGATCATCACGTCTGGCTCGTCCTCAGCATCCAGTTCGAAAGACAGTTGCCCCATAGTACCTTCTCCTCCTTCTAGATCTGCCAGTGCTCGGCGGGATGATCCTCGCCCACCTCTAGTATTCGGAGAGGCTATTGGCGGAGGCACGGCGCTTGTGTCCTGGAATTCTGACAAGAGAAATTCAAACTGGTGTTTTGCCAGGAAGCCCTTGCGCTGAATGTCGGTTTCCTCGTAGAGGGTGATCCCTAAGACCATCCAGGAGGGACCGCGATACCACACCTGACTCCTCGGACGAAAGACGGCACTACCAAGTCCAAATTGGCCCAGACCTGAGGGCGCGGGTCTCCATTTCCGATTGGCGGAATCTTCGAAGATGCGCACTACATTCACGAAGCAGCACGAAGCAGAGAGTCGCTCACGCACGGCTAAACGGTTCGTTGCCGAAGCGCCAGTTCTTGTAGTAGTTGCTGCTGGAATCTGATTCTGGAGTTCCAATTTCTGCATCGGGCTGAGACTGTCTTGTCGTTTCAGTGTACTAGCTCTAGCGACGGCTTTCGATCCTCGACCACCACTAGTACTACTCGTACTCCCATGTTTCTCTTGGTACCGAACGCACTTCACTTCTTCCAATTGAATCTTCCGTTTCTCCTCACCGTCTGGCGCGGGTCCCCACCACTCCGGTTCTAGCGGGATGCCAGAGGGCGCTTCTATTCGGGGCCCTGAGTGATGTTCTTCAATCAGTTTAGCGATTTCATCCTCCTTACTCTGAGGTGCTCCCGATCCAGGGATTTCGAATGGCGGAAGCAGTTCAGTCACTTCGATTTCTCCCGGTGGAAGGAATGACTTTTTATCGCCACTCTTGCCTCGGACACCACCTTGGCTACGTAGACTTAGCATCATGCCCTTGGAAGAACTCTTGTTGTTCATGAGATTTCCTTTATTTGCACCAGGCAGGCCAGACACAGACTTATTCATCGGAGCTACTTGTAGTTTTCGAATTTGTATTTCGTAACTCCGCCAAGAAGCTTCAGGGGACGGCCGCACCCGTCCAAACAGGAAAAAGCGAAATCCTCCAGACACATCGAAGCCAAAGTGCTCTGCTCGCGGATTGCGGTCTAGATCTGTGATCATGTTTCTAGGAAAATACTGCTGTGCCATTGTCGCTTCCCGTTCCATTTTCTGAACTTCCGCGAGTTTTAGACCGGAAAACGCCTTTCGTGTCCAGATTTTGTGTCGAAGTTCTGCCACTGTCATTGCGGACCAGCTGTCTCGCCAGCAAGGCTGCAGCACGCCATCCTTGTCGACAGGCCCATCCAGGTACTCCAGCTTGTCGCCTTCATAAATGAACGTTTTGCCGCGGCCGCGGAACGTGAAGGATTCACCTGCTAGGTTCTCGCTGGGCTCAGGGACAGGCCAATCAGGGTGCTCCAGGTTCTCCAAGCGCAAAATCCAGTTTTTCCCGCCGACTTTCTTCCCTTTCGCATTTGCTTTGTTATTCGCCGCCATCTCCACAACCATGGGTGGCGGCTGAAACAGCTCTGGCGCAGCAGCTTCCTTATTTGCTCCACCAGTCGCGTCGTCGTCGCCGAGTTTCAGCTGGTCTCGAATATTCTTCATCTTGGCCACAGCACCTAATAATCGATTAGCTCCCAGCGGTGCGGATGTGTAGGGGCGCTCCAGCTGCAGCTTTTCCATGGCGGCGGTTTCGATGCCCTTCTGCAGATCTCTCACCTTCGTCATGCGAGTGTCAAAGAAAAACCGATGCTTTGACAGCCAAGTCACGCGCATGCTGTTGCTAGGGGCTTTCCCGAGCTGCGGAAGAACTTGCGCACGCACGACTTCCAGCTTGGGCAAGGAGGACTGGAAGGTCGCGAGGGCGGCTGCCATCTTCGACTTGTCAGCTGCAGTCTTGTTTTCAAATAGTTGTGCTTGATGCGACGTGGCAGTGGTGGTTGATTCCAAATCTACTTCATCTCCCAGTGGCTTTTCTCCACCACTTTCATCTCTTTCCGCCCCCTCGGACTCGGGTAGTTTGGTCTTCTTCAGCAAACCACCCAACTTCCGCTTAGGTTTTTCAGGTGCGCTCGCGTCCTTTGTTTTGGCTGCATTTTCGTCTGAACAAACGTCGGCGTTGTCGTCTCCGGAGGCGCTACTTGACGAACTAGTAGATCCAACCTCAGCCTTCTTTTCGCTGTCTTGTGCCCCCTCGGTAGGTTTGTCCTCTACTTTGACGGCCCCCTCTCCTTCTTGCTCGAGGTTAGCGGCACCAGTCGTGGCTCCCTCACCTTCTAGTGGTGATTGATCTTCTTCCCCTTCACCGACAGTATCGGAGAGAGCTTTCTGATCAGCAAACTGCAATGGTGGTGCCCAGACGAGGTCCCACTGTTTTTGCTTGCTATTCTTCGAGCCCAGGAGCTTGACGACCGCCGTACAGGGTACCAAAGTTGTCACGTTCACCTCAACACGATACATCATGCTCCCCAGAAAAGTCGCACGACCCTCGAAACTTTGCCACAAGGGCGCGAAGTTTTTTTGATCCTTGCGCCGGATGATGCGCTGCGGGTTCAGCACGTAGTAACCGGGCCCACGAGCGATAGAACGGCCTGTGCGAGGGTTCGCGACCTTGCCCAAGGCGCGCTCCAGGTCCGTCTGCTCATCAAACATCTCCCCACCCAGCATGTAGTAGCTCCATCGGCTCTTCTTGAATTTTCCGATCTTGTACAGACTAAAGGGGAGCCCGCCCGTGGAGGAAAGGGGTTTGGGAGGAGGAATCTCGTCAGCTTTCGAACTGACCATGCCTTTCATACGGCTGACCATTTTCGCCATCAGTGCCGGACTCTGCGCAGCACGGACAGAAGATGGCAGACCACCTGCCACTACGGCCCCGCTGTTTTCTCCAGCTGAGTTCTGCTCGTCCTGCTCTCCCTCTGCCCCCGCATCTGGTGTATTGAATCCAAGTTGCAAGGGCTTGCTGCGAAACTTAGACTTGGTTTTTTCAGCAAAGAGGCTCGGGAGAATTGCGCGTGCCTTGTCGCTTGCTCGCCCTTTCACGCCTGGAACGCCAGGGCCGGTCGTGAGCGAAGATGCTTCTCCTGCTATAGCCGGACGCGGCGAAGGCGGAGAGCCAGCTGCAGTTCCCTCCACCGCAAAACTGACTGTACTAGCCTTTCCTCCTGTTCCACCACCCGCATACAAGAAAGTGTCTTTGTTTTCCGGTCGTGGGTCTGGCACGAAGGGTATGTAGGACCGCAAACTGCGAGGCCGCACTGGCCTTGTGTCCCGTGTGATAATCTGGCGGTCTGCAAGAGAGGAAAGGTCGAATTTGGCGTCCACTGTCGGAAGGGCCCGCGAGCAATTCGTGGACAAAGGGAAAGTGAATCGCGCACACAGATTCCAGTATGCAAAGTACGGACCACATTCTTCGTGTGTTTCTTGCGTAAGTCGCGATTTGAACATCACCTTGTCAAAAATTTTGTCACGCAAGGAGCCAGTGGTATCTTCTGGGTCTTCCAGTAGCTTCAACGCTTCGTCCTTCTTTTCGGTGAGCAGCTTGGCTTGTTCTAGAGAAACAAGAGGCACTGTTCCGGCTGCGAGACTCTTCTTGAAGGCTTTCAGACCTGTCCAGTCATCCGCCTTCCGATTCGGATTCTTGTGGAGGTGTGCGCGTAGCTTTTGCGGATCCCACAGCTGCACTCGCATCGTAGCTTGCAGCACCGCGCCAGAGGGGTAGGCGACGCCAGCAAGTGTTTTCGACTCGTTATCGCGCTGCTTGTCAGCGCGCTCCTCGACTAGGGGATGCGGCGTGTAGGTCAGATGCTTGTTGCGGAACTTCTTCTCCTTATCGGGGTATTTGAACAAGAGCTTTTCTCTCAGAAACGCCGCTTCCTGTGCGCTTTCCAAAGCCGTGGTGTCCCGTTGCAGCTTCGCCTTCTGCTCTTCGCTTTCAGCAGTGTAGAACAGCTCCTCTTGCATCTGCTGGATCTTTGCGGCACGTTCCCGGTCGCCCTTGCTTTCGAGCACGTCAATTCCCGGAAAGCGACCGAAACTGAGCAAATCGTCCTGCGAATTCGGGTACCAGTCCGGAAATGTTGGGCCTCTGGGGAAGGTCTGTCTGTTTGGGTCCTTCCGCTCCTTCTCGAAGTTGATCGGGTAGGGCGGGCCTAATTTTTCCAAACTGCTGGTACGAGGCGACATCACTGAGTGCTCACTCAGATACGTCAAAGCCCGGTCCTCCGGCGTTTTCTCGGGCAAAATCTCCAGCCCGTACATCGTCAGCTTGATCCCGCGTAGCTGTTCGAAGTCCAAGTAGCGAAGCAACGTGACATCCCCAACGTAGCTTGGCAACGACCCAAGCTGTTGATAACTACGTTGCTCTTGCTCCTCTTCCACCTCGATTTCGCGCAGCAAATCTTCGTACTGGTACTCAGGGAAGCCCTCTGGCCCAAGAGGAGGATGACTGTCGCGAAACGACGCATGGTTGCCGCTCGACTTAGACGCGCCTCCTCCAGCACTTTTCTTCATGATGCCGCGTGGCGACTTCGACGATTTGCCGCGCTTCGGTGAACCTATCTCCCCGTCATCACTATCCTCACTACCCTCTTCATCGATCGTGCCAAGAGAGTTATTGTTATTTTTGCCCTTCTTAGACTTAGTAGTAGTACCTCCACCACGCCGTGAAGACTTGCGTCCTTTCTTGTCGCCTCCACTACTTCCATCGCCAGCACCGGATGACACATTCGAGTCTGAGTCATGACCATAATCTCCACCGTCTTCGTTGCCATCCTGTTTTGTGCTAAGACCGCCACGAGCACGTCTCTTCTTTGCAGCGGCAGCGCCTGTTCCAGCAACAGTGTCTTTGGGGCTACCTGCGCCGTCCTCCGACTCTTCTTGGCCTTCTTCATCGTCGTCATCGACAACAACGTAACTCGCAAAAGTTTTAGCCGCTTCTTTTACCTTCTCCGCTTCCTGCTTGTGCTTCCTGTTGATCTGGTCCCATTTGCTGGTGGGTTTCTTCGCTTCCCCAACCACTCCATCTTTCTTCTTTAAATTCGACAAAACGCCGACTTTCTGAGAAACGGCACGGAGCTTCTGGACGGAACTTGCGGTTGTTTTGAACATTACGCTGTCTTTCGAGCGACGATCGGAGGACGCGGCGCGGCCTTCGCGGATGATGTCATCGTAGCCTTTCGCGGAAATCTCGCCAACGCGAATACTATCGGAAATACTAGGTGACGTCCAGTTGTCCGTCACGTTCGATCGCGTCAAGAAAACCGGCTTTTCCGGTTGCAACGAATCGCCAGCAGCAGCGCCTCTATCTACTGCAGCTCCACCTCCAAGGAGTTTGCTGCCCATGGACCGTTTTGCATCGCGCTTTTCCTGCTGCATTCTCTCAGCCTCTATCACTGCCATTTCCGCCTTTGCTTCTTCTTCCGGAACAACCTGCGCTTTGCCGTCGGACCCTATGATGCAAATGGTAGCCACTTCCACCTCGTTCCCATCTGCATCCTGCTTTACGATCGGAGGACCCGGCTGGCCTACTTTGTCCAGGAGTTCTTTTTGCTCACGCATCAGCTTCTTTTGCTTCTCGCGTTCCGCACAGGCTGTCGAGAACTCCTGTAACGAGTCAAAGACATAGAGTGCTAGCTCAAGAAGGTCTGGCGGCAGCACGATCGTCGTTACGGCACGAACGCTTTCATCTTGCTGCTGATGCTGACGACGGTGGTGAAGCTGCTGATGCTGGCGTCCACCTGCTCCACCTTTCACCTCCTGGTGTGACGGAGGTAAGTACTGTAGATCAGCCCAGTCGTAGCTGCCGAATCCCGTAGAGTCGTACACATAGTGGGTCTGCGTGCGCAGGTAGTTGTTGTTCAGCATGTTCATGGAGAGAGACTTTGCGAAGACTGTGGGATCCGGCAGTCCGGTTGGCAGTCCCAGACTGTACACATTCTTTGTCGCGCCAAGCGTGGTGAAGGAATATGATGTGTACATTCTGTGCTGCGGATCTTCCGTGAACAATGACGAAATACCACCGGTTGTGGGGCCACCAGCAGCACCAGCAGCTCCTGGAATCTTATCCTTATCTAACTTATTACCTCCAGATTGTTGTTGTAGTTCCTGAAGCAGATGTAGACTATTTGGATTCATATTTTTGCCGCGAACGAGTCCACGATAGTTGGCTCCCCTTGGCGGTTTTTTCTTCACATCGTCGCGAACGGAGCTGAGAAGGCTCTTCATCTGCAGAGACACGACTGCGCGATCCTTGCTGTCTTGCGTACTGGCTTCTTCGGAAATCAACAAGCCGCCTACGTTGTCGTGGATGATTTTTCTCTGGAGCAGCAGCTGTTCCGCGACGAAGACCAGGGAACGCGGCTTGAAAGGGGGTCGTCCGAGACACGACTTGACCATCTTCAATTGACCCTGCAGGTCCCACCATCTGGACAGAAGTCGTCCGTGCCAGTCCGTTGGGAGCACAGCGCGCGTCCCACGGCCTCCAGCACGTCGGTTAATTGTAGCGCGCACGCGTGGGTTGGCGCTGTTCAGCAGCATAGGTGGCGGCGCGCCGTTGGGGTGCAAGGGCAGCTGTTGCAAGTGCAACAGCTGTCCTACACTTCGCGGTGTGCCTGGCGCAGCAGTAGAGGTCGTACCGTCGCCACGCGGGGTCGTTGCCACGCCTGGGTAGCTCGGCTTTGTCAAAGAGATGCTCGCTGGAACCTTCAAGCGATTTTGCTCCTCCAAGTCGACCACCAACGGAGCCTCTTGTTGTGCAACAGCAAAGCCGCCGCTTGGGGCGGCTTTTTTAGGCGTGGACCGACCACTGGCATGAGGGCTAAACGGATACGCTGGAGACTGCCGTCCGCTGTGCGTCGCGTGTGCGCGGTCAGCCACCAAGCTTTGATAGGCGTAGTCCTCCTCCGCTTCCAAAAAGACGTTGCGCAAGGGATTTTTTTGCAGGTAGCGTCGCAGAAAAACGTATTTACTCTGACCAAACAAGTCTTGCATGCGATCGTCCAACTGATCGGCTGACAAATGCCGTTCCCGTGTGTAAGGGTCAACGCCGATGAATTGGGATCGCTGAGGTTTACTCGCTTTTTCTAACTCTGCCTTTTCAGCTGCCAACCGTTCTGCCGTCGTTTTCTCGTGCAACCGTCTAAGCTCGTCTAAAGGAATGGGCTTCCCAGAATTAGGGTCGACAGGTTGCCCTGATGCTGGGTCAAGAGCGAGCTCGACGCTAGCTCTCAGTTCTTCCAGTTGAAACTTCGTTAGCCTCCCCTCTTTTTCCGCAGCTTCCTCTTCTGCTTTCTTTGCCTCTTGTTCGATTTTCTCGCTTGCGAGGAGTCTTCTGCCTTTCACATTCCCTAGATTTAAGCCCTGTCGGTTCAGCTCGATCTGTTTCGCGGTCTCCCGCATAGCCGCTTCGATCTCTGCTATGCCACCTTCCTCTGCCGCAAAGTTGATATTCTCGTAATCAAAGTCTCCACCTGCGCCACCTTTTCCTCCTTGGCCGTCTCGTCCTCTACTGGCGGCTAAAGCAGGGTTGTTCCTCAGGATTTCGTCAGCTTCCTCCTGCCAATCTGCTTCGTAATCCTCCGCTATTTTTAGACCCCACACATAGATATTCATCTTTAAGCGCATCTCTGACGTGTTTCCCCCTACTTAGCAGAGGGGTTACAGATGCTTCCCAAGATGAATTGTTGTGAGCCTTAATATTTCGATAGCTCGCGTCCAAAGACGGCGCTCGCGCTCGATTTTGTGCATCTTTTCGAGGCCTCCCGCGTACCACTCCGCATAAGCACTCACCTGACGTTCCAAATATCCCTCTAAACCCTCGTAAAAACCTGGCGCGCCAAATGTGGGCTGCAGTTGCGATGGCGTCATTTCATCCGGTGGTAACAGCTCTTTGCTCCTTTCTTTCTCTTTGTCTTTCTTATTCTTGTCCTTTTCTCCTTCTCCTGCTCCTTCTCCTGCATCTTTTTTGTCAAGTAGAGATGGTTTCGCAGTCGTAGTTGGAACAACCACTGCAGATGATCCAAAGATTCCGCCAGCGGCCGTTCCCGGAGCAGCAAAGATATCATAGAGCGATGGCTGTCTCGTCAGTTCTTCGTCGAGCTCGTGCTGAATCAAGTTGCACGTGTCATAGGGGTTCCATTCCAGTACCGGAGAATATGGACGTTGCAATTTACGGTACAGAGGATGGTCTTCAAGCGCACGGCGTAGACGCAGCTGGACATCTGGCCGTTGCTCTAGTTCAGCCATGGTCGGCACCTGCATTTTCGCCACCTGTTCCGGTAAACGTTGTCTTTGCGGTGAAGATGTTCCGCCTGAAGTCTTGCTTTCATTTTTGCCTGCTTTACTCGTGCTCGCCACCTTTTTCGCTGGAGGTGACGAGTTCGACGCACCAGCACCCGTGGTCTGAGACTGAGACGTGACGACACCACCAACATCACCCGTGGCCCCCACGTCGGAGGGCTCGCACATGAGGTCTTCCACACCCATTTTCTTATTGGTGGCGAACGGCAGCTGAAGACGCAGCAGGATTTTTCAACGAAGAACTCTAGTATGTGATGATTCATTACATCAACATGTACATGCGAGGAACAAGTGGAACAAGTAGACGTGAAGTAGACGTTGAACAAGCGCTACGACGTCCAATGGTATCGAAATAAATTCTCTTTCATCATATCTGATGCTCTTGCTCGCTCCATCAGCATCACTGACTTCTATTACTACAACATCATCGGTGACTACAATGAACAACAAGAAATAGAAATATAATGTACTGCTCGAGAACTTAGATTAAACTACGAGTAGGGCAAGGGCATGATATTTGGACATAAAAAGAAGTTCAAAAAAAATTCTGACATAATCATGGGGACTGGGGCGGAGGGTGGACGGGGTAGAGATGCGTAACATGACTGCAAGTAAGATATGAGGTAAGAACCTAAAGAGGGCTTGCTCTTTCATGTTATAAAGGAATGTGTCGTGTTCGTGGGTCATAGCTCACGGCTCACCTGACAGGAAATATTATCCGTCTACTTCACTCAACACTGACTACAGAACATATGTCAACGTTACCATTAGAACGGCAACGAAGCTCCCTCACAAGGCACAGATTTGATAGGTCATATCAGGTTGTTCTATTGCATTACTCAGTATACCATAGGACGAACCTTGCTGCAGTTTGTGTTTGCTCCTGAATAGGATCTACTGGATCTTCACGCATACGCTCTCAATGTCAGTCTCTCATCGTCTTTCACAACACCTGCTCAACAGAGACCGGTCGTCACACAACAGATTACTACTTTGGCAGTCAAGTAGGAGTTGGGCAAGTAGTGACACGACCAGGGTTATTTCCTATCATCATGATCGATACAAGTCCAGATACACTGTGACATAAGAATGACAGTGTAGATCAGCCAGTGCTAGGACATTTTCGTAGTTTTAGGTGGTCGTGTATGACAACTATGTGAATGTGAAGATCATGAAGATTAAGATACTGAAGGAATGCTGAAAACAACTACGAAGGTCAACGGCATCTCTCCCTCCTGCAAAGTAAAGTATAATGGTATGGTAATAATTCGAAGACAATCTTCAACATGCTTTAAAGGTTGATCTTCTTGATGGTTGATATTAGTGTTGAAGATAGTGATATTGATATGTGTTTAATGCTACTAGCCGTAATCAACTATGTTGAAGTTGAGAAATGAAGATGTAGTTGGCTAAAATAGTATAAATATAACTCGATGAGATATCTTGTCTAAGAAGCGTATGCTTACCGGATTTATGGTGATATAATGCAGCTTCTGGTGGTGCTGGTGATGATATAATTGTAATCCTGTTCCTGTGTATGTGCCGTGGTGATATAATTGTACTTCCTGTGTACGTGTTGTAGGTGGTGGTGATATAATTGTAATCCTGTTTCTCTACTTCATCTTCTTGGAATTTTCATACCTACGGGAGTTACAGTTTGCGTGAGATTGAGCCAGTGAGTGTGACAAATTTCAATATGTTGGTGCCTATCATGGCTGAATGGAAAGCTCCTACTCGAATCGTATTTTTCTTCGCTGATTTTTCTTTATATTAGTTTTCATCGATTGCTCCGCCATCCAACTTCCTCGTACCGTCTCTTGCCTCAGTATTTTCGATTCCGCTTCCCTCCTCAACTTAGATATAGACGAGGAGGACCTCAGGTATATTATTTGTTGGGATAAACCTAGGCTAGTTAGTATGAGGGAAAAACTAACCGGTTGTTTTTTCTTTGTGTGCTTCAAGCGCATCTTCTGTCTTTGATGACGTGTTCTTCTATATCTATCTCTCCTTAACAAATACAAAGGAGTCAAAGAGAAAGATGCTTCTTAAGATCAAGATGAATTGTTGTGAGCCTTAATCAACGTCTCGCGAAGTTCCGCTACGTACTTTGTTTCTTCTTCCTTCTCCCGGACCGTCGCGCCAGCCATCCGCACTCGACGATTCTCCGCTCCATCCTGCATGATTAGAGGCACAGATGAAAACCCATCTTGTTTGGATAGAGCATCTTCTTTCTCTAGTATTTTGATAGAATAGGAAAAGGTATCTTGTTTTGATAGAAGACAGAGCATCTCTTTCTACTCTGCTCGGGTTTTTATTTCACGTAGAAATAAACGGCCAAAAGAAGATACTGTTGGAAAAGATGGGTTGACGTTAATATTAACCGTAACTGGGCATGTCGTGAAGCAGCGAAGGCACCAGGCTGGGCGACAGCCCGCGCAGCATGTTTTTCAGCGGCAAAAGCGGCAACGACTGACGGTGACCGGTTCCACATGCCCATGCTGTTCTCGTTCCCGTCCCCTGCATGATCCTTGTCACCTGGGAGCGGTGCGAGAACAAACGTGTTGCCTCCAGCTCCGCTGCCCGACGTAACGGACGCTCCGGCAGCTCGAGTTGATGTCGGGCCACCTCGTCCACCCGTTCTTTTCTTAGAAATTCCACCGAGTTGATGTCGGACCACCTCCTCCACCGATATTCATCCTGAGGAGCATCTTGGTAGCCATTTTCCCTTACAAAACCTAAAAAACCCTTCCACCAAGATGCCGGCCTCTTAAGATGAGTAGGAGTATTAAGCCTTAATATTCATACCAGTTTGCCGTGCCGAAGTTGGCCTTTTGCCTTGTCCCTTTTGCGATGAACCAGCTCCGGGTGAGGAGTTCGCAGCTCCCGGGGGCAAGGCAAACCATTGTCCTCCTGCGTTCTTCAAAGGTCCAACTAGTACAGGCCCAGCCGCGGTTTTTCTTGCCATGGCGGCGCGCACTGCTAGTGCTTTTGGTGAGAGGGGAGCCTTGGAGACGCCATGAAACCCATCATGTTGTTCGCCACCTGACCCACCACCGGCTGGAGGAAAAGGTGCATGTGCACCACCACCAGCCCAACCACCACCGGCTGGAGGAAAAGGTGCATGTGCACCACCTCCACCAGACTTAGAGGTATATTAAGGAATTCATCTCAGGAGGAATCGCCTGGGTCTACTCGTCTTTTTCTTCTTCCAGATGACAGACTTGGGACGAGATGAATTCCCTACAACACCCATAACAGACGCAGCCGCAGCTGCCTTCCTTGCCATGAGGGCGCGCACTGCAAGCGCTTTTGGTGACAGGTTGCTAGGATGATCTTCTTGTCCAAGAGGTGGAGGCGAGGACGATGGACCTGCTTTCCCGGTAGCTTGTCCTTGTTCTTGTTGCCCACCTCCGAACCATCGAGCAATAAGGCCCCCGCCGAAGAATGATCCCCAACCATAGCTTCGGGGAGATAATTCTTGTGCGGGCTGCTGAAGACTTCCTACAACTGCAGCACCCTGATGTGCAGATTGATATTGTTCTCGTGGACTAGTCGGAGTCGAGGGACGCAGATGCTGCTCTTGTTGTTCCATATCTCGAAGCAGTGTCCCCTGCGCGGAACTTACAAGCGGTCGCGTGGTTTGTGCTCGGACAGAGGGAACTCGAGGTGCAGTCATGCGTACAGATTTTCCACCTTTTGCCCTCGCCGTTTGTCGTTCTCTCTCCTCCAGCTGCATGTGCGTGGATACTAGCATTCTTTCTGATTGCTGCGGTCGCACAGACCGCGGTTGGCGCACAGAGGGAGAGGCTGCTCTTGGAGATTGCTGTTGGCGCACAGAGGGAGAAGCTGCTCTCGTAGATTGCTGTTGGCGCACAGAGGGAGAAACTGCTCGTGTAGATTGCTGGTGTTGGCGCACAGAGGGAGAAACTGCTCGTGTAGATTGCTGTTGGCGCACGAAGGGAGCCACCCTCGTTGAGGGCTGCCCTCGAACTGATGCAGAAGGAGATGATGGCGGTGACGAGTTCACGGATGACTCCATAAGAGGGACACGCGTAAGATGTGTTGATGCGGGGCTTGCGGCGCGCTGCTTGCTAGCCGGCTGTCCCTTCTTGTAGAGCTACCGCGCTCGCATCCCTGCTGAGAGTGTCCTTGGCTCCATTTTCAAGTAAAAAAAGAGCCACGGATGACGCTGAGGATGCTCCCGCGGTAGCCTTAATTCTTTTTCCCCTTTCCCTTATTTGAAGATGTTATGGGCATAACATTAACAGGCCTTTCTGGTTCAAAAGTTGATCTCTGTTGCAAACTTCTGATATCGCGCGTCTCGCGTGATTCCAGTGACTGTGGTGCCTTGCCCTTGCCCTTCATGACCACGCCTGCTCTGTTCGACCACTCACGTTCTTGTGTATTATTGCCAGGTTCTGGCTGCATGTGATCGTCGCCATATACGACAGTTTCGCCTTTGACGCTTCGTATATCGCGCGTATCGCGTGTGTAGTTCATCGGTTTTCCGCCTTTCTTCTTCCCGAGTGGGCCTTTCCAAGACCGCGGTGACTGTTCCTGTTCATCTCGACGATCATTCATTTGCGCGTTGGCAGACGCTGCTTGGGCTGTTTGCCGCGGCACAAGTGGCGCATTCAGAATGTCCCTCACGGAGGTAACGAGATCTCGATCGGTTCTGCGATCGACGCGGGCGTCCTCCTTCATAGGAGTTGGTCGAATCGATCCTCCGTCACGTGACACTTGTTGATCACCGGTAAGATCGTACTGCCCTGAGATGATGTATCTAGTATCTCCATGATGACCACTCTTATTTGCTGTTGATGTCACTGGTGGAGTTGGAGATTCACCAAGATTTATATTTTTACCCTTAGATGAAGAAGTCTTACCCTTACCGCCGTCAAGAATAGTTGTGTTCTTTGTTGTGTCTCTACTATTTGATGTGGGTCGTGGTTGACTGGGCGGCGATGAGTCTCTTAATACTGCACCAGCACCAGCACCAGGGCCACCCGATGTACTTCTTCTAGTAGTTGTATCTCTTGTTCTACTAGATGAATCCATATCCAGTGTTCCTGCTGATAATTGTCGAGTCATCCTCAGAAGCGACTCCGTTCGACTTGATGCAAAAGCAGCTGCCTTGCTTTTGCCTTTGCCAGAACCATCCAGATCACTCTCTGGCATGACCCGGCCCACTTCCTCTACTCCTGGACCTGGAGGTGCAACAACTACAGCATGAAGATCTTGAATTAGAACTAGCAGAAATCCATCTTGAAGTGCATCTTGGTGCCCGTTTGACCCTACGAAACGGGACCAGGATGCTGGGAAAGATGGATTTCCTCAAGCCTTAATTGAAGATGATTGCTCGAAGTACTCCTCCTACTCGTTGCCGAATTCCTCATATTACTGCTTGCGCGATTTGAGTCCCGCAATATCGAATCCCGAGTGGACGTTTCGAGAACATGATCTACTTCACTTTTCTCGCTTTTCATCTCTCGTTCATCTCCTGCCACAAGAACATCATCTACAACTTCTTGTTGAGAAGCAGAGCTAGAACTAGAAGAGCGTCGACTTGTTCTAGTATCAACTGCAGTCTGCTGACGTTCGACAACGCGTTGGAGGAGGCTCTTTTCGCGTTTATTAGTAGTGGTTTCCGCCTGAGAAGATCCAGGTGGAAGTAGCTGGTTCGTTAACCTCGCCATACTGTCTTGACGCATCATGGTAGACTGCCCGGCAATAAACGCGGACATGGTGTCTCGCAGGCTGCCCTCATAGACGCCGCTTGAGAGCTGTGACGGCACTGCGACGGATTCATCAGGTCCTCCTGCACTCCTCAGGGACTTAGAAGACGGTCCTCAATTATGTGGTTACTATTCATTCCCATCCATCTGCCCTCCTCGGAACTAGAAAATACGGATGCATATCAGATTAAGACCAGGTGACGAGATGGGATATCTTCATCAATCAGTAAATGCTTGAAGTTGAAAGGAACAATCGAGAATTTTAATTAGGACGAACGATAGTTCTTGCCTCCAACGTAACGGATGCTTGCTGGTCAGCGATAAACAACCTCTCTAGAAGCCCTTTGCTGTCGTCTTGCCGACTCGATCCTCCGTAAGGCCTGCTCGACATTCCGCTAGTTGTAGATTGATGTGCAGATGCGCCACCAGACCACGTCTTTCTGTTTTTATTGGTAGCACTCCCACTCACTTCCTCGTCGAATGTCAAGGACAATGATGTTCTTGAAGGCTTAGTTGTACTTTTACTTGTTGTAGATATAATTGTAGGGTGCTGTTGTATACCTAAAGCTAAGCCCTCACTTGGTCGTTTTTCTCCATCATCTTCCGAAGTGCTCGATCCCTCCTCCTCCTCTGACGATTCCACTGCATTATCACCAAGTATCCTGACTGAAGGTGCACGTGGCGGAGGTGGCACAGCCGCACTCTGTTGAGTTGTAGACTGAGCTTGAAGGTCCGGAAGATCACGGGACGAAACAACTAGTACAACTGGTTGTGTGCTTTCAGGTGGTCCGCGGACATTTGGAGCTACAGCATGATCATCATGACGAGCTGCAGGTGCTTCAGGTGGTCCGCGGACATTTGGAGCTACAGCATGATCATCATGACGAGCTGCAGGTGCTTCAGGTGGTCCGCGGACATTTGGAGCTACAGCATGATCATCATGACGAGCTGCAGGTGCTTCAGGTGGTCCGCGGACATTTGGAGCTACAGCATGATCATCATGACGAGCTGCAGGTGCTTCAGGTGGTCCGCGGACATTTGGAGCTACAGCATGATCATCATGACGAGCTGCAGGTGCTTCAGGTGGTCCGCGGACATTTGGAGCTACAGCATGATCATCATGACGAGCGGCACCGACAACTGGTGCTGTAGAAGCAGAAGCAGTACTAGCATGAACTCCAAGCTCGGACGAAGGAGGATCATGAGCGTCTCCTTGCCGTCTCTTGTGGTCGAGCTGCGCAGCACCAGGAGGACCCTGACCTTCTCGAGGACCCTGACCTTCTCGAGGTAAGGATGCATGCGGTTTCTCTGGCGTACGCGGGGACGCGCTTGGAGCGTCCGATCGCTGTTGATGAGGATCATGCTGATCCGAAGCTTGTTGTTGTTGTTGTGGCTGCTTTTGTATCTTAGCTCCTGACTTGGCTATTTTTCCTCCTGCATCCGGCTGCAGATCAGTATTCTTGTTATTTACACCTTTTTTCGTCATTATCCAACCCTTTTTGATCCCTCCTGGTTTCGTCCAATACTGCGGCACCTCCCCCGCGGCAACGGCTGCTACTGCTCGAGGGGACAAGGACGCAGGCCTCGAAGGAACCAGCGGCGAGTTGCCCTGCCGTGGACTACCATGGGGTGACACTTGTGCTCTCGGACTACCATGAGGTGACGATTGTGCTCTCGGACTACCATAGGGTGACGATTGAGCTCTCGCTCTTTCTTCTGTTGGCGTCGTGGCTTTTGCTTTGATCTCCTGAAAATGTAATAGATCATGAACGACAGTGTTGACGCCACGTTTTGATAGAGGGTCAGGCCCTTTCCTTTTGCCTTTTCCTCGTTTAGAGCAGCTCAAAAAAATTCATTTCTTTTTCTTCCTTCATCCAAATGCAATTTCTACTCACGACGGACTTGTTTCGCTTTCATAAGAAAAGAATTATATACTTACTCAACATACAACAGCAGGGAGAAAAAACGCATTAAATAATTAATATATACATAGAAATGAATATTTATATACATAGAAATGAGTCAACTTGAGCCTTAACTTCTCGTGGCGAGCGCGAGCCTCCTGGACGGCCATTCATTTTGTTCTTGCTTTTGCTTGTGGTTTGGATCATAGGATATGGATCCCTTGGACTCTTCTGTAGATTGAAAAAATCACCTTTCTTGCCAACTCCAACTGCATGCTTTCCAGGAAAGAGCCCTTGTGGAGAAGCTTTTTTATGCTTCGTTTGCTCCAAAGGTGGTACAGCAGAGGGCATTGGAGACTTAGTAGTAGTTGTTCCCAGACCCAGTGGAGTAATTGCATGATCTTCATCATCTTCATGTTCTTCTTTGACGTTCTTGCTGTCTCGTAGTATATCTTCCCGAGCACCTGCTCTTCCATCATCCTCGCGCATGATTGCATCAAACGGCAAAAAAGTCGACTCCTGCTTCTCCCGTGAGACCCTCGACTTTCCACGCAGTACGTCATACACGGACTTACTGACCCCGTCTAGAAAGTACGAATCGCCTCTACCCTCCCAGGTGCGCTTTGACATGAAGTCAAGCCTCCTCTGTTCTTTGTTTTTGTTCGGTTGCATCATGTCTTGTCGTAGAAGTTCTGCGAGTTCGGAAACATCTTCCAGTCCACTAGTGGGCCCAACACCAGACGAGCCTAGTATGTTCTTGATGATGTCGACGACCTCATCTTTGGAGAGACGAATACTACCACTGCCCGATGCTGATGAAGAGGAGGTTTCGGACCATCCGTCAGTCGATGCTTTGCTTGTATGTGATCTTGTCTGTCCTCGTACTTGAAGATCCGGCGGCTTCTGTTGACCTTGACCTGCTGCGACTAGAAGTTCTTGTACCGTTCTTGTCCTACTGCTTCTCGTTCCCGTTGCTGACGAGGAAGTTTCAGACCAGCCATCATTCGACGCACTTTTGTCACTTCTTGACGAGTGTGCGCGTGTTTGAACGACCTTTTCATCGCCTCCTGGGCCACCTTCCCTGCTCTGCAGAAGTACTTCGTCCCGCTGATCCTGCTGCTGGCGCTGCTCCTCTACTTCCTTCTGCAAGATTTCTTGCATCATGGCCATTACATCGTTTTCATCCATGACTCCTTGCGTCAGTCGATCCTCATCTCGTTGTGCGACGCTCGCATTTCGGTGGACAGTAGACGCAGAGGACACACCGCGACTGGCGTCCCAAATCGCTGCAATCACATCTGCTACAGGAGCGCTTTCGCCAGCCTTGTTGCTGCTGCTTGCTCGGATCGCAGCGACTAACCCTTCTAAGGCCTCGTTTTCTGCGGGAGCTAAGTCAGCAGTTTGCTGTGTCTGCTCATCAGCGCCGGGTACAATAAAGATATCTTCCGAAGATGCACCACCGCCTACTACAACACTCGGCGTACTCCTCGTTGAAGCTTGCTTTCTCTCATCTGCTTCCGCAGTTGCTGATGTTTCAGTTATTGCACCAGCAGTTGATGTATTCCTCGTCAATCTCGAGGACGAGGATGTTGATCTGGTTTTTCTACTTGTTGTAGAAGAGTTTCGCAGAACAAGCTTCCCGACTTCATCTTCTACTTCATCTTCATGCATCGAGGGCCCTTGATAATTTGTGAGAGCAGCGCGATCAAGAATAGCTGCAACGGTCTCACTGTGGCGCTCAACATCCGTCTCCTCGTCTTCACCAAGTAGTGCAGCTTGAGATTGTAGTACTGTTTCTAATGCCGCCTCTAGACCATCAGGACGAGGTGGAACTTGTGGAGTCGAATCTTCAGCAAGTGGAAGTGCTCTCACTTCTTCCGCCTCAAGTGCCATTTCCGCCTGAGCAACTGCTGCGTCAAGATCCGAGGAAATGAGCGACTTCTTTTTGACCGAGACGAGGTGCGGCGAAGGAAAAGCTGGACCTGTTCGTTCTGCTAGCGGAAAAGAAATCAATCCCCTATAGTAGTCGTTCCGCAAGTCCTCGTCTTCGTGGTGTTTCTGCAAGAGATCATGAGCGCGACGATGCTCCATGATCCTTTGATGGCTTCGGTCTACGTGAAACGAAAACCGCGTGTTCGGTGTAGACGCTTTCAACAACGCACCTAAAGCGGCTGGGTCATGGTTCTCGCTTCGCCATTTGTTGTTCTTGCGCAGTTTTTTCAGAAGGTCTTTTCTTGTTCCATCTACTGTGTCTCCATGATCTTGTTCGTCCTCGTCGGCACTTCCGTCTTCTTCATCGTCTTTCTGTTCCTTCGCCTTCGCTTTCGCACGCCCTCGGTCGTCATCATCATGCTCATCATCATGATCATCTTCTTCAGTACTCTCGTAATTCTCCGAGACAAGTTCGTCGGAGGAGGCTTCTAATGACGATTCCTGCATAGCTGTGGGCAATGGCAATATAGTCTGCGTTCGCATGTTTGCCGCAGGACGAACCTGCATTTTTTGTGGAAAGACTTGCTCAAGATCAAGAACATCTTCAGCTCGAGCGCTCGGTCTTGTGCTGGCATCTACTCCGTTTGTTGTAGTGGTCTCTCCAGCAGCTCCGCAAGGCCTACCCCAAGGTCTGAATTGTGGAGAGGATTCTCGTTGCATCGCAGCTAATTTCGATGCAGTCATCGGACGTGAACGTGGACACCGTGGTCGCACACCTGAGGACAGCTTGTTTAACAACGGAATAAGAATTCCGCTCTCCGCGAGACTGTTCCGAGCCAGGCCACTACGGAGCTTCAGCGCGGCATCATCTCCCTCGTCGCGAATATTTGCGGCCGCGTGGTCGTAAAAGATCTTGTTTTCTTGAAGAGCAGCCTCAATAGTCTCACGCTGTGCTTGCAGGAGTTTAGCTTGAGCTTCTTCGGACAGGTAGGTCTCGTCCGCCTGCGCTTCGGCATCAATCATTAGCGCTCACCCTTATTCATCTTGAGACGCATCCATCCTGGGTGCGCTTTCCCCTTGAAAAGCCTCTACTTCAGGATGCCTCGTCCAAAGATGGATAACTACGGGTAAGCCTTAACATCAGCTTTGCCAGGGTAGACTCAATTGCAGCTTCTCCTAGCAGTTGCTCTCGCCGCATCCGCTCTTTATCCTCAGCGCGAACCTCTAGCAAAGCCTTCAGCTGTTGCTCGTGCCGCTCGCGTGCGTCGCGCAAGAAGCGCTCCTGATGTTGTTGTGGTTTTTTCAAAGTGTTGTTGATAAGTAAAACCGGTGAGTTGCTTACCTCTTACACTTACGACTACCTAGTTGAAAAGATAACTCTCGTTGTAGTTGGAGCCCTTGGACGACAAAAGGAAGAATGATTATACATTAAATATTCAAGAACAAGAACTTTAGCAACAACAAGTGGTAGTGAGAAGACGATCAACATAATTCGTAGTACCCGATCTTCTTTGACCTTGATTTTGATTTCTCGCTTTACGGTCAAATCGACGAGCTTATCGTATTTTCGCAGTTCGTTGTTTCGTTGCACTTGATGCCTGTCCGCCTGAGCCTGTAATGCTAAGACCTTCTGTGCTAACTGGCTCTCGCGAAGGATTTCGTGCTCTCGGTATCTCTCATCTTCTTCCACCAGTTCTGCATATCGTTTCTCTTCTTCCGTCTTCAGTCTAGCTCCGATTCGTTCGATCTCCGCACGCTCCTCCTGCCGCTCCAGCGCCTGTTGCCGCTTCAACTTGCTCAACATCTTGTGGACCTCTTTTTCACGTTTGCGGAGCCTCGACCACCCGCGAGGCGAAAGATCTCTGATCGGTTCTTGCTTGTCGTGCTTGTCGTCGTGGCCGGCTTCTGAAGAACTTTTTCGTCTTTGTTCTCTTTGATGCTCCTGCAACAAGTTTTGTGCCATCCAGCGATAGTGTGCTTTGACATCTGCAGTCGCGGCTCGCGAGCCCGATAATCGCCTCGCTGATTCCTCGCCAGCCCATCGGATTTCTGCCTCACTCGGAGAAGAAGCACTAGGTTGTGGTTGTGCTGAACCCTCCGAGGAGCGCCGTGGGCCGCGCCGCGAAGAGCGTTCGCGCTGCTGTGCAAACTTTCCGTTTCCGTTCATCGCGACAATGTATAGTCTCTTCAACAAACTGTATTGATATGAGAAAAAATATATTATAAATCAAGGAACTCGCACCTCAGTTAATAACGTTGGTCTTGGTGAAGAGAGCGCCGTGGGCAAATACAAGCATGCACGTTGTAGTAGCTACGGAAGAAAACCGTCTTTCGGTCTTCAAGCTAACAAACAGCAAGAACATTTTTGTGTGCTGGTCGACAGATAAAATCAGGCTGCCTTAGCAGGTCTCGATCTCGTAGTTTTGAATTTGATGTTCTAGGGCGAGCTAGCATTTACAGATTATCTACGGGGTGGGATCTTCAATGAGGGAACGATCGCACTGGAGATCTGAAGCCTCCTGATCATCGTGGGCAGGAGCAGAGACAGGATCAGAATGTCGCTGATGTTAGTAGTTATTGTCTAGCAAGTGTCGCGGGTTCCCATTGTATCCTTCCCCTCCTGGGGAACCACACTAGGGGGCTAGTGCAATACAATACAATAGTACAATAGAATACAATTAATCTCGCACAGAATTCAGTGTGTGCATACGATTCGCCGTATAAGTACGGTAACCGATTTTTCTGAAACCGATTCGAGATCTTCTGGATGGTGGACGTAGAGACTCTGGCACTGCGTGAGCGCTACTAGGAGAAAGTACCGAATGTCACTCAACGTCGATCAAGTATTTGTTGCGTCCTCGGATCGATTCATGATCCATCAAAACCGACACTGAATAGCAAGAAAATCATGGCTTTAGTGCTCAATCGAAGACACAGTAGGGTCTTTGCCTACAAAAAGAATCGCGTTGCGGTTGCCTGCCAGATGGAGAAGAGCACTGTCTTGTGTTCCTCCCCACCACGTTTGTGAATCTTGCTCAGGACGAAAGTATTGACTGAGTGATTGATTGAGTGATGTACCCACTCGCGGGGTGTAGCATCTCTAATTAGCTGCAAGACCAAGACTGTCCATCATAGGTGCTCATTTTCTATTAAGGGAGAGGAAAACGGCACTCGGCACCAAACGGATCGAACGCCGGCGCCAGTCCCGTTGAAGGTTGTCCACGCGAGTGTTGTCCTTGTAAAGCAAGCTGCATTCGCGTGGCAGACTCTAACTCATTGTTCGGCTCTTCCAAACTACTTACTAGAGGACATGTGCCCCGTGAAGAAACCGAACTTAATCGGAGGAAATCGAAATTGATTCAAAGGAGTTGCGCCAATCAGCGACTTGAATTTTTGATTTTCTTGTCTTTCATCGTTCGTTTGTCTCGGTCATAAGTGAACTGCAATGTTTAATTATCTGTTTGCGAGACTTGACAATACACAAGAATAGTGTGAGAACCTCTGACACTATCATGACTTTCTCTCCCTCAATGGTTTCAACTCCCTTTTTCAGATGGTTCTTTCTCCGGTGTTCTACATCCGCTGCTTCGTCCTCATTCTGATTCCTGTGATCCAAAAAATCCTGCATGAGTCGTGGTATATCATTCAGTTTTGCCGTATATTCATGACTGCATAGCGACAACCTGGAAATAGAGAGGTGAAAAGTTAAAAAGACGGAACGGAAAGTATAATGAGTGACGATCTGGTAGAAAATGGGAGCTCTTTTTGTTCTGTACTGTTGGGTGTTGTATTAAGTAGAATAGCATCGGAATTTTACAGACGCGTACTCAAGTGCGAAGCTATACTCTAGCGCGAGCTTTCAGGGCGAATTCCTCGTCCGCCTGCAATGTTTCAGATGCAAACCTACGTGCCCGGTGATTCTGCTCCACAGCTTTCAGGGCGACCTCCTTGTCCGCCTTCAATATTTCAGATGCAAACCTAAGTGCCGCGCCGTCCTGCTCCACAGCTTTCAGGGCGACCTCCTTGTCCGCCTTCAATGTTTCAGATGCAAACCTAAGTGCCGCGCCGTACTGCTCCACAGCTTTCAGGGCGACCTCCTTGTCCGCCTTCAATGTTTCAGATGCAAACCTGAGTGCCTTGCCGTCCTGCTCCACAGCTCTCAGGACGACCTCCTTGTCCGCCTTCAATGATTCAGATGCACGCGCAAGTGCCCAGCACCAGCCATTCTGCTCCAAAGCTTTCAGGAAGACGTCCCTGTCCGCCTGCAATGTTTCAGATGCAAAATCAAGTGCCCAGCCATCCTGCTCCACAGCTTTCAGGGCGACCTCCTTGTCCGCCTTCAATATTTCAGATGCATACGAAAGTGCCGCGCCATTCGTCTCCACAGCTCTCAGGACGACCTCCTTGTCCGCCTTCAATGTTTCAGATGCATACGCAAGTGCCCAGCCATTCTGCTCCACAGCTTTCAGGGCGACCTCCTTGTCCGCCTTCAATGTTTCAGATGCATACGCAAGTGCCCGGCCATCGCCCTCCAAAGCTTTCAGGAGGACCTCCCTGTCCGCCTTCAATGTTTCAGATGCAAACCTGAGTGCCGCGCCGTTCTGCTCTACGGCTTTCATGACGACCTCCTTGTCCGCCTTCAATGTTTCAGATGCATACACAAGTGCCACGCCATCCTCCTCCACAGCTGGCGTGACGATTTGCGTGCTATTTCGTAACTCTGGAGGTGCGTACTGAAGGGCGAGACCATCTTGCTGCACAGATTCCAGAACGATTTTTTCGATCCTCTCTCGTGCTTCTTCAGATGCGTCGTGGTAGTTAATTGCGTGACCGTTGTCCTGTCCCTGCAGAGCTTCCCTCCAAGTTTGCTCTTCCTTCAGCTGCTCGACGGTTCGCTGCGCCACGACTAGACACGAAAGAGCCCTGCCGCTTACACTTCCACTACCCGGACCCACACCGTCCACGCCTTGATGTGAAGGAACCGAAAGGGCCTCCAGTTGATTCAACGTTTCCCCCCCACGTCCTCTTTCACCAGAGAGATGCAGCTCCTGAGTACCAATCAGAAACCGCAGTTGTTCGAGGAACTTTATCTCGGCACTGAGAGAAAGTGTGCCATTCTTTTGTTGTGCTACCAATTTTTGGAGGACTGCATCGCCCAAATCTCTTGCCGTATCTGAGAACGCCAGAGATACTTCCTCGCCTTGTTTGTCTGTGCCTTCTCCTTCGTTGTCATCGTCTTGCTTGCCTTCTCCTTCTCCTTCGTTTTTGCCGCCTATTCTGACGCTGACGATCTTGTTCGATGCAGCCAAACCATAGTAAAACGTTACAACAATATCTTTCGCAGGAGAGCACGAGGATCGGGCCTTAAGCAGCTCTCCTGCAGCGCAATGAAAGAGCAGCATGCTCAAGAAAGCGAGAAGCATCATCTTCATCTGCTTCATGATCGCAAGTATGTACTCGGCAATGCCAACAGTCAAGCTCGATGTCGATACTGTTCAACAAACACATACTTGAGACCTAAAATAACAGAGGCAGCTCTACGGTTTTAGATGTAGTGTACGTAAATCATAGTAAAGTTGCGTGTACGGGCGACTAGATTATTACTACTAGTAAGTGTATACGTCTGAGATATATACTTACTTACACCGGGGCGATTCGTGAGGGGTTTGGCGAGTTTCATACTTTTGAGATGTACGGAAATCATGGGAAAACTCCTGCTGAGCATTTTGGCAAAAGGTGTCGCTGTCTGGGCAGTGCCTGCTACGCATGACATTGCTTGCCCTACCTGCTTGGCATGGCTTGCTCGCTTGCTGGGCATACCTTGCCTGCTAAGCATGCCGCCGTCTTGCTTGATGAGCATAGTTAGCCCGCCCGCTAAGCATGAGATAAGCTGCCTGCTGGGAGCAGCTGCCTGGCCTGCAAAGCTTGGCTCGCCTGCTCAACGTAGGTCGTCTGCTCAGCGTAGCTGGCTCGCTGGGCGGTAATATTTATAACTTCGATGAAATCGAAGTACAAGTAAATCGAAGCTGCAGAGAGAGCGAAGATGTACTAGAGTCAATGATCTCGCCGCCCTGGATAGAACAGTTTTAGTTTTAGATGCTATACAATAGCAATATAGTTAGCACTTCTTTCGTTGAGCTGTGGAATGACTTAGAGTAGGTACCTTCTTAGAAGTAGAAAAAACATGCTCTAGTACAACTGGCTTCTTGTGTCCTGATCAATGCAATACAATTAATCTGTGGCTTTTTTTTTGTATCGTGAGCGAGTTCCGATAAGTCAAAACCTACCTGCGTATTTTGCAAGCGAGTTCCGATAAGTCAAAACCTGCCTACATATTTTCCGCGTGGATACCGGCGTAGGGGGGAGTTCTTAATCTCCTCAACAACTACGCTACTGCCCCTACGATTCTAAAATGCTGAACCCTAGGAGTTTTCAGTCCACACTGCCGCGGGGCGTCATAGTGTTCCTGTTTTTGACTCGAGCCAACATGACTACGGCGATCAGGTTCAGGGACGAGGAGGTAACAACGTCATATTTGGCTTGAAGAACACTTCAAGACTAGCGATAGAAGACTCTCGTCTTGAGAATCGATTTTCGCATTGCTTCCGTCATCAACATCACATCGACTTTTTTGGTTTTTTTCAATGAAGAGCAACAGACGATCATGTGCATGATCAGGACGACTAGTATAAATGGTAATGGACGACATCAACTCCAATTGAGTAGGAGGGGTGACTATCTAGAAGTGAGAAGTGTGAGTGATCACGTGCATATTTCCTAATGTTGGTAACTAAACTTCTTGGAGAAATCAATTTCCAATTCTTTTCTACCTCCTCAATATGCGAATGCGCGTGTGGTGGTCGTGTAAGGCATTCGTACTGAAAATAGGAACCACATATCGATATTAGTATGCTAGATCTAGAATGAAGTTATATTTGTTTAATGGGTGAGTTTTTTAGTTTTTTTTTGATATTGCTAGAAATGGAAGAAGTCAATCAGAATCTTATTGAGGAGCGTGCGTCGATGAGAAAAAAAAGTCAATACGAAAATCTTGTGGATTTGGGAATGATGGGTGGCTCGAGGAGGCTTCTATTTGATGTCGTGTCACAGGTAAACAAGTATTCATCATCTCATCTTGAATCCATAGTAGAAGTAATCTCATCCAGATCAGAATAAAATAAAACGAGACATTGACATCTAGATCTACATCATCACCAACTACATAAAAATACCAATTTTTTCTGGTCGTGATACTCCAATATGTTCAGTGAAAATATACTTACATACATAAATCATAACCTACCAGTGGTCGCTGAAAGTAATAACATAAATTATTGCTATTGGAGTGTAATAATAAGAGATTAGAGGTTAACATATATATAAAAGTCAGCATATCCATATCCATATCCATATCAATTGAAAATCCGTATCCCCACGACACATCTGATGTTGTAACTCTATCACCCCAAGAAGAAGCCGAAGAATAGGACGGCCCTCTTCTCTTAAGGAACTAAGGTGGACCACGACAACCATCAAAAGTGAGGATTCTGAGCAAGAGTAAGACGGAGTAGATGATCATCAGTGTGAGGCGAAAAATGAAGATAAAGCATGTAGGAATGAGGACCAGCTATCCTGTTTAGTCCTTGAAGATCAACAAGCTCGTTGACGTTCTCCTTCTTATCATTCCCTGCGATAAAAGTCGTGCTGTAGTAAGTGCTCGACTTTCACCATCCTGTATTCTAACGCAGCTTGGATACAACAATGACATATCACTGGTATTCTGGTACAAAAACGTACCTGAGTCATTCCTAGCATACGACTTTGCGCATGAGGCATACCGCCCCTCTCACGCCGCAACCTATTCATCGTTCGGCTTACTTCTGCTAGCCTCACATCATATCAATCTCGATGGGGCCCACTCCTCTTCATCATTGGCAGAGCGGCCTCGTCCCTGCCGTCATCTTTTCCATCATTTTCCCATGGCTTGGTACCAATCTGTCTCTATCTAACCTAGGCGCTTGCTCTAGCATCAACTTTCGAACAAGAGAGCTACTGCGTTATCACGATTAAAACAAATAAGGGAACTCGACCAATGTAAAAATCGGCCGGAAATTAATTTCACAACCCCCCAGGGATACAGTCTAGTACTTAGTTTCCAAAGTAGTTGAATCAACCTGTTATAGAAGCAGAAAAAGTTGTTGCTGCCGAGCCACCCATCATCCTTCTTGACCTGGTATCAATGACATCAATACTGCAAAAACGAGTACAACTCTACTTGACACCTACTTTTCCACCCCCCACTTTCTTTGCTAATACCCCGCGTATGCTACTTCTTCATGTTCAACAAGAAAACGGTGCCAAATAAAAAATTGTTAAACATACTTCAGCAGAAGTTATTTAATGTTCTATTCATCTTCATGATCAATATGATCAATATCGTGCTACCGTTAGCCCATCACCTGCGGACGAAATTCGGGGGCAGCGTAATTCAATGGAAAACCCGTACCCTTGTTCATCTGCGGACCGCCCATCTGCATCGGTGGACCTAGTAATTTTTCGTGTTCGTAGTTGCATAATCGAAGTTGGTCTTGGTGCAGCGGTCGATCATTAGACTATAAAGCACTGAAAGAAAAGATTTTTATCAGAGTACTACTGGATAAAGTTGTATTTAAAGGTAAACTATTGTTGGTTCTAATGGTAATGCAGCTGAAAACAATTAGCAATAATTTTTACTAGATGAAAATGAAAATATTTATAATAGAGTTAGGTTATTTTGGACCCATATCGGGTCGGGTTGCTCGGGTTGCTCGAGTTGCTCGAGTTGCCAACCCAAATTTTTTGCGCGGCGCCCTTCAGGCGCAGACTTATGACCCTGCGAGAAACCTTAACAGGAGCGCACGACACCGCGCGCCGCGTCTCTGATCCTTGATCTTCTTGTTAGTGCGCCCCTAAGGCCCCAGCGCCTACTCTTATCTTGCCAAAGAAGTGCGGTCGCCTCTTCTTACTCTCAGCCGAGTAGTGTGGTATCTAGCTAGATGGGTAAGATATCTAGCGGCGACGCCCTATCTACTTACGACGTCTACGTAGTTCTTTCGAAAGTGGGCCTTTTTCTTCTTAAAGCCTACACTTCCAAAGCGTGGGGTTTTTGGGTCTTAATCTCTCAGGAAGCGCTGTCCTTAATTTCTAGTTGCATACTGATCGGCGACGCGCTCGTATAAATATAAATATCTAGCGCGTCAATCCATTCCAATTGAGCAACCTCCTCCAGTATACTTACTGCTATACCCAAGACTGGACACGTCGCCCGCACGCTGATGGCAGCAGACGGAGACGCGCTCTCAGCCCCCAAGCAGATTGGCCACGCTCGCACCCGAAGAAAAAAGGGAGAGATCGCCAACGACTCGAAGACGACACACCACGGCGACACTCACCTCAAAAAAAACAACAGAGAGCAGGGGCCTCCGCTCCTTGTTTTCGCTTCAAACACGCGCCCGCACGCTACAAAAAAAGAGCCTGAAAGGCTGCAGAGCCCTTCACACGTGGCTGCCCCTTCTATGAGCCCCAACAAAAGGCAACAGCTGCGCTCTTCTTCATTTCTTCACTTCGAGCGCGCAAATGCTCCGCAATACCGCCCGGCTTCGCCCCATTTTGCTGGGTCAGGATTCTCCTGGCAACACGTGGCAACCCGTTCCAGATTTGGAGCCCCTGCGCTTCGGCAACCCGAGCAACCCGTTGCAACTCGAGCAACCCGAAACCCGTTATTTACCTTACTCTATTATAACTTCAAAATATACATATAGATTTACCTTGATCAAAGTGTGGTGGCATTCCCTGAGGCCCTCCCATTGGGACACCGTCAAAACCCTTGCCTGGCTCAAATCCACCCTTTCCGTCTTTACCTGAAGAAGTTATTTAGTAGCGATGAAGAAGGAACAGTAGTAGTAGTGGTTGTAGTTCTTCTTCTTCTACATCTACTTCTACTAGGGCTATAAATATAATTCTTCATATTCTCATCCGAATATCGAGATGAATTTGCACGTCTTCCAGCGTATGAAAAATTACCAGCACCAGCGAAGGGTCCGGCACCTTCCTTGCCTTTCACCCAGTCGTGATTTCCACCTGGAAGAATTCCCTTCCCGTTATTAGCTTTTCCGCCATAGATGCCCTCATCTTCTTCCTCCTCCTCACCGTAGCCCTTTCCGCCCTTGCCGCCGCCCTTCATACCACCTTTCATGCCTTTGCCTTTGCCCTTCCCCTTATCCTTGCCAAGGCCTTTGTTCTCTGAAATGCGAATATATTTGTTTGGCTTTGGGAGAGTCATACATACAGGAGTGACGCATGTGCATTCTTGTTGATGTAGCTGTAGTAGAGGAAGGTTCATATTAGTCATATTCCAATCTTCTAAGATGGTATGTTGCCAGGACTAGGACAGTCACTTGTTGAACTACTGTAGTGAAGGGTATCTATTGATTTCCTCAATCGATGCGAACGACTACAACATCTTTGTCAAACTGTGTGTCAAAATCCATAGTAGTAGTACTTCCCTTGAAGGGATTGCCCGTTCCACCCTTCACATTTTTTGCCGCTTTGCCCTTCTTGTTCTCTTCAATATCGAAGGTGACTAAATCGTCTTGGTAAAGCGGGTTACCTATTTTTGGTTGATGTGAAGAAAGTAGGTGGTGTAATTGAAAAAAAGTAAATTGCAACTCTATTCACCTCCCGGTTGTCCTCATGAAAGGAGTACCTGCAACATCTTTCGCCGCGACGAAGATATCGGTGCCGCCTTCGATCGAGATAAAGCCGAAGCCCTTGGCTTCCGAAAAGAATTTAACGTAACCTTGACACTGCTGCATGCTGGGCATCTCTGACAACTCCGCCTAATCCGTAGTCTACCAAAATCTCTGATTTCAGATTTCAGGAGGCCTCGCTTCAGCGAGAACGCTATGGGCGTTGAAGGTGATGTACAACTATTTTCAATCCGCAGTCGTGGTATTCTTCTCGTTTGGGGTCCTGGTCCTGGCGGATATGTTGAGGGCTGGTCTTTTCCGTCATCGATCTTCAATAGTCGTACGTTCACCAAGACAAGAACTATAGTTTCATCTCCTTCTCCTCTTGAAGATCCATATTAGAATACCTCCTCCTTCTTGTGTAATGCTAATCAATGTCTTACTTCTATTGAAAATATAGGTACACGACAACCGCAGGCTGGCGGTACCCACTAAAAAGCAAAACAAAATTTTCGTCGCCCTCTTATGCACCACACGGAACCGACTGATCACGACAATGACATAAGTTGAACCACTTTCGTGATTAGTAGTAGCCTGCTATATTTTAGAGAGATGGAGGTTGGAGATTCATCAGTTTGTTCCAGACCAATCGTGATCTTTGTGCTCAGAGTAACAGCAACATTGTAGAAACTGGATCGGCTTCTTGTTAGTCCTCTACATATTGTCCTCCAAGAATATTCGTGTCACCAGGATCAGAGTGAGAATCCAAAGATCAGGTTCTGTATCTAGATGTACGTCGCGGCCTTGTAGATTTCACATTGTGCATCTTCAACTTGGAATAAGAGAGGCACGTGGAATTTAAGAGGGGCATTGCATTGATGAACAAGACCAACAGAGCCATGCGAAAGGAAAACGAACATTTCTTGTTGAGAGAACATTAATTATTGTGCTTTGGCAAGTGTCAGTGTCAGACAGCACTTGGGATTCAAATTTAAGATCGCGTACATAGTACCCGCTATGGTGGTTCCCTCCTAAGAATCATCCTCGTCACGCGATAAGTTGTAAAATTCATCGAGGGAAATTGAAGGCCATGGGGTTTTTGGGGAGTGAGTTGGAGCGTATCTTCACTTAAACTTATCATTTATTATGTGCAAGCTCAAGCTACATCAACGTCACGTCTAATTTTTTTTCTTCTTGCTTTTCTTAGCTTTTTTCTTTTTGTGTTTCTTCTTTCGTATTTTCTCTGAAGATTCTGATGATTCGCTGTCCTCAGATGACGAGGAAGAGTCTCCTGATGCTTTTGCTTTTGCTGTCCTCGCAGTTCCACCAGCACCTCCTGTCTTTATCACCCCTCGTGGTCCCTTTTTCTCGATCTCCGCTAGCCTCTGTATTATCCGCGCTCGTAACTTCTTGCCTTTCTTGCCTTTCGTTGTGGGATGCGTGTTCTGTAGTTCTCGTCCACCATCATCCTGAAGCATGTCGGATTTATCGTCGGACAATGGTCGAAAGGTTCGCCGCACTCGAACGACCTCGCCGCAGCAGTCGATCGTTACCGGTTCCAAAGGCCGGTCACCAGGTGCAGTCCGCACACGTTCGAGTGCATCTAGGACACGCATGCCAGAGATTAGATGATGATGACTCAAAGAACTTTGAAAAGCAAATCTGTTATCATTATCAAGTTTCTTAAGTAGAAAAGTATGATAATGATGACATATTTTGGCTTCATATTTAATAAGAAGTTAGTACAAGAACAAGAAGGGAATGTGAATGATCAGTAGAGAAATTATTTGGTTTTTTCATAACTCGACAAGTTCTCCGAACACCACATGCCTTCCATCGAGATGCGGCTGGGGTTGAAAGAGGAGGAAAAACTGACTTGAGTTTGTGTCCGGTCCCTTGTTTGCCATAGACAAAATGCCTCTTTTGTTATGCCGCATTTCGTGTAATCCCACTGACTCATCTTCAAACGTATTTGCACCTGTCGTACTACTCGTGTAGATGGACCGACCACCAGTACCGTCGCCTTTCGTCCAATCCCCTCCTTGGATCATGAAGCCAGGTATCAGTCGGTGAAACTGGGAACCAGCAAAGCTAAAATGCTTGCCTAATTTGCCCACGCACAGCTGCCTAAAGTTCTCCACCGTCCGAGGTACGCGCTCTTGGAACAAGCGGAAAACTAGTCGCCCGCTTTCGCCACCAAAACTAACATCCATGAAGACGTGGACTAATCCTGGCGTTGCCACATTTTCGCGTAACCCGAAAATCGGATGCGGCACGGAGGACATAGTGTTCTCCTCAGTTGTTTTGGTTGGCATATCACTCCCAAAATGAGAGGACGAACTACTCGATGCCATTTTTTGTGATCTTCGTAGTTGGGGTACGGTCTCACGCGTCTACCATCGTCCTCCACGACTAGTACAAGCCCTGGCTGTCCTTCTCCTTGTTGAAGATGTGTACCTATGTATATCGACAACCTCTAGTAAAAACTCTAAATTGAGATCATTCTGATGTAATGAGCGACAAGGTCGTCTTTGTCAATGTCACTGTGAAGAATAGAAAACAAACAACTTCCCGTACTTCTTCTGACAAAAGGAAGCTAGCTGGAGTAGTCCGTAAGGTAAACTTCTTCTAGCAGCATCCGGAAGAACTTGCTATTATAATTCTTAAAAAGATCATGAAGATGAAGAACTACATCTACATGCAGATTCGGATCGACGCCAAGCATCAACTCAGATCGTCAAGCTGCTGTGGTCTCCGTCTAATTGGGTTGATCAACAAGGTATGCTGTGGTCTTCGTCTGAGGTTGTTTTAACACTGCAGAACGCGGCTTTTCTGTTCCAACTAACTACATTCTCATTCACGTTGATGATCACACGTCTCGTTCAACAAGATGATTGCGTAGTCTCCGCTAGAAGGATGAACGACATCACGGACAATCACATTTTAAATGTGAATCATCTTAATAAACTGGTGTTTTCTTGACTGGCTCTGCTTGCGTCTCGTGTAGACCATGATGTTGTTCATCAACATTGTTGAATTTTTTACACTGCGCGTCGAGGTCGACGTCGAAAATGTGAGTCCACTATATCCAGCTGCACCGGGTGTGCATTATATGCACGACTCTTATTCAAAACTCAGGTGGGTTGATTTTTACCACGATTGGACAAAGGAAAGGAAAAAAGTAGAGAGTGATCAATACTTTACAACATAAAAGTTGAAGTTGTTATCAAAACTAGGGGTACTACATCAACAACTACTTGAAAACCAGGGTCGTGACCAAAGTTGTGGGGGTGGAGGTCTTTAGCACCAGAAACTTACTAGTAAAGTAAGTAGTGGTTGTTGTGGTTCACCACCGTCTTGGAGCGGGAGGCCAAGATGGCTGTGACCATTGCCAGGGCATCCCCGGTCGTGGAGGCATACCGATCACACCAGGTGGTACCATCACACCGGTTGGCGGCATCCCTCCCGTAGCGCCTGGTGTGTTGCCCATACCCCCTGTTGCACCTCCGCCTGCTACACCAGCTTGGGGACGCGCGCGCGCAGTTGGCGTCACGACCTTCACCGTTCGCATGCCACCCGGGAGCTGTGGGCCAACTTCCCGCGCATATTTCGTACCTCCACTCGAGATGCTTGTAGAAGCGCCTCCTCCAGCAGCGCCTTTGCCCATCATGCCACCTCCGCCCGAGGAAGGATTCAGCTGATGGTAGTGGCTCGATCCACCTGCAGGACCTCCAGAGCCCCCAGGCACTCCGGCTGTCCTAGGACCTCCTCCGAGGAGTCCCTGAGCAGCAGGTCCAGAAGATCCCCCGCCACCAGTACCGCCTCCAATCGGTAGCACTCCAGCATAAGCGGCGCGATGCACGCTGGCCATAGCTGTTCGAGCTGGCTCCCGGATCGTTCGGAACTGCGGCGTAACGCGAACCATGCCTCCCAAGCTGTTCACAAGTTCTTCGACGTAGTCAAATTCTGCGAATTTTTCGTCGGCCTCTCGCGCGCCCATCTGTTGGCGGTCTTCACACAGCAGGTTTACGGCCATGCCTACAAACTTCTCCGCAGCGCCGACCTCAAATCGCCGAATGCTCTTAGGCACGTCCAGCTTTCCTTCACTCTCCAGAGGCAAATTGTAGCGAGGCTGCTCTTTCTGACGAAGGCCGCCGACTGTGCCTTCACTCATTTTGGACGAAACTTTCGCAGCAAGGGCAACTCCGTCTGGAAGTGCAACTCCTGCACCTGCTGCGGCTGTTCCCCCTCCTGGTAGAAGTTGTAGACCTTTAATATTGCTTGCTTCTTCTTGACCTTCTACTAGGTTATTGTTTGTCACCTTATCCTTGTGGTCCCCTGAAAACGCTGCGTTTCCTCGTAGACGTGTTCCACCGTGTTCTAGGTCAGCGGGCTCGTCGGGTGTCAAGTCATCCACTCCTGCGCGAACGGACGGCTCTAGCACGTCATTGCACAGGATGAACATCTTTGGGAAGCGCAGGACGAAATTCAAGAGACTCTTACAGTTTGGCAAGGTGTGAAACATAGGACGAATCTTGTAAAACTTCTCGTATTCGCTTTCTAGCTCAGCTATCGAAATAGCGGTTCCGAGAGTGTCATCGTCGTCTGCTTGATGCGGGTTGACAGCACTACAATTCTCTGATTTTGTCGCCTGATCTCCGGTTGTCGTGGTTTTGTTCTTGATGGTGTCCTCGCCTACTACAACGCCGCTACTACTTGTACCATCTGCATCCGTCCGTCTCTTTTTGGCCGCCTCCGCGTCCTCTGCGTTTGGTCCCTCTTCAGCACCAGTCCTATCGTGGTCCTCGCCTCCAGCCCCACTGGTGCCACTTCTCCGTCTCTTCGAGACGGCATTATCTAAGATGACTGCAGTTTCATCTTCACCAGAACCAGTAGTGTTCATCTGGAGTTGTTGTTCCGCTCTTGCTGCAGCACGCAGCCTTCGCCTTCGCTTGGCATGCAGAAACTTGAGCAAGCGGTGCAATGACCTCGCGCAATTGCAGACTACCTCGTCTGGTAGTTCTCCCTGGAAAACGCGTCTCCCGGGAACTACACCTGGAGGTGGCACCATCACGGAAGATCCGCTATTGATGCCACCAATGTTGCCGTGAGAAGTGCCGTTCATCACAGGAGCACCACGATGATGTGGAGGAAAACCGGCGCCATGATGACCTCCACCTCCGGAACCTCCACCTCCACCAAAGGAACTATGCGCGGCGGCAGGCCCAGCCATCATGGCTGGCCCCAGGCCTGACGTCTTGCTGAAGGTCGACGTGGACAGGTTGATGTTGATCAAACTCCGAAGCTGGGAGATGGAGATGTCTTCAGGGTCGAACCCGTGAGCGGGCTCAATCAGAGCATCGCTGAAATCTTGACTGAACACGAACAGTTTTCCGCAAAAGTCCTCCAACTTTTTCTCAAGTGGACCAGCACTGGCAAGATTGAACCTGAAGAAGATCATGTTGTTCATGAAGTAGAACGTGTCAGTTACAAAAATTCTATTGAGCTTACTAGCAAGAAAAGCAAGTAGTTGTGCTGTAGAGCAAGAAAGGTGTGCATTGGATAGCTCTACAGTACAACTCCTTGACTGTGACAGTCAAGGAGTTGTACTGTAGAGCTTTGGGACAGTGTCGTATCTTCTCTGGCGAGCAGCAACAAAATTATAAAAAAGAACATCTTATCTACATCTTCAGAAGAATGAACCATGAACAACATCAACACGACGGTGTAGATGATCGTCATCCTAATGATGTAAGTACTTTTCCATCGGAAATTTGTGGCCGAAGTGTCTATGGTAATTCGCGGGGATCGTTGAGACCGGCATCGGCTTACCATGAGCTATCGTCAGAAAGTACAGATTCAAACCCAAATCCAGGAAATTTTCGGGTAACGGCGTGTTCCCAGCTGAGGATGGTTCAAGGATGTTTTCTTTCTTGTTGCTGCAAATAGAGATATTAAGCCAGATAGATTTAGTAATGAAGCAGTAGATCATGTTCATGTGCCAGATAGATTATTAGTATGAATGGTTCTGGTATTTGGTAACCTGAATTCGATCCTAAGGGTTCTCTTCTTGTTTTCCCTTAGGATCAAATTCAGGTTACCAAATACCAGAACCATTCATAGTAATGAAGGAGATCATGTTGAACCAGATGATAGATTTAGTAATGAAGCAGTAGATGACGTTGAAAACGACGTGGTTGGTAAAAGCAGATTTAGTAATGACGTGGTAGCAAGAAAAAAAAATACTTTCTTTTTTTGGTAATTCGCCTCGTCGAGTTGGTTTTTCTGGTATTCCAAGTTCGTCATCGCGTAAGATGCCATGCTCGATGATTTCTGAGATCGCCGCGCGCTCCTTTTGCTTGATATAAGCGACGAAGGACTCTCGTTCCTCGTGCGGGACTTTCATCATCCTGTTCTGCACAAGCACATCCGTATACCCATCTCGTAAAAACTCTGTCTGGATGCGATTGTCAGTGAACCAGTAAGGAAAGTAGTTTGTCACGGGAAAACTGTCCGCGTTCTTCAGCGACGAGGGGAGAATGTTGATGGTTACGCTCTGGTGGGTTGTCGTGTTGGAGGAACCTGGTGCAGCACCAGCAGCGTTACTTGCAGGTCCTCCTGCTCCTGCGGTCGTGGTGCCTCCACCAGTATTGGAACCGGCAGTCGTAGTAGTTCCACTAGGCGCGCCAGGAGTGGCGCCTCCTCCAGGAGGAGGAACACCTATCGTGGAAGCTATGGCTGGTGGTGAAGAAATAGAAAGCGGAGGCCCGCCCTTACCTCTATGCTTGGCGGGATCCGTTTGGAATGTCGTTGGCGCACTAATCCCGCTTGCGCTAGCAGAACTGCTGAACCTGATTCCAATTTCGTGGGGAGAGACTAGCTGTATACTATTGATGAAGCTCAAAACGGCGCTTTTGAGTTTCTATTTCTGTTGCTAGACCTAGATAGTGGTCATATTAATAATAATTATTATAAGTTGATAGATAAAAAACATAACAAAAAAAAAATCTATATTATTAATCTATATTATTAATCTCGCCATTGATCGCCGCCATAAAACTCCCCGCCTAACCCACCGGAGATTAGTCAGCTTCTTTCGCGAAGCTATTGCCCATAGTCTCCTGCCCTTTCCCCTCAGTCTCAAGCCCGATAGCCTCCGGCCGTTTCCTTGTTGGGATTTACGTTGCGGCCCCGTGGCAGACCACCAGAAAAGAAGGCAGAAAAATGGCCGACGGGGGTGGGGGCGCAAGCTGGGGAGAAAAGTCCAAAGAGAGACAGCCAACGAAAGACCGCCCACCGAAAGGGCAAAGACCTTGGACCAAAGACACATGGACCAAAGCCGATCTTTGGACCAAAGACGAGCTTTGGACGAAGGGCGACCGTTGGACCAAGGGCGATCTTCGGACTAAAGGCGACCTTTGGACCAAAGACGACCTTTGGAGCACAGGCGATCTTTGACCCAAAGACGATCTTTGGCCCAAAGGCGATCTTTGACCCAGGGGCGACCTTTGGACCACAGGCGACCTCTGGACCACAGGAGACCTTGGGACTTAAGACGACACTGGGACCAAAGACGACCTTGAAACCAAAGACGACCTTGGGACCGAAGACGACCGCGGGACCACAGGCGACCTCTGGACCAAAGTGCGGCGACCTCTGGACCAAAGTAGGGCGACCTTTGGACCAAAGTAAGGCGACCTTTGGACCAAAGTAAGGCGACCTTTGGACCAAAGTAAGCCGACCTTTGGACCAAAGTAAGCCGACCTTTGGACCAAAGTGCGCCGACCTCTGGACCAAAGTAGGGCGACTTTTGGACCAAAGTAAGGCGACCCGGCGACCTCTGGACCAAAGTAGGGCGACCTTTGGACCAAAGTAAGGCGACCTTTGGACCAAAGTAAGGCGACCTTTGGACCAAAGTAAGCCGACCTTTGGACCAAAGTAAGCCGACCTTTGGACCAAAGTGCGCCGACCTCTGGACCAAAGTAGGGCGACTTTTGGACCAAAGTAAGGCGACCCTTCGACCTCTGGACCAAAGTAGGGCGACCTTTGGACCAAAGTAGGGCGACCTTTGGACCAAAGTAAGGCGACCTTTGGACCAAAGACGGCCGCTGGACCAAAAGCGACCTCTGGACCACAGACGACCTCTGGACCAAAGCCGACCTTTGGACCGAAGACGACCTTTGGGCCACAGGCGACCTGTGGACCACCGGCGACCTGTGCGTGGACCAAAGACGACCTTTGGGCCCAAGACCTCCGACACGACAAGAGTGAGACCCGCGACAGCAGACATCTGACGAACGACCTCCGCCAGAAAAACTGACGCGAGGCCTCCCTGTGGCGCGAGGCCCTTGAAGATAGCGAAGACCTTTCGCGAAGGACGTCAGTCCGGCGAACGCGGTCAATCTGGCGAAGCACGTCAGTCCGACGAAAGAACGGGGTCAATCTTACGAAGGAAAGACATCCGCAGCCCGAAGAAAGGCCCCGCTCAGCCTGTTCCCTCCGACGCAAGGCAGACGCCTGGCGAAGCATTGCGCCGGCCTGGCGAGAGGCCTCACCTGGCTGGCGAGTGCATCAGCCTGACGAACGGCGCCGAGCTGAAGCAAGCCATCAACCTGACCAAAGGCGTGAGTCTCGGCCCGGCGAGGAATGTCAGCCAGGCGAAGCGCTTCAGCCTGACGAGAGACGTCGCCCGACCCTGACGAAAAGCCTCAGCCTGACCCAAGACGCCTGCCGAGGGGCGCCGGCCTGCCCGACGAACGCCGCCAGCCTGGCGCAGAGCGTTGGGCTGACGAACGGCATCAGCCTGATGGAGGGCCTTAGTCTCCAGCTTGGTGAAAGACGTCAGCCAGCCGAGAGGCTTCAGCCACAGCCCGAAGCGCGACGCCGCACGACCCCGCGAAGTGCGCCCGCCTGTTTCTGACGAGAGACATCTGACGAAACAAAGAAGCCCCGCCAGGTGTAAGCGCGTAGAGAGACCCAAGCAGCGCGGCCCTGCGTTGCTTTGTCTTGTTTGGCCCATCAAGGTCGCCCCTCGTTCTTGCCTGGCGCCACCGCGAGGCGCTTGCGTGCGTTGGGGCTTGCGGATTCTTGTGCGTGTCTGGTGGCTCTCTTCTGGTTTTTTTGTTGGACTGCCGTGGGGGTCTTGCAAATTCTTAAGAATTTGCATGACCCGCCCGGCAATCTCAAAAAAAAACCGAAGGCAGCGCAATGCCCTGCACATGAGTCGACTCATCTGAGTCGGCTACCGCCGGCACTCGGCTCTTGTCGTAGTCAATTCGTAAGGTGCAACAGCTCACCCGCGGGATGTCTCTACTCTAGCGGCTGTAGCCCGTGGGAGGCCGCAGAAAAGTGCTAAACTAACTTGAAGCCGGGCGAAGCTTGTGGAGGCTAGTATAAATAGTAAATAAAGTAAAAATAGTATCTATAGACTGCATCAACGAGTTCTAATACTTCTTCAAAATTCATCGTTGAGCATATCATGACCATGAGGATCATCTGCAATTCGTGTAACTAACTTTAGTAGAAGTACCGACTTCTCGGTGGGTTCTTGCCGCCCGTCATCACCACGAGAGGTGGTTCCGCACCTGCTAAGAGAGGCGCCGAGCCTTGAGGTGAAATGTTGACATGGGGCTGCATCACGACCCCACCTGGTGGCATTATTACCTGCGCCATGCCTGGTGGTGGCGGTGCACCTGCCGGTGCCGTGATAACTACTCCAGGACCTGGCGGCGGAGGAGGCGCCTCAGTGAAAGGGTTCGGCTGGTGTTGATGTGGATGATCCATCGATCCTCCATGAGGTCTACCCGCACCCGCACCTCCGCCCCCAAGGGGTAGCATGTTCGGATTTCCACCACTCATTGCTCGCCCACGACCTTTTTTTGAGGCAGAAGTTGTACTAGACGGTGGTTGTATAGCTATAGGCGCATTTGGAAGATTCGCCCCATCTTGATGTTGCGCAAAACTCGGCGTCATTCCACCTGCGGAAGAAGGAGTCACTCCACCTCCTCCATCTGGACCTCCTGCAGGCTTTCCAACAAGTGGACCTCCTGCGGGAAAGAACCCTGACACAGGTCCACCACCAAAAGGAGAAAATCCCTTTTTTCCCGCAACCACTGCTCCGGTCGCAGGCGCTCCCTGACGAGATGAAAAACGTTGATCTTGATGAAGTTGAACTAAACAACTCACTTCGACGAGTGGACGAGGAGGGCAAGAAATTATAGTACTACTAGTAGAAGACCTCCTCCCAATGTCTTATAGTACCGACAAGAGTGCCTGATAACTACGCCACTTCTATGTACATTGCTGGAAGGGCTAAGGCTCTAGAGGTAAATAAAACTAACCGGTTGTAGTTTTATTTGAGTGTTAAATATATATAGCCCCCTTTAAAAAAGTCACGCCTTCGTTCCTCCTGCCCATGAAATCCATTCAATGCATTGCGATCCACGCAAGGCATCATCCATCTATGTGAAGAATGTTCTATTATCGATGCTCTATCAATATCTATCAAGCCATCGTCCATGCTCTATTATCTAAATGTGAAGAAGAATGTCACAAAACGTTAAAGTACCTTCAACCCAGAGAGAACAGGTGGGGGGCCTTTCATGACAATGAACCCTCCTGGTCCAGGAGGAGGTGGTGGAAAACCAGTCGCCGCAGCTTGCGCCGCCGCTTTCGCATGCAACTGCTGCTCCATCTTAATATTGTTCATTTGTTTAAGTTCTTGCGAATCTTGAATTATTCGTTCTCATACTCATTCATGATCGTGCTGCGTTCTCATGCTCTAACATGAAGCTTCTGATCTGTTACTTACAAAGTTGTTGATATCAATAGGGAACAAACGGATCGCAAACTACGCAAAGACATATGATCAAGGGAAACTCGAGACGGAGAGGACGTAGTTGCCATTTTTACTTGAAGATGTTGGGTTGTTCTGTAGGAACCAACACTCACAGGAAGAAAAAAATGACGTCTCCTAGAAGAAATAATAGGAAAAACAAGAAGCCAGGGTCAGGGTGAAACGTTAACGTTAATAATTATAGGACTAGCGAGGACAAATTAGGAATGTGGGAAGAGTGAAACACCATAGACTTGAACAAGAATAAGCAGCTAGTTCGAGTTGTAGTTCTGTAGACACTTAGTATTCCTGCTGCCTGGCACCCGCTTACTTAGTTTTCGTCGAGGTTGTCAATGTCGACACCAGCACGATGATCTGGAACGCAGGATGATCTGGAACTTTCTCTGTGTAAGTATGTTCTTACAGCTAGTTGATGTTGAGCGGAGTTCAGATATGATGATTGAGATTCAGCGTGTTGGACGAAGAAGTCTTGTCTTCACTTCTACAACTAGACAACGGGCTGAATTCGGTTCTCCAAATTCGTCATGAAACCGTCACCGTCAGTGTGATATTCTCAAGATCATTAGAAGTAATGGTACAGTATATTCCACAAGAACCGGTCTGTATGACTATGTCTATGAGCGAGGAGACGGGAGCAACAGCAGACGGTGTCGGTGAACAAGAAGTAGGAGAACATCTTTTGACAATAAAGTGACAAGAACAGTCATAATCTGAGCAAGTCACGACATGCGCTTTTTAGATTTTTGTCCTGCTAAAAAAAATTGTGATCGATATGGCCCATCGAATTCCTTTTGCTATCAGGAATAGAAGTCGTATCAACTGCGATGGCAGCATGAAGAACAACGTGAGCTGGCTGTGGACATTGGTATTTGATTATAAGGACAGTATAGATACAATTACAGTGAAACAACATTCAGGGTTAATATGGCAAGAGTCTAAATACTATGAGGCCGAGCGCGTTGCTTGGTGGTGTTTGACTTGGCGAGGACAATTTGTAGGGATGAGAGCGACCACGACGTCTCTTTCATTCCGACAGCTTAGTCGACAAACGTAAACTACTTTCTATCCTTGCTGTATTAAAAAATCTTCACAGTCTTCGCATTGATGAATCCTTTAGGTTTACATTCTTGTTACAGCCCGCACATCATGATCCCGAGCAGTCTGCTGTCAAAAAAATTAACATTTACCTTTGACTTACTTCTTCACACATGTCCTCACGTATTAGTCGTGGCACTAATTTAGTGCTGCCTTCGAGATTATCATTAAATGGTCAAAGTCACTTTGACCATTTAATGATAATGTCGTCTTTTCTAAGGCTCCTGTAAATTCTTTGTCGCAGCAAGCATGGGCGTCGTCAGGGATTCTGAGGCTGATGCGATCGCGGGCGGCTCCGTGTTCCGAATTTTTATCTTGTTTCGGTCTCTTTGTGTTCTTGGCGTAGTCGTGGAGGAAGTGCTAGGCTGCAAAAGTTCATCCTCGTCTTGCTTTCCTTTCCGAACAGGCATCTTCAAAGCGGGTCCAAGGGCGGGGGCAGTCGGTTTTACATCATCTCTAGTCACCTGAAAGTGTTGATCTTCATTTCCAGTTGGACCGCTACTAATAGCAGCTTGCCCTGTTATTCTATTGCTATTCAAGGTTCCTACTTGTTCGCGTGAAGAAGCTGAGGAGCCTGAGCTCCTAGTAGAGCTTCGCGTCGCAGAGGACCAAAAAATACGGAAACCGATTTGCCGGAAACGCAGCCAGGGTCTTGCAACGTAGAGCATGAGATATTCACCAGGTGTGTCACCCAGAAGCTGCAACGTAGCGAGGAAAACTGGAGTCGGACATTAGATAGAAGATAAGTACTTACTAGAAGAGAGAAAGAACTACAAGGCCTATTCTTCTTCTTGGAGGTTCTATCAAGTGAGAATGAAACACAACTACAAGATGAAGGACAAAGGCTAGCTCTTCTACAACATGAAGATGTAGTTAAACAAAGAACACGACCAAGAACAGCAAGCAGACTACGAGTACGACTAGTGAGATCATAACACAAGTTGAATATCGATCCAAACAGTGGTAATTCCAGCAAAACGGTGCACCAAAGAGCGGATGAAACCCAGAAGACTAAGCGCCTGCGCAACTGTGCTTCGACACCCCCAAGTAGTCTTCTTGCACTGCTCTCTAGAGCCCTCTGTGTTGCCGCTTGTACTAGGGTCTCATGTTGACCCTGCGAGGACCGGCCAAGCTGTGCTATTCCTGTCCCGCTGATGCTCCTGCTTTTCACTATGACTCGTTGCTGCACGATGTACGCAGATGGAGAGCCACCGCCTTGAACACCTCGTCCTGCTTCTTCTTGTTTTTCAATGCCCCTCCGATGAAGATCATGTTCATCAGGCTCACGTAGTTCTTTGACCTCGTCGATCTCATCTTCGTCGAGCAGGTCCTCTACTGCCAAAATCGTGAAAATTTGGCGAACTTCAACGATGGTCTCAGCTGACTCGTTCGCAACTTTGCTGCTCTCGAACGCGACGGCCCACCACAACAACAGGCTGACAATCCAGCTAACCACATCCAGCACCGCAGCTGCCACGTAAAGCGACAACAGTGACGCCATCAGAAGTAGTCCCCCAAGGACCAACGCGCGATTTCTAGGTGACAGATCCGAACCTAGACCTCGAAGAGCAGTTGACGAAGATGATGAACCTCCTAGAAGCTCCAGCACACCACCGGAATTAGCGAGGACACCACCTCCTGTAGTGCGCGTAGTAGCTGCCCCAAACGCCAGAGCTTGGAATGCAGCAGCACCTGGCGCCGCGAGTGCGCGTCGGGCAATCGTCGAAGACAGATTCATGGAGTTTGTTGCTGAAGGAACAATGGCTTCTGCAAGTGCAAGACCATCTTGTGCCATTCTCGCCGTTCTATTATCCGCATCTTCTTCTGGTACTGTTTCTGCTACGGCTGTCGTCTCCGTTCTATTATCCGCATCTTCTTCTAGTACTGTTTCTGCTACTGCTGTTGTGGTTGATTTCCGTTGAGCGGACTCGCTGGAAGTGCACAGCCATCGAACCATCTGCCGCAGTCGCGAACCGAGTTGGAGGCGAGAAAGAAATGACACAGACTTTGCGAATGCGATGGAGAGCCAATTTCCGCCATAGAATGCAGCCCAGACAGCCAACAGGAGTAGTATCCGCTCTCCAAGGTGGCGACTGAGGTGCAAGTCGTACGTATGATGAGTAGTACTGGAAGTGAACGCTCCACCATGGTCGCCGTCAACATCTAGTACTCCATCGCTGCTCTCGTCCCTACGGCCGGTCTCGTCGTATATGAGCAAAAAGTCTAGCGCACAGAACGCTGGCCACAATGCCCAAAAAGCTACCCATCCATTCGCCCTTTCTAGAAGTCTCAACAGCTTCGGCAGTACATGGAGCGGCAGGTTATCGTAGGTCTCCTTAGACCAAGACCTACCAGGAGATGAAACTCTTCCCTGAGAAGTAAAGACTAGGGAACAAGTAGGCGAAGACGTGGACCCAAACGACTCTAGATCGATCAAAGCATCCAACGAGGTGAAAAGAGGCAGAATGGTGATCGCGAAGTACACTGCAAATAGACCAGGAAAATGCGGCAACGAAACCACGATCCACAGGACTGGAGCCACCAGGAGAAAACTCGCTTGGTACAGCAGTGAATGAAAGAAGAGTGGGTCTCGTCGTCGTCAGGAAATGAGCACGATATTGACCTATAGGAAGAAGACGTTGATGATCATGGAAGACGTTGGTGATCATATCAACCTATACTAGGAAGAAGACGTTGATCATGAAAATCACGGAAGAAGGACAAGATCATAAAGTATCTTGAAGTATTCAACATCCTTTCCTCAACATAAGTCGTTTTTATCAGGTCTTTCCGTTCTCGTTGACGTCGTTGTTCTTCGTCTCTGTCAAGCTCTTGCTCGGCGCGCGCCGCTCGTTGTCTTGCGCGTATTATTCTTGCTCGCACCACGACCACCAGCTGAGTCGCGAGCACTAGTGCGATGACAACGAAGGCAACCACACCTTGCGTGTGAACAGGCAATTGCTGAAAAGCCTTGACTGAGCCTACCAACAAGTCGGCCGCATGTGGCAGCAGGTATGCGAAAATGAGGGGGAGTTAGAGACGGAAGTGGTTGTCTCGCTCTTGTCGGCGAACAACAACAGGCGGCCATCAAGTAATAAATTATGCGACGGGAGTAAGTACTTACTGAGATGGTTAGGTACTTTATAAAGGACAAATTAGATGCCATCTTCATCGTGTTTATGGTTGCACTTTATTTAAGAGTTCGTGCGTATACGTGCTCCTTGAAGAGGACCGAGAATCGACGCACTGAAAAAATAGACCCTTGCTGCAGTACAGCCAATCATGTGGCAGCCATACGAGAACAGATCGCTCACAAACGGAAAGAGGAGGTATATCCAGGCACCCAAAGCGAGGCATGTCGCGCGAACCCATTCTCGTGAGCGCTCAAAAGCATCCTCAGCATTTTGAAGCAAGTATTCAGCGAAAAGCTGTACTGCAGTTCTTGTTTCGCCTGCTCCTTCGTTTCCAGAAGATCCTTTTTTTACAGTTGTATTTCCATCTCCACCAACATTGCGCGCAGTGTTGTTATCATTTGTCACATGCAGCAGGTAAAAGCGCACGAGTATCCAGGTTACATACACTGCAAAAAACGTCCGGAACCCGCGTGGATACAGCTGGGACAATCGGAAGAACACGAAAGCGAGTAGGCAACAAAGTGCTACAGCGGTCAGAAAAAACACATGCTCCGCGAAGAAAGTCTCCACAGCGGGGATGAGCTTCTGCGTGACAATCTCGCCCGTCGCCGCTTGCGACGAAGCGAACGAATGTTGCATGTTTGTTCGTCGCAGCTAGTACGACGACGTCGCCGTGGTCCTTCCTATTTTTTTCCGTCCAGCTCGTCCAGGTGTCGTAGTTGCTAGAAGTAAAACTTCAATCATGCAAAACGAAGACAACTTCATTCTTTCGTTTTTACTCAGCCTCAGGCTCAGCGCCGGCCATAAGTTTCTATTTCTTGTGCAACAAGGTGAAGATGATCTTCTATCCAATAATGTTGGTGGAGCAGGCCTAACTAGAAAAAACGAAAACCGAAAAAAGATGATCTTCTATCCAATAATGTTGGTGGAGCAGGCCTAACTAGAAAAAACAAAAACCGAAAAAAGATGATCTTCTATCCAATATATTACTAAGCTATAATTTTTCATCTTTCTAAGGTGTGAAAACTGTTAGGAGGAACTTCCTAGCCCACTATATTTGCCACGTGGGGTCCAGAGGAGCAACTTCCCTAGTAATCTAGTACTTATTATTCTTCAGTAGGTTGAAGACAGCTATTTTGACCAATAGTTGTTTTGAATGAAGACTATTTTTGACATTCGTTGTTCTTGCTGAGATAAGACGGCTTCTTTTTAGTTCTTTCACAGGAGGACTCAGGAAGACATCTAGAAATTTGAAATTCAACATACTTATGGCAGGCCATGCATTTAGACGAAAGATTCATTCGTATGCTGAAGACCAAAGGCATGGCTCACCAGGTCTTCCAAGGATTTGCGCTGAAGAAAATGCGGACTCTTCGTACAAAAACGCACGATGAGGGTGACACCAGCGTTAGCATCTTCTTTCACAGGTCAACAAAATCATCTTCCTGACGAAAAATGAAGATAAACGGTTCAACAAACGACTTGGGCTTTTTATAGTGATATAGTGAAGGTGTAGTTGCTACAGCCATCGCCATGCTATATTAAGGAAAAGGATTTGGATTGATTAATATTTCAACACTAGATGCATGCAGATACAACTCTTACTTCCGCGTAGTCTTTGATGAGGACAAGAGATCTAGGACGCCTAAGATGATATCTATCAACGCGGCCTGGTTCTCAAGATCGGGCCTCGTATCCATCAAATTCAATTCATCATCTATTTCAGCTTCTTCTGTTGAAGCTTCTTCTACTGTTGTAGCTTGTTCATCTTCTGTAACTATGTCAGCTTCTTCTTCATTGTCTTCTCCTGTTATAGTTTTTATACCTTCTTCAGAAGTTTTTTCATCTTGTTGGTCCTTGGTCAGCGACAGAGTCTCCATCGCCTCCCGCATTGTGGCCATCTTCGTTGACATTTTTTGTCGTTCACTTTCTTCATCTTCAACATCATTTTTAGAGAATCTAAATTCATTTGGTGTCCGTGCGAGATAAACGTACTTCCTCAGACTCGATCCGTACTCTTCAGCAGCTAGCGCAGCAGCATCTTCACCTTGCGCCTCTTCATCTCCCAAACACACTTTCTCAGCCATCAACATCGGACGCTGTTCTTCATCACCTCTGTTCTCGACTTGAGCTTTTGCATCATGAACACCTTGTTTTGCAGCAGCACCTGTTGTAGCACCCTGTTTTTTGATATGGCACACGTTCAACTCCTTCAAAGCGTCCGCGCCAGGCAGCGTTAGCTTCGGTTTTTTCCCGCCTTTGGAAAGACCTTGTTTTGCTGCGAGCTTTTTTTGTTCCGACAGAAGGCCTTTCGTGATTGCCTTCCGCAGTTTCCCGTCTAGCTTTTTACGCTCTGCGTCTGCCAACGCTTCCGGATGTTAGATATACAACACATTTTCTTCCTAACATACAGCTCCACCAGTATTACTGTTAGTTATCATTATCTATCCTAAAGTAGAAGTAGATAACGATAAGATATTATTCTAATTTCTACTTCTACTTCATCAACTTCTAGTAAGTTACAATGTATGAGTAGTTATTCATGCAGATGAGGCTGCAACTGCTAACGACCTCGAAAGTGTTCAGTCAAGAACTTATCGAGAATCATCATGCACCTTCGCCTTTGTTCTTCTCGTTATTCAAGTACGTAGTAGATAGTGTTGTAGCTGTAGTACAAGTACAACTAGTACAAGTTCATAATTTGGGCCGGTGAGAAGTTGTTTCATTTTTTCGTCCACCTGCTGTCCACTTCTGAAGAATTGTCTCCTAAGGATATTGCCCAGCTTCCCCTCGTTCAAGCCATATTTAGTGTCCACCGTCCTGTAGGCTGTCGTCACTTGCTTCCCGATGTGCTCTACTACAACTGCCTTACTCGTCTTACTGTCTTTGTCCTGCTTCGACATCTGGACGTCTTGTTTGTTGTTCATCTCCTTCTTTTTATTTTTTTTATTATTCATATATGGAGGAAGGAACTGCGCGACCATCTTCTTGATGTTCATCGCACTTAAATCTACATCTTCATGTTTATTCTTCGTCCAACGAGAAGGGCAAGGATCTGTCGGACTTCTCTGCTGCCTATGTTAGAGTGGTCTGCTAGATTGCATCTCGGCCCCCTCATCTTGACCCCTACCTTTACCTTGTTGTATTTCACGAGAATACAAGGGAAAAGGGAACCAAGATGCCGAGAATGATGGACACTAAATGTTGACCATAACTATGCGTGTTGTGCTTGATGTTGTATATCTTCATGCATCTCTCATCCAGATGCTTCTTCGCTTGCTGCAGCATTAGCGCCGCGGCTTGTATTTCCTGTCTGCGTTCGATCAAAATTTGAATCTGTCCGAGGACATTCGAAATGTAAAGCTCGAGCAACGTCGCACGCATGGTATGGAGTTCAATCGCCCTTATCCGCAGTTGCGCTAGCAACCTGTCTTCCGGACGAGGCATTCTTGCAGGTCCTCGTTCTTCTTGATTATGATTATGCTCCTCATCATCCTCATCGGACTGGGACTCTTCGAGGACTCTCTCGATTTTAACAAGTCCGTCAAAGAACTCCTCAGCCCCCCTGCGAATCAAGAAAAGACGATTAAAATCTTGGCCATCAAAAAACTTTCTGCGCAATACATCATGGATCGGCGGAAACTTATTCAGGCTGTTCTTAGATGTAGGGTTCTGCTGTTTCTGTTTCCCGTTTGTTCTGCCTTTCTCCCTTAGGAGAGGCAAAACACACGGCAAGAGGAACACCTTCAACCTACCCTTAATGTTCCTCTTTTTGGCTGCATCTCCACTTCGCTCGGCATCGTAGTTACGTTTCCGAATCATTTCGTCGTAATCCCGAACTACATCGCCAAGTTTCAAAAGCTCCACGATTTGTCCTTTTTCATCCTCCAAATTCTTTCGCGTCGCCTTTCCGCTTGGCAAATGGTCGAAAAGAGCACCGAGTGCGGCTCTTTGTTTTCCCGTAAAAAATTTCTTTCCATTCGCGGCAAAACAGCTCTCTTGGTAAGCAGAGATGAGGGCCAGTTTGGTTGCATCCACATACTCTTCGTAAGAGTCCCAAAGCTTCGTAAAATTTGCTAGCACCCAAAGGAAACCCTCAATAACGTTCTTCGCAGAGACTTGTCCTCCTAGAGGCAACCACTCCTGTAGTGGATTTCTAAGGCTGTTTTTCTTTGTTTTGACACCTTTTGTAAGACTCAAAGTTGTACTAGTCGTGCTCCTTCCCGTGAGAATAGACAGTTGCAACAATTCCGAAATGGCGAAGCCACTAGTTGTACTCCTGCTTGAAGTTCTTGTGCCTCCGCATCGGAGACCAACAGCGTGTGGCTCATCTTCATCTTTTTTAACCTGATGAAGTAGACTCTCATCGCCCTCTTCGCCGACGTCGTCATCTCCTCCCGTTGAAGGACTGTCATCATGATCAGATTGATGACCATCTTCTTCATCCTCAAAATTCATTCTTGAGAGCACCCGCAGAGCCACTTCGTGCTCGTTGCGTTCGAGGGCGCGCGCGATATTTTTGACTGCCTTTTTCGACTGCTCGTCTTGGAGGTGCAACTGTTGATAGACATTTTTCGTAGCTCGTTCGGGGCCCTTCACCTTGCAACTCAGCAGGCCAATCTGCCCGCGCAGCAGGTGATTCGTGAACTGCTGCAAAGTACCACTGATATTCCGGGACATCCAAACGACGGGTGAAATCCCAGGTGCTTTGGTTGTGCCCAAGACCAACCTTTCCTGAAGAGCCGCGGTTGTTCTTGAAGGAACACGAACATCTTTTGCGTTTCCTATTCTATCCTCGTCTTTGTAAAAAAAAAGATCCATACCTCCATCCAGATGTTGCTCGCCGTTGATCACATCCGGAATCCTGGTGTTCCCGAGCTGATCTGCTGCTGCTGTTGCGAATTGACTTGGGGTGATCCTGAATCGGCGACTCCGTTCAATCTCTTCGACTAGCTCTAGTGGGAAGGAATCGAGCAACCCTCCTCCTGTTCCCGGCGTGACTTGCGCTATCAGAGTGCTGTGATTGACCAGCTGCATTAAAAGAAGTGGCTGAAACAGTTCACATTTGCCCTCTGTATACTTACATATTTTTTGACACGTTCCATCTTCATCTTGAAAATTACGAAATGTGTCAAATTATATTATAGTGTAAGTACAATAATATGAATATGAAATGCTTCAACAACTGGTCCTAATTGCAGGAGGGGCTGTACACTGAGACGCGCGCGAGATTCCGCAGCTGGATGCAGGTAGTGACAAGTAAGCCCAACAACGTGGACGTGTAGCATTGGATCGTAATCTTGGCTGAACTCGAAACCTTCACGCACTCTTCTTAGTTCCTCCGACTGCTCCAATTAGAGCTGCTACCACGCAGCATCCTTGAGCCCATCCCTGAGCGCTTTTTTCCCTTGAAAAAGAAGCCCAGCAGGATGGCGCTGAGGATGCTTCAGCGGTAGCCTTAGCCCAAGGAAGCCTCTGCCTTCTGCGCCAACGCACGTCGAAAGGCGTCGGCAAGCCTGTTTGCCAAGTGGTCAAGTTGAACTCTATCATGCACATGCAGCAGGATGCCGACATCATTCTCCGGTGCAAACCGTTTCGTGGAGGTGAAGTCGTCCTCTTTTTCTTGGACTAGGAGGTCACCTTCTTTCTCTTTTTCTTGGACTTCTCGAACAGGATTCTTTTGAACAACCTCTTGAACAGCAGCATCATGTAGTTGATCTTCTTCAAAAAAGAGGCCAGTAGGTGGATGAAGTGTAGTCAGATGATAGTGCTGGGTCAGCATCCCTCGGTTAGCTTTAATCCGCTTCGTGAGCATGCCACCATCTATTGCTGCCTTTGTAACCACTGAGGCAGCCCTTAATATCAGATCATTATCAGCATACCTGTTTTGCGTTCGTGCAGTAGTAGGAGCGGCGGGCGTCTGGCCCTTGCTGGAGGCGGAAGCAGAAGTCGAAGATCCCCCTCCAACTAGCGTCGGGCCCTTGCTGGAGGCGGAAGCAGAAGTCGAAGATCCCCCTCCAACTAGCGTCGGGCCCCTCGCCATCAGGCCGCGGTGACTTTCATTCACACGGGCGTCGTCGAGAGTGAAGATTTGCTCGAGAACATTGGCGAAGTCTTCTGTCTTTTGCCGCACCCCACGAACATTACAACACAACATTGTTGTGTCTTGAACAGTTCTTCTTGTATCAGTGGAGCATGTTCTTGGCGAAAGAGTTCCATACAAGATCTTGCTCCATGCTCCTCTGGCTTCTCCAAGAGCCTTCCCGGGAAGCCCTCGGCGCCAGTTGCTCTTAACAACTGTTGTTGAAGAAGACAAGGACGAGGACGTCGGTGCTATTGTTCTAAGTTTCTGATTCTGTTGCTCTGCTGCTATTTGGAATTTCTCCTGTCGTTGCTCCTCGTGCTTTTCGACATCCTGCGAAACAAAAGATCGCATGAGAACACCAATCACGTCGTTTTCTAACATTCTATCTCGAAACTCGGTCCAAGGTTTCTTGACATTCTCGATCCAATCACGCAGCACTAACTCCCTACTTCGCCTCTTGCGCTTGTCGGCTTCGAGTTTGCGCCACTTCTGCGACAAAACTTCCATCCTATGCGTCTGGACCGCTCTAAGTTCTTCCTGCGCCTCCACGCGGAGTCGCTCCAGTGCGGCCCTTATTTCCTGGTTCTTCTTCGAGCGATTGCGGGCTTTTCTATTGTAAAGTTCAACTCGCCTCTGGAGCACCTCCTCAACCTTAAATCGATATAAGGTCTGCACCCGCTTTAAGAAACTCACTGCAGCTTCAACTTCTCTTTGATGTGGAGGGTGTGTTGGTGTTGCATCGATAACATTATAGTTCTTTTCCTCATCGTTTGTTTGTGTGCCGCCGACGATGTGCAGTGCGCGAAGGAACTTTTGTGGGCCCAAAGTTTGGACCAGTGAAATGATGTCCCGCAATAACGCCAATCGCAGGATCTGCGGTACCGAAGTTGCATCAGCATCAAATTTCTCAGACGTCGACGAGCCAAACGCATGGGCATCATCTTCAGAAGTAGCAGATGAGCAGCTGTCGCGTGCAAAACCAATCAGGGCTTGCACAGCCTGCAACTCGTGCTGGCCTTGTTCTTCATCGTCCTTTCTTAGAGCTCTAGCGCAAAACAATTCACTTTGCCTATGCCTAAGTAGAGCGAGGGAATATGAAACTGGGAGAATTTAATATCCTGAAAGGGCTTGTTTGTAGAAAATAGCTGTAGAAAGAAGTCAAGTGGATTGAGCCTTAATTCTCGATCACGTTCTTCGCTGTGGAAAATGTCGTTCCTTTGCTCCCGCATTCCCGTGACAGTCCTCCGAGTCCGAGATTGCAAATTTTTCCGCGCAATATTCGAGCGTTTGAGCGCCTCATTTCTACGCTTCACCAATGGGGCAATGGTGTGCTTCAGTGCGTCCCAAAAGTCACGCACTGACGCATCTGTTGAGTTTTGCCCAGCTTCTGCATCGTCCAAGGCAGAGGCCACATCGAATTGCTCCACAAAAGTAGACACAGAGTAAGATGAATCTGCGCCAGGTGGAGCCCCCTTCAAGGCCGCTTCATCATTTGCATTTCTCTGGCAGGAGCCAGTAGATCCACCTAGAAGAACTAGATTTCTCTGGGTTCCTGTTCTTGCTAGAACGCGGATGAGCTCGGCGGTCGCGTCTTGTAGCGAAGCTTGCCATTCTTCGTTCATGCGCCTCGCTTTTTCCTGAAATTCGTGCACCTGCGACGCATATACCTCTGCTGAAAAAGACTTCTGCTGCTCTGACCAAATCGTCAACAAAGGCTTGTTCTCCAAGACGTCTTCTACCATTATAGAGGCCCGTTTTGATGTTCTAGTAGTTCTTTCATCTTGAAGATGCGAACTCTTTGAATCAGAACCCAAAATCTCGCTGTGGAGTATGGAAATTCTGGCAGCCTCGACTACTTGGTCAGCATCGTTACCATCTACTTCCCACTCTACTTCTACTTCAGTATCATGATCCTCGACCACTATGTTCTTCACCTCGTCCTTACTAGTATCCTCGTCAGAAGGTTGCTCATCTTTTTCATCTCCTGGATGAGGACTGGACGTAGAGGTAGTTCTAGTCTTCTTTTTACTCAGTAGAGCGGCTAAGATGGAATTGTCTAGCGCACTCTGTAGGCGTGGTCGGATTAGCGGAAAGCTTTCATTCCGCGTTTTCGCTAACAAGTCAGCCATTTCATTGCCGAACGCATACCTTTTTGCAACGTAAATTTCTTAGACATAGATGGCCACGTGACGTAGACCTTACATTCCTATTCATCTTGATGAAAAGCATCTTTGGTGTGCTTTCCCCTTAGAAAAGGGGCCAAAGAGAAAGATCCTTCGTAAGATGAATTGTCGAGCTCAACACCCTTATCCATCTGGAGATGCATCCTGAGACCGTTTTCCCCTTGAGAACGTCTCGGTCTCTGCGATGCGTCCGAAGACGGATATTAAGGGGAAGCTTGTGAAGAATTACTGTAAAAAGGCTTAAATTTCTTGTTGTTTTGTTTTTTCCGGATTCGACTTATTTGCAAGAATCCTCTCCAGTACATGAGCTGGAAAATATACGAAACGAATCCGAGCAGAGTCCTCCTGGTGACGGCTTCCTGTAGCATCGGTGCCGAAAGATGAGGATAATATGCGGGCCAGAAGGTCCGATATTTTCATACACAAATTCGGGAACAAATAACGCACTTGCGAAGTAGATGTAAAAGTTCTTCCTCCTTGAGGAACATCTACTTCTTGCTGTCGGGTCAGCATTTCTCGGAGCACCTGCAGGGCATCGTCAGAGTCAACAAAAATAATGAGAACTTTTAGTTTTACCTCCTCATCTACTTGAGAGGTTAATAGCAGCTCGAAAGCACGTTGCAACGCTGCGTAAACGGCAACCAATTCCGCTTGCGCCACCAGTACACGATGAGAAACCAATTCCGCTTGCGCCACAGATAAATGGTCAAACGCATCCCGTACTGACCGTTTTGAGAGAAAGTCCAATTTTGCAGCCAGGCTAGATATTGCAAGTCGCGTCTGTATTTTGGTTGACACTTGTGGTTCCGTTCCTCCCGCTCCTTGAGCATCTCCTTCTCCTTGAGCATCTCCTGCTCCTTGAGCATTAGAAAGGCCTTTGTACCTGTAGTGCTGCTCACTTTCGCCTTCTGGAGGATCCTCCTTGATGAAAGTAAATCCGGGCAGTACCGATTCCACATCTTCGCTTTGCACTTGCTTCATGTTGCTTTTGTCTGTGTCACCAAGATAAAAATTTGACACAAAAGGTCCAACGTACGACGCATGACCCAAGGACTTTCCCCTCCGCGACACGGAAGCGTCGGAGAAATACGCATGCTGTATTTGTCGTGTCAAAGTAGAGGTAGTTTTTATGGATTCGGTATCCTCGTCCTTGTTGAGAAAGTATTTCTCCACCACATAGCGGGCTAAATTTGCACCACTGGGTGCCTTCTTCCACTCCTCGGATCGAAAATTCCTCCAGACATCGTCAAAGGTCAATACCTCAACCTGCTGGTGAGCTGCAGGTTCAACTTCAACACCGACAGGGTGAACAGCTAATGCGGCACAACTCGCCACAGTCACAGTAGCGGCAATCAGGACCGCAACGAGCGCCGAAAATGTGGCAGAAGATGTTGAAACCATTTTGAATTTGATCATTCTTATACTTACTGTGCTGGTTTTACCTTGTTGAGTGAGCCTACGACCTAGTATAGTACATCATTCGTTTGTAATATGAAGAGCATGATCTAGAATGTGGACTCAGAAGTTGATTTGTGGAGTCAGAAGTACGTCGCAAAGAAACAGAGTCAGAATAAAATCATGACAAAATAAGGTGCATAAAAGCAACTTTGGTTTTCCTCACACTCTCCTGGAATAAGGAAAAGCGACTTTTTTAGAGTTTTTTAGGCATCGCGTTTAATTTACTAGAGCAAGAGTAGTACACCGTGACTGATCAAATCCGCCAAAATGGAGATGGACTCCGCCAAAAGGAGTTTCCTCAGGAGCGTTTTTTTCAGTCAGATGTAGCCCATGCTCTGGATTGCCAGTATGGAACCGCTCGAATTTAACTCGTAAAGTTAAAGATCTTCAACTTGCTCAGACATCTACGCACACAATGCAAGCGTACTGCAGCTGTTCGCCGATACATAGTCACGCCTTCAGATCCCAGTCTCACCAGAAGGAACCGATTCGATGAAAGAGGTGATCACGTCATCCTGCTGAACCATAACGGCATGTCTTTGCGCAGATCCAGAAAAGAGACTAAAAGTAGAAAAGTATTACCATGAACCACGCAGACGCACCAAACATTCTCGAACACACGCCGCCAGTGCCAGCTGCTTTGTACAAGTGCCTTCCCCTTCACCACTTTTTCGTGGTTGTCTTCGCGTTCGTTTTAGAAGACCACGCGTGTGCATGTAATTGAGACGAAGAAACTCCTCGTCATATTGTGCGATCTGGGAAAGTCATTACTTAGGCATACTTGTCCTAGTGTGCCTTTGCATTCTTCTCACTTAATCAAAATACCACTCCAGCATTACTGTGCCCAAGTCTGCGTATTCCAATCGTGATCTTGAATAATCAATGACGATAAATTTTCCTGACTACCCTTTTCCTGACTCAGTGTGTAAATTGCCGACGGTTGGGGCAATCGTGGAGCTTCGTCGACTTTTGTATGCGCATACTACTACTCGGGTACTTGTAATTCTTCTTTAACTCTAGAGTCATGTCCTCGCCCAACATTATGATAAAGAGTAAATACTTATACTAGAGGACGATTTGAGTTTGACGACGAGTTTCTATGTGGTTGAGCTTGCTTCTGCTTCTCCTGTGCAGCAATATACTTGGTTATTTCGGGAGAGACTAACTGTTGCTGAGATGATGAGGATCTGAATCTATCACGAATAGAGTACATCAATGAACAAAATGCGTGGACAGGCTAAAAAAATGTAAAAAATGTACCTAAAAACAGACTCCAGTTCTAGACGCACAGGCACATCAATCTTTCTCACCTACTTCAAAAAGATATAGAGAGCTTGTTGTGCGTTATAACGAAGACCTGCAACTTAATACGATTATAGGAAAACCTGCAAAAGACTCTTGAGATAATGATTACCATAGCGCCCAGCTGTTCAATATTAAGAGCAATAAAACTTTGCAAACACATCCCTTCGGAAACCTCAACCTCCAACACCGAAACCCAAAACCTCCAACACCCGAACCCAAAACCTCCAACACCCGAACCCAAAACCTCCGACACAAAAACAAACAAACCCCAAACCCATGAACCCATGAACCCATGAACCCATGAACCCATGAACCCATGAA